CTTTCCTTACTCGCTTATCGAAAGATTTCGAACTCGATTTTTAAGGGTCAAATTCTTTTCGAGATTAAACGAATCGTTCGATGATCGCCTAATCGACGAATTAGAATTTCTTCCAAAAATTTCTATTTTCGAAATAATCGTATGATCACGCCTTCGTTTTTTTCAACATTTCAGGGAACGTATATGGTCCCATGAACAAATCGTGCAGGTTCGATGGAATGAAATTTCGATTAGACGAATTTTTGATTAAAAGAATTTTCGATTCTTCAAAGACGACCGTTTGGAATAGGTTTCTCTTTAACACGAACGGTTTCTCGAGTCGCCATTGAAGAGCGCGGACGGCAAGGCAAAAAGTTAAGGACGAATTTCTTTTCCACCAAGGACAAAGTCAGAAGGTGAACATTAATGAACAGTTCGTGAAGAGAAACGAAAGAATTTCATCCGCGCGTTCGTTCCTGGCAATGGCGTGACAGAGTGGGGAAGGGACGGTGGTATGAGGCTGGCTCGGTTTATGGACACAAATTAGAACCGCCTGTGTCTATCGCTCAGAATTCAACCGATTAATCGTTCCGTACATCAAAAATTAATACACAAGAATCATCGACATACTACTCCTCGAAATTCTCGTCAGGCATTCGAAGACGTTTTATTAGTCTAGAAGTTAATATTAATTTCACCGAAGAACGTAACAAACGCGAAAACAAAACCAGGAAATATAAAAACATAAAAACGAAAACTTAATCTGTAATGTTTATTCCGTCGATTGTTAAGTAATGTTAACTTGAAGTAGAAGGAGAATGAAAATACCTTTAAACAAGGATCTCCGTCTTGTTGATTAGAATCGTAGACACAGGCAATGGAATATAACTATACGGTATAAATATAATAATAGTGACAACTAATCAATCAATTGATAGTCAATGAACGATCGATAAATTCTCTTTAGGTACTCATCTGGATTCCGCGATGAAGCCGACAGCAATATCGCAATAGTTAATATACAATTCGTGATATTGCTGCCAATAATAATCATAATAATAATAATGTTAATAATACTAATAGTGCTAGTAACAAATTTGATTAAAGACGGTTCACGTTGATCGTACATCGATTTGAAATATAATGACCGATCGACAATCGAGTTTGTATATTCGCCACGACGTACCAAGCGTCCATCGTGCATGATCTTTTTCTTTATCCAAAAATACACACACACACGCACACACATATGCTCGCTCGCACGCTCGCGCGCGCACACATCGACGGTTAATCAAAGGTCCGAGTAATTAATAAAATGTTAGTAAAATTCGCAGAGACACTGAATGCACATGAAACACATTGTCGTGTAATACTTGTTCACGTGTGTATTGTAAATAAACATGCCAGTTTACGCTACCTTCCTTTTTCTTTTGGTTCCCCGTTATATCTTTGCAGTATTCTGTTTCCACAGATTAAATTCGGGGCCAAAAGATTGGACGTAGGAGGAGCAACGGCTAAATTAACATTCTGTTAACGAAAAACGTACAAAGTGACTGGACAGAATTGTGGCATGTATATTCACGAGAAATACATGATCGTTTCTAATTAAAATCAATGATTAATCGGTTCTTGGTTCGCACGTAAATAAGAGTGCCACCGAATCGTACGAAACGATATCGGTGTATATTATGCAACGATGAGTATCAAAATAAAAAGTATAGCTGCGAAACGTATCGTTAAAATAAAAATATATATATATAGCCGAATTCAATAGAATTGAATTATAAAAGCCTACTTAGGCCAAGTTACACTTGATTCAATCGATTAAAAAAAAAACCGTTCTACTTCCTGGAAATAATGAAGTTATGGAATACTACACGATAATAATAATAATAGGGGAAATGTGTTTAAAATGCCACATACCAGAAAGATTGAACTAGTAAAAAGGAAAAGATGATCTCCAAAAAAAGAAAACGTAAGATAAAATGAAGATGTTTGTAGACGGTGAAGCAACGTTCTCTTCCGTTTCGTAATCGAACGGCGTCGTTTGCCGAAGAAGCTACTTGGAGAATGGGTCCCTAAAATTCTGTTAATCTTGCTACTCTTTACGTTTTGTTCTTTCCCAACTCTACGCGTCTACGGTGTATTCCACTTTTTTTTTTCTACTTTGATTATAAACGCTACTTGTCGCGCACAATAATATTGTCTCTATGGTATGCAATGTAAAATTCTTGTTTCTCTTGTTCGTCTACCTAGAAAACAGTATAAGTTCACTTTTATCATGCATCCGCCCGGTTAATACGAAAGAACTTGCGTTACTGTCTCGTATAATTATAACCATACGAGAACCACTCATGCATGAATATATTCCCTACGCGGTTACACGAAACCGATACACAACACCGTACTTGGTCGAACGTAAATCTGACTGAAAAAAGGAAAAGAGAAAAAGTATACGATCGTCTAAAATATAAGAAACAAACAGTTATACCATTAACTTATCTTTCGTAAGAAAGAGAAGTTAATCTGATCAATGGATCAATTCATTAAAATATCGTTAAATTGTTCCCGTTCGTGGGAATTACTACTATAATTCGCCGCGAACGGATCATCGGAGGGCACAAAAACGTTTCGCCCGATTCTATGCCCAGTCGCAACGAAAACAAAAGCAAACAGAAACGGGTTCGTATGTTTGTCCGTCGGGCATCTCTACTAACAACATTGGTAACAGAAGGCAGAGCTTCCTAAAAGTCCCTACGATATGGAGCAACGTCGGTGCAAGAAAATATGAACATTTCAAAGCTTTCTACACGTTCTGCTCTCCGCGTTCTTACGGTTCAATACAAAAAACTATCCCTTACAAACGAGGAGAAACAGAGCTGTTGCTGTCTTTCAATCCCATTAAAAATGGTCGTTGATCTGTCCGGAATTTTGCAAAAATTTCATCGTATCGTGACGGTGTGGTACGAGAGAAACGGTTTCAATACAATCTCTACTTCGTTTTCTATCAGTTTCTACGGAAAATCTGTGCAAAAAACCGTTCGAGAAAGTAGTACACGCGTTCGACGCTGAATCGACGGTATCCTAACCTCTCTTGTATAAAATAACCCCCAGAGAAGAGGAACTAATCCAACTTTCGGATACGCCGCGTTGTTTTTGACGGCGAGCAGTGAAAAAGAAGAAAAAGTACTTGAAAGGTTCAAAATCCTCGTTTTCCTCAAAATATCTTGCTCCACATCTTCATCATTTTCTAGAAGAAATCTCTGCCTAAGTGGGGACGGTTCGTCTGTTGCGACAATCGCTGTCTACCTCGTCCGTTCGCACTGGCCGCGTGTCGCCGTGTGTTTCGCAACTCCCGATCCACCTCCAGTTCCTCGAGCTTCATCGTCAGACCGAGCTTTTGCTGCACCGCGAGCCGCAGCAGTTGATTCAACGTTTTCCGGTCGTCCTCGGCCGCGGCGAGCTGACGCTGGAGCTCGTCGACCTGCGTTACGTATTCTTCGCAGCGTGCGGCGAACATTGCACGCAGACCTGGGAATAGTGTTGGTTAGCAGGTATTAACACCGAATACGATAAGACACGTGAGAATGAATTATTCAGGTACTCGAAATGGAACAGCACAAAAATACGAATATATTACCACCGACGAGATATATAAAAATAGACCTTTCCATCTTATGGGAGTTGGTGGCCTACCTAAACTGTAGTACCGACACCTTAAAAAGCCTGTGATTGTTGTGACCTCTATGTTATGAGAACGGTAAATCTACGGTGGGTATTGACACTAAAATGGAAATGGGATAACGTAACCCCAGAAAAGTGGGCCGCAAAAATACATTGGATGGCATGTCTATTTCTATACCTCGTCGGTGGTATTACTGAAGAAATAAGTAATTTACTGTAGGGTTGATGTGCTAATAGCATGCACGAACCAGATAGTTTAGTTTGGTTTGGTTATAGTCTCTGTAAATTAGTCCATAAATTCTGTATTTACATAAGTATTAAAAATAAGAAATGTTTTCACAGTCGTCGAAAATATTAGACAGATTATTTTAAGTATCACACCGTGTCAAAAGTACAGAAAACTGTTTAGAAGATAGTAACAGTTTTTCACATAGTTTAAGTTCACGTTAAGAGTGTTCATGCTTTAGTTTAACGAGATATTGCGCTAGTTAAAAAGCTGTTAATAATAACGAATGATTAAAGGATTTGCTACAGGACAAAGCAATATTGTTGATAGCAAACTCCTAATGCAACTGCAAAATCGACTGTCGCGCAGCACGTTAAAAGCAATAACGCGCACATGAATGCTGATAACAAATTATTAGTTTTACGTTAGTGCAATAATGTTAGTAAAACAAAATAGAAAAAAAATGAGAATAAATTAACTATACTCGATATAAATCAGTAAGAACTAAATATCTCAAATAGCAATTACAAACGAAAATTAACTTACTTGAGAATGTTGCAGCGTTCTCCTTCAACATTCTAAGCTCATTTCTCAGTTTCAACATGGTTTCGTTAACAATACTCTTCTCGTTTTCGTATTTGCTCTTCAAGTTTGTAAGTGCCACTTCTGCTGTGTTCTTGTTTGACTTGAGCACTGTTCTCAAAGTTGCGATCTGTTCGCGTTTAGCTGACAGTAAGGCCTTCAACCTAATCACTTGCTCCTGTAGGTCCGCTACTTCCGCCTTGTTCTCATTTACAGATCCTATGATTTACAATAAAGTGATAAATATTATAATACATGATATCTCAGTGAAGCAAGGAAACATAAAATGTAGACATGAATTCATCAAACTCACCCTCGCACACGTTGCAAACATTTGATTGTATTCCCTTAACTTTAGAGAGTTCAATTGTATGTTCAACGGCGCTTCTGAGATGTTTAATTTGATCCATGGCTGTTTCTATATGCTTCGCAATTTCCTTAGCTTTGCTCAAACTTTCTAAATCCTTAATTTGAATATCGGTCTTAAACGAGGTTCTGCACCATTCTATCTTCTCATTCCCTTCTTCCTTTTCGGGGACAATCTTTTCGTGATCAAGAACCACGCGTGACGGAATCTCTCCGTTAACCGTGCAAACATGATGGTACAATTGAGCAAGCTCGTCAGATATATTCTGCAAGTCATTCTGCGCGGAGTCGAGGAAACCACCAGCTTCCACCGCAAGTTTGGATAGAGTAGCAATATCAGATTCAAGTTGTATGCTCCTTTGTTCTGTATCTAAAAGCTGAAATATAACGAATAACGTTTATATCTACGGTGGTGATATTCATCAGCAACTTGCTATTTTTGTTTTTTTATTGCATGTTCATTGAGACTTTATGTATATCAGCTACAAAACTTTCATTGTGAAAGGCAAATTTTATATTCCACGAAAACAGTGCTCGACAGCTGAAGTAATTTTGCAAGACTATACAAAATGTAGAGAATACTGTTTGAACATCGTGCAAACAGGCTCTGTGAGTCTGACTCATGCTACGTTAGATGCAAGTGAAACAAGTAGGATAGTATCCACTGAGTTCTTGTTCCTAAGCACATTCTATTTAAAAGCCACAGTGCATAGCAATTGAGATCCGTACATTTGTTTGAGCACTTGATAAGGAAAAAAAAAAAAACATTCATATAGACACTGATGATATCAACCCATTTGTGAAAACAATAATATGTTGGGAGTACGTGTAGTACAGAAATATTTTCACAAAGGAGTCTATGCTTTAAGAAATTATGGTATATTCGTCAGTAGTTGTTGCAACATGTATAGTTAAAGAGTATAAAGATATCAAAGCAATACAAGATGGGTTGTTAGGACATTAGGAAGCAATCTGTACGGATCATTAAAGGAGCCAAAAGACAAATTGTTATTAAATAATTGGTAAATACGTCAAGGGGACCACACGTTCCAACCTTTTCTCGAAGGCTCTTCTCTGACTCAGGGATCTGAAATGCCATAATTTCTATTCAAAGTCTAAATTTTGAATATTAATTATTGTTGTGCCAGAGTCACAGTTTATTTTACTCTCATTTATCTCCGCGTATTAACTTATTGCCCGTGGAAACTTAATAAATTAGTAACTTACATTTCTGTTCTTCATCATATATATTCCGCAATGTTGCTGCTTATAAGTATGTAAAATAAAAAACTTGATATAAGAGGAAAAAGTGATATGTACCTTATTTCTAAGGTTCGTCAGTTCTGTACGTAATTGTTGTGTTGAATCAGATATGGTTAAACCGTTTTCTAATTCAGCCAAATCTTTTTGAAGCTGATTCACTTCACGTGCAGACATGGTACTCCATTGATGATACTGCATGATGGCCTGAAACAAAACATAAATTACTTGATATGTTCCACACCAAAAGATCCATGTACATTTTCTACACATACTTGATTCAACTTATCCAATGTTGCTTCTTCAGTTTGTTTCTCGGGCAATTTGGAATGAAGGTGATGTAATGATTGCACATGGGCTGCTAATTGCACTATCCGTGCAACAAAAGATTGTAGCTCGTTCTGACTTTTTTCAACTGCATACTGTGATTCCCGTAAGTTTTGAGTAAGATGAGCCTTTTCAGACTCAGCTAATTCTAATTGCTTTTCTAATTTCTTTAGTTCATTCAGATGGATTTCAGAGAACAAATCAACTTGTTTGTCAGTAGCTGAAGTACCTGGTTCCTGAGTCTTTAGATCTGCTTCAATCCTACGTAATGCTGGAGAATCATCTTCTCCATCACTACATATTGTTTGATCTTCTGTTATTCCTCTAATTGAAAGTGCAAGGTTACTAAGATTGTAAATGGATTCGCTATTAATTCTCTGATCAAGTTCTTTCTTAAGAGCATATTTTGCTTCGCGTTCAGCTTGCAAGGATTCAAGTGCCTCTTCCATTTGCTTCTCAGCAATTTTTTTCAAATTTGTTAATTCTTCAACTTGACTATTCAAGAGTTCCACTTCTTCCGTTAGTCTTCTTATTTCATGTTTGGCACCTTCAAATTCCACTTGACTGGATCGTAGACCAGACACCTGCTTCTGTAGTGAAATATTCTCGTCTTCCAGTTCTGAATAATCTTGAAGAAGCCGAGCTTCACGAAATCTACATTCACGCAGCATAGTACGTAAGGACTTTCTTTCTGTCTCTGCTTGCTGGTGATCTTTACCAACTTCTTCTCGTTCAATGAGAGCATGATCGCGTTCAGCTTGTACTCTGTCCAATTCATGACGTAGCTAGATGAAACAGCATAGAATAAGAATCTTGTAAATATTAAAACATTATCATTTCTTTTTGTACATTCTTTCAAAAAAAGGGCACATACTTGCTTCGTTTCATTTTCTAATTCAATAATCTGTGTTTGCAGAGATGTTTCTCGTGCAGCACTTTCACTAAGGAGACTCTCTTCTTGTTCTATACCACTTTTTGTAGTCAATTTCGTAGTTGTCTGAAACTTTGCTAGAGCCTACGCAAGTAAAAGATTCGAGTAAATATTAATCGAAACAACATATAAGTCGCACATGACATCAATAAAAACTTTCATAAAGTTATATGCATTTCACTGTATTATTAGAGCACAACGTAATTATATGCCGTACAGCAAATGCATTTTAATTTGTACAGAGATTCTTGAAGAATCCAAAATTTGTGCCGATGAAACACTTCACTGTACTTGTCTAAGAAGGAAGAAACGCAAATACTTTCCGTTCGAACCAAATACATAAAAGGGGATGGAGAGCTAACCTCTTGTGTGATTTCCAACTCGTGTTTCGTGTTTTCGTAGAGGGCCTCGAGATCGTTGCATCTTTGTTGTAGGGCCGATTTTTCTTCGAGTAAAGCAAGACCGTACTGAGCGGACTGTATTTTCTCCGTAGAAGCTAGATCTAATTCCCGTGAAAGCCTCTCGATCTCGATCCGGAGGTCTTCTATCGTGACACCGTCTGTCGTGGCCATTGCTGCACGCACCTTCCAAGATCACTTCGCTCCTTTCCCCGTCGAATACTTCCTTGTCGTTACCGTAAATATATCGGATCATCGGCGGCCGTGATGTATTTTGAATGCAAGAGCATTATGCGATAGCTTCCGAAACTATTTTCTTTACGTGCCTACTTGTCCGAAACCTCACATCTTCCGAGAATCCACGACCATTTGACAGACGTGAAATTAAGGGGTGAGGGCACGGGGAAAATCACACGGACCGGATGGATACATGTTCTTTTACGTGTTTGCTGCGTTCCTCGAATCTCGTTCCACGATTCCACCGTTCCCTCTTCTCATGACAAGCATACGCATTAATGTGTTTTATTACACAGATCCTTCAAATTTTCTTTTATTTCGAATAAATATATGTTGCTCAGAAGACAAACCGGTCAACTCCATTTTCTATAATTTCGCAAGTTCAATATTTATATTTAATTCCATTTTTATATATTTCGTATCGTGAGTATTAAACATACATCTCAATCATTTGTTTATTCGTGTACAACGAGCCAAATTTAAAATAGAAATGCTGTAATATTATTGATTTTTTTCTATCTCTCAGTTCACGCAGTTGTTTGACTTCTAAGCGGCTTGCATATGATTATTAAGACTATCGTTTTACTACTATATTACGTATATGTATCACAATATTCTTCATTAGTTGGATAAAGTTAGAGATCAATAATTATAAATCATAAAAGTAATGAAACAAAGCATAATATATTAATACTTGTTTGAATACAAAAAAACAAATATTCACATAAAATTGATAATTTGCTTCTAATTGATTTGTTAAAAAGGAACAAAATATTGTACAATTACTAGAGAAACATAATGTTCAGTATTAAATTTATAGATGAACGAATGTATTGATTTAAATTATTCATCTCAGTTGTAATAAAAATTATCAAGGTTTTGAGTTAAAAAGGATCATACAACAGTATACGTACAAAAGGATCAAGAACTAAAAGAGAAATCTATACATTTACACTTTATTAATAATCGATCTCCTTTGCCAACTGAAATATAAATAATACAGATGAAGTATATTTTATTATCGTACACCTCCGTATTCGTAGATACCGGTAATAGATAAACATATATGGGGGAACAGAAAAAAAACAAGATCTCGTTTTTGCCTCTCCGTACACATTCTATTTCAAAAATTCAGTTTAAAAACATAACTTCAAATACTCCGCAATCCTTTATTACTTTGTAGCTTATTTTTTTTCCTCTTCATCCTCTTCATCTTCTTCCTTTAAGTATTAATAGATTAATATAAGTCGAGCTGTGATCGGCTATACACCAATCGAATTAGTTCATACACTGTAACAGTCGTATTCTTTACAATATTCGTACGTAAGTCTTGTAGCAGAGACAAAAGCGCAGGTGCCCTATCGCACTCATTTTTTTATGCTCATCTGAACCTCCGGTGCCACCAATGAACCCCACACCTAAATCGTGTATTTTTCAATGTATGTTGTTTCCTCTCCAATACCCTACATAGTAAAGCATCGTGTCTTTACATGATATACCATGTATATCTCGCGTACACGCGTGTACTCAAACTATACAACATATTGGTCAATGAAACGAAGGAAAATTGCTTACACGAATTCTGTAATCTTTTCTGTAAGTCTCAAATTCATCCAGTGAGAGCACCAAAGGTTACGGTCCATTAGCGAAATACACAATTTTTGATCCTCCAAAATCTCGTCAGATGCACTAGCGCACTGATTACTACTACCAAAATCATGTATGAGATCGGTTTAAGTCCCGAACAGTTAAGTGTATAAAATTGTTGCAGGACACCTGTACTACACAAATACAACGCGCAAGGCGGTTTCAGTTCCATCCAGTCAGGCACGCCTGTCTTCTGAACATTAATACACATTGTCGCTGCTGGTAAAAGTATCAATGTATTGTGCACAGGCTATGCATGTGCAAATCCGTGAACAATCGAATCGTTTGAAAAAAGAATATCTTGAAGCGTAAAAGATGGATCCTCGACACATGCATAAAACACGCCTGCACACGCCGAATCTACCTAGATTGAATAAAGATCTGTGAACGATCTTCTTGTTAATTTAAATTTAATCGTTCGCCCATCGGAACGAATCGTAAAATATTTAGACATCATTAATTTACACCCCAACAACTGCTCATTATTTATAAACACGGCGTGACCATCAAATCTGCTGCAATCTATTTTCCTTCCTATTAGATTCATTCGTGTCCTCTTTTTTCCTTCTTCATTTTTCTTTTTTCTAATCCCTTTTTTTTTTTAGAAAAAACTCTGCACATCTTTGTACTTGTAGTAAACCTAATAGTCTCCTAATACCACAGTGTTCGGAGAGAGAGATATTCAAGACTTTTAAATTCATAACGCTTGTTTCATTTTTATCACCTCATGATTTTCGGCAGATGTTTGACAAAAAAAAAGTAATAGACAAATCGTATCTAAAAATTTTTCGTTCTACAACTTATAAAAATGATTAGTGCAATATTTTATACATTAAAGTAACTTCGTTTTCCTGTGATGTATAAATAAAAGAAATATTGGAATTAGTCACCAGCAACGACCAGAGTATATCTACCTTTTTACAGTACAAAATACAGCTCCTGCAATATATGTATTTATATATGTATACACACATCTCTATGCATATATACATATATATATACATGTACCTAGTAACGAAATATTTCATCATATGTAAGGATATAGTAAGGTAAAATGCAACAGCATCCTCTGAAATCCGTAACAATCGCTGACAGTATGAACAATGGTGACTCTCAATATAACAATCATGATTTTTGGTACAAAATGTGCAAACTTGTACAGACTTCTGTGTTTATATGTATATATACATATATACGTTACAACGACCACTTGACGATCATACCAGTACTTGCGTTCATTTTCACTTGAAGAATCTGACGTACAAAGCACATTTATGCCCTAGTTTATCAGAATCTACCTTAATAGCTCAAGTATAACTGTATATAAACTCGTAAACACTGACAATCTTACAATTGTGCATTTCTTTACCGAGATCTGAAACTAGGTTCGTTATAAAATTAATGATTCAACGATCCTCATTACATCCTTACATACTAAAAATTGGCGTCACTAAACCTTATTTATATGTATTCAGGGCCGGCATGTTCATTTCCTTTCCCATTAATTCTGAATTTCTTTTTTTTTTCTTCCTTTTTGAGTTGCTAGAGAGTTCGAGAGGGAGGACCGGATACAAGATGCGTGGATGTGAGAAACGAACATAACGTCAGACTTATCACAATTTTTGTTCATAGCATTGTATCCCTCTCATGTACGAAAAACTGTAACTATCATTTCAATTTCATCATTGCATAATCTGTCTTGTTTCAATATGAACGTTCGACGAACGTAATGATATTTTGTCGGGCTGACAAAATATAACGCAATAAATGTTGATTCGAATTTAATTACTTTCTTCTTTTCGAAGTATATCAAGAATCCATACATCTTGCATCACAAAACAATGCGCGTACGAGATAGTTTTGAAGGTCAAGGGACAGAGGATTCATGTCTCTACTCTAATTCAATCGAATGTTTATAATATTATTACATTGTAATAGTGTGTGTATTCATGTAATGCTTGAATGTGTCCTATGTGTAAATGTACTTTGTGCGCGCGCGCGCATGTACGGTGTAGTGTAACAGCAATAAAAACAAAGACATCATAAGAAAAAACCCTTGCGAAGAGAACAACGATGTTTAGAGGGGAAAGAAATTAGGAATAAAATGGGCTTCCGGGAGTTGGGCATGGAGAGATTGAAACTCGAACGATTATGACGAAACGCGTTTTTAGCGATTATACCGCATCAACGAAACGTACGTTCGCACATCCCTACCTAGCTACAATTCCCGGTAGTAGCGCGCGCGACAGTAAACGGCTTATCGTTAAGCGAGCGGCACGGATTCCGGTTATATCCTACTTCCTGTCATCCTGATCACATTCACGGCTTATGTGACCAGTTTTGCCACAAATGTAGCACGTCTTGCCTCCAGCCTCGGTACAGTTGCGAGCGATATGACCTGTCTTGTTACAGTTGTAGCAACTTTGCATAGCAAAGCGTCCAGAATCATTACCACCCTCCGGGCAACTGCGCGCAATATGACCAGTCTTGTTGCAGTTGAAACAGCTCATCTCAGGGCTCTATTTAAAAACAATTTACATTATAATGTGACCAGGTGGTTTGGCTGTCTTTTTTTTAAAGCCTTGCACGTTCTAGTAATGAAAAGATTTTCGTAAACTAACAAACATAATAAATATATTAAAATTTCTAATAACCTGTTGACAGTCTTTTGCAATGTGTCCAACACCATTACAACGGTAGCAAAGATCCTGATCCTCTTTACATTCGCGTGCGAAGTGTCCAAATTGGTTGCACTTATAGCATTTGTCACGACCGCGTCCAAAGCCACCTTCTCGGTCACGTCCACGATCACCTCTGGCACCAGCACCACCACCTTGTGGGCACTCTCGTGCGTAGTGGCCCATCCGGTTACACTTGTAACAAGTGCTTGAACTCATGTTTTACGAATCTGTAAAATTAATTAGCCAGACTTTTGTACACAATTTCAGCCAGGAATTGGAAATGGTTGTGATATCGGTTCCGGTTTTTGGAACAATTAACGAAGAACCGAAATGATGTTACAACTGTGATGGGTCAAAAAGGTTCTGGCCTGTATCGGTTTCGGTTACGGTTCCACAGTCTATTACATCGGTTCTATGTCGATAAAGAACGGTTTTTAGATCGGTTTTATTGTTCGATCTTGCATCGGTTCTTTCTACACGAAGTTTAAGAAACGATACTCACCTTCACGTGCTAGTTTGCTTTACTTCAGATAGAAACTGCCAAAAAGGTCAGGGACTTGAGACTCTCAAGGGTAAATACGTTTCTTTATCGCTGAGCCTTTCGACAATCTCTATCTAAAGTAAAGCATTCTAGCACATGAAAGTGAATACCCTTTCTTACACTTCGTGTAGGAAGAGCCAAATCGGAAGATTGAACTATATAATTGATCGAAAAACCGTTCTTAATCGATATAGAATCCATATAATAACGGACTGTGGAATCGTAATCCAAACCAATACAAGTCACAGAACCTTTTGCACCCATAACAGTTATAGTACAATTTCAGTACTCCGTAACTGTTTCAATCACAATCTTTACATAACAATTATTAACAGTTATTTTCGGAACCGTTTCAACCCTTGGTTTGAACACGTGTTTCTGCTCTCAAATACTTGTGCTTTATCAATAATAAATTTCATTTGAACTGTTTTAATCCAAGATAATATGTGAGCAATCAGACTATTATACGATAATATTATGATAAAATCCCATCAGTAACTAGAATACAAAAGAACAAACATATTATTGCATGCATTAAAATGAGGCATCATACAGTTAGAAGTAAAGAAATAAAATTCTGTAAATAGTGAAAAAAAAATATAATATTTTTTCAAATATTCAGTTCTCACACAATTCAGAAATAGAACTATAAGATTTTTTTTAACTATTAATTACAGAAAAATTGTTTCAAAAAATCTTCCATGAAAAGAAACCGAACAGAGAACTGTGAAAAATGAGGAGATAGAAACTACAAAATCACGGAATTAACGACGTCGATGAGACAAAATAGAATAAAAATTATTCGCTACTTTCGATCTTCAAAAAAATATAGAATAACTATTTATATACAATTAACACGGAAAAGAATCTGACGAAATATAAGCTATTTTGAATAACAGGATAAAATGGCATCGTGCATCCGTCCATTCTCGGGAAGTACATAAGAAGACACACGTGTCCGTAGACTCCATAAAATTCTCAAAAAATTATCGTCCATCGTACAACGTGGCTTTATCGCCCCCACTTTGCAGTGGTGGTACGCAAGTACGCCACGGCGCGAAGATGGCATCCAAGACTGACGCCGTACTGCGCTTTTTTTGCCTGGGCATAGGAAAGACTGGCCGAGGGCGAGGTATACGTGCACGGCAATCCGCAGCGTACCGAGCCGGGCGACGAAAACAAAATTTTCTCCATAATATTGAAATACCGAAATAGAAATCCATTTACTGTATAACGAGATACAGAGCCGAAGAAGTTGAGGACCACGTGCGGAATTGCGTAGAAAGAACCGCGGAGCCCGGATTACCGCGACGTACAGCATTGTTCTTTACTAGCGGTGAAACGGCTTACCTCGGGTGCTCGGTGTACACGCACGATGAATCCTCCTTCGGTTCGACTTCGCCGACGCGTCGGTGACAATGGGTCCGCGAGAAGTAGTGTTTTCCTGGGAAAACTCGAACCGATACTCAGCCGGATGATTGCGACGACCATCGACTATAAGAGAGAAGACCGACCAATCGTCGCTACGTTGCCCGCCAAGCTCCCGTTGCAACTGTGGCGACAACGTCTCGCAAACTCGCCACCAGAGGCCTAAACCACAACGACTAATTCATACAAATTGTTCAATAACATCGAATTCATTTAATGAAACGGTCATTTAGATATAAATATTCTCAGACCCAAGACCAAGTTCATCGGATACACTTCATTACCGAATTGATTTGTATAGTAGACCTCAAGCGAAATGAAATATTCTCTTTTCCTTTCTACGCAGGTCCGACACAACTTCTATCACTATACGACGTGAACGCCATCTTCTCTACCACGGCTAACCGTGACCAACATAAATTGGGGAAATAACTTGTTTTCTCTAGAGAAATTGTTCTTACAACTATCAATCTAATAATCTAAAAAACAAGAAGAATGCAGAACATCTAACACCGTTAAAAAATAGTTTTAATCATAATCTCTGAAATACTTCTGTATGTTTCAACATCTCAATTTTGGTATGTCAAATTTGGGTATAGGCAAATATAGATGCGTCTGCACTGCATACGTCACTGATCTGTGCTGTACGTCTAGAAAAGTTGTGTGTATGAGTGAAATAGGGATACCTCTTACACAGTGTTTTCTGTCTAACAGGCCGCGGACACCTCCAATAAGTCCAATACTCAGTTATCGTTCCAGGTATGGAGCAGTAATCGAGTTCAATGATCTACAGTCTCAACAATTTTACTAGCTTATAGAATTTTTTCATATCATTGAAAGCATGTAAAAGGAAATTAATGATTTCTGTATCATATCAAGTCAGTTACACTTCTCTGTAAATAATTCTAAAGCTTATTATTAGAAACCGTTGCAATCACACAGAGGCTGTGATGTAAAAGATACATAAATGTAAGAAAACATAAAAAGCATAAGGATTGTTTTCGTAATATAAGATTAAGGCGTTGTTAATAAAATAGTTATTAAATATACAGATTTTACATTTTACAATAAGATTGTACAAGTATTATGTAAAATGGGTTTTACTTTCTATTTATTTTCTTTATTCACGTGATTTGTACTTCTAGTTTGTACAGAACAATCGATAAGTATTTCCGAAGTATTTAGAAATGTTATAAAGAATGAAGATCTTGTAGTGACGAAACTCCATCTGATGAGGAGCGTACTTCACGTAGTGCTGGCGTCTTATCTCCAAAGATTATGAAAGGGTTTCGAATTTTTTATCAAAGAGTGCAATGAAAGTGCAGTTAGTAACAGAAGCGAAATTGTTTCTGGGGGAACACTGCAGCGCAGAATTACAAAATTTTCTTATACGTATTCCATAGGATTTATTTAGGGATAACATTTAAATGGCACAAACGATTAGAAGAGAACGGACGTAACAAAATTGCTAATATAGACACATTTTATGAGTTCAATATCTGTGCCAATTTGTTTTGAAAACAATCTAACAATAACATTATATCTGCCAAAACTTGTAAATCACTATACCACCCAACAGATAAACGAGAAATATTTCTTACTGATCTCAAAAATCAATTATGTAGTTCCGCGTAATATGGAGGCAAGTTGTTGAAAAAATTCAAACTAAATACGTGATGCAGTTAAAACTTTTTTGTATATAAATGTACAAAATCACTATTATCTTCTAAATAAATAAACTAATAAATATTTTGAAGGTTCAGTATAAAATATAACATAGGAAGAAATACAATAATCTCCACAAGAAAGCTACTTTTAGGGTGTACAAATTGCATTGTATAGGTCAATATGAAGGAAAATAAACACAATTCTTAATGTAGCAAGTCACAGTTCTGATGCAGTCTATCTTGTGCAGGTTATGTATAATACTTCCTGGATCTTTGTCACAATTACCATATATTTGCTTGATATAAAAAATATAATTACAATGTAACAAGACAAACCTTCACTTGTAATGTACAAAAGTTCAGCTGCTGTAATTTCATTATTTTCTCCTATTGCTAATTAAGTCTTCAAATGCTTTATTTAACTGAGTACTAAATGGAATAAAACTAAACGTTTTTATAAAAATCTGTCTTTACCCGAAATACCAAATTCGTTCATGAGAGCTGGATTCTCAAATAAACTAGTTTTTAAGCAACTGCATCTGATACATCAACTAAAAATCCAGTTATTCCAAAAATCACAAATTCTTTTCGACCATCTGAGTTATGGGCAGTCACTGGTTTACTTGTATTCAATGCTTCAAGGGGAACAATACCAAAATGTTCATGGTGTGGTGTGTGTTATCAGAATTTTATAATAATATAGATTAGATATTTTGTTAATATCTGAAGGTGAACGAAGGAATATCACTTTATCTGTAACATATAATTCATCAGTATTCCCCATTATTTGCAAATAATATTTTATGTTTTGAATATATTTATGAATAATAACAAACATAATAAATATATTAAATTCCTAATAACCTGTTTGCAATCTTTTGCGATGTGTCCAACACCGTTACAACGGTAGCAAACATCCTGAACCTCTTTGCAGTCACGTGCATAGTGTCCAAATTGGTTGCACTTGTAGCATTTGTCACGATCGCGTCCATAACCGCCTCCATGGTCATATCCACGGTCACTTCTACCACCACCGCCGCCTCCACCACCACCGCCTTGTGGACACTCTCGTGCAAAGTGCCCTATCTGGTTACACTTGTAACAAGTGCTTGAACTCATGTTTCAAACTCCTGTAAAATTAATTAGCCAAACTATTATGTACAGTTTGAGCAGATATTTCTGCTGAAAAATTCTAGTGTTTTATCAGAAACAAATTTTATTTGTACTATTTTAATCCAAGATAATAAATTACAACAAAATTCCATCAGTAACTAGAATACAATATAATAAACATATTATTACAGTCGTATAAATCAAGCATCATACAGTTAGAATTAATAATGCAAAAGTCTGTAATTGTTGAACAAAATAGAATATTATTACGAATATGTGACTCATAGACAACATAAAAATATAACCAAATTTTTGTAACTACAAATTATGGACAAATTGTTTTTAAAAATTTTATGTTAAGAGAAGCCGAACAGAGAAATGTGAAAAATAAGAGACACGTGGAAACAATAAGAATTATTCTCTTTCTTTCGATCTTTACAAAAATACAGAAATATATACGTATTATAACACGGGAAGGAGGTTCGTGAAATACGTAAAAGCTACTTTCAATAACGGAATAAAATGGCATTGAGCATTCATCCATTTTCGGGGACTACAAGACACACGTGTTCTTTGGGATGCGTTGTGTATAACAAACATTGTGTCCGATTTCAAGGGTTCCGTTGGGAGTACCAATATTTTGTGGCTGAATTAATAACCGTTATTCGACCATTTCTCCATAAAAATCTCAAAAAATTATCATTCGTCCTACAAACGTGGCTTTATCCTTCTCACTTTGTATTGGTGGTACAAAAGTACGCCACATCAGAAAGATAGCATCCAAGAGTTTAGCATCCAATAGCATTCAGTGATATCTCCGCAGATTATACAACTATAATTTAGTCTTTTTTTATATAATTTGGTCTTTCAACGAATAGTTTGGATGGCCGAACAGAGTTTGGTTGCCTCGCCACGACCAAAAATTTTGAAACAATTGTAGTCGGCCAAGCGTCTCGATGTGATGGGATATCGAGGTTTCACAATTCATTATCGATATTCTCCTTGCCCCGAAGTCTCATTGGTCACCGGTGACCGACACGCGACCCGCAATATAAACACGCAAGAATAAAAATATTTAATTTTACTTTTTCCAATGTACTTTTGCAGAATTTTTATGAATAAATTGTGAAACTTCTCCTAACAAAAATGAGTACAAACTCGAATGTAATCGAGTAATTGTTACTGATACGTAATTGTACCAGTAGAATGATGTATTATATGAATTCTGTATTATTGAAATTTGAATGACGTCGTGTTTGAAATTATTATCATCAAGATAATCTCGTCAATTTGTCTGTAACTTTTATGAAAGTATATTTAAGTCACAGAATGTTTAATTTTTTCCGCGTGTGATTCATTCTGAGTGTTTACATTATAAGCCGGTGGGTCAATCAATGGCGGCCTTCCAGACTGCGAAGAAAGGAAGCCATCAATAACCGATCTCGAGCAGCTTGAAAAGTCAGAACTGTTCTTACTTTTTCAGGCGTTCGAATATTTTGCCCGATTTGGACTGCTTGTACTTTTTATCAGAAGTTCGAACATGTTCGAACAATTTAGTGACCCATCATTAAGAATATGCGCAGAACAAAACGAGACGTATGTAGCGAGGTGAACATCAAAAACAAAATTTCCTCCATAATACTGAAGAATCGAAATAAAAGTTCATTTAATATATAACAAAAAATTGAGTTGAAAAAGTTGAGGGCCACGTGCGGAATTGCATAGAAAGAACAGTAGAATCCGGCTTATCACGACGTACAGCTCTATTCTTTACTACCGGTGGGTGAACCGACTTACCTCAAGTACTCGATGAACACGAACAATGAATCCTCCTTCAATTGGATTTAGCAGTTGCTTCGGTAATAATGGGTGCGCGAGATGTACTACTCCCTGCAAAATCTCGGAGCCGATATTTAGCCGGATGATTGTGAAGACCATCGACTACAAGAGGGAAGACGGATCAATCGTTGCTATATTGCCCGCCAAACTCCCGTTGCAACTGTGGCGAAAACGTCTCCCGAACTCGCTACCAGAGGGCTAAAACGCAAGGACCAATTTGTGCAAATTGTTCAATAATAAAGAATTTGTTTAATGAAAAGTTCGTTCAGATATAAATATTTTCAGATTCAGGATCAAATTTATCGAATTGATTTGTATAGACCTGGGCAGTCCTTAAGCAAAGTGGAATATTCCTTTTTTTTTTCTTCCGGTACAGGATATGAACTTCAGTCACTACCCGGCGCGACGCCACATTTCTCATAACGGTTATTCGCAGTTATTCGTGACCAACATTAATTTGAGAACCAACTTACTTTCTCTACTGAAATTACTTTTCCGCTAAAAATTTAACAAGATATGACTTTATTAAAAATAAATTATAGATAGGAAGAGAACTCAAGAAGAACACAGACAATCTAACACCGTTGAAGAAACCTTTTTATGTAATCGTAATTTCTGAAACATACTTCTGTATGTTTCAAAATCTCTTGTCTGCCAGTAAATGTCACGGCGTAAAAGAGAGTTCTCATTTTAATTGACGAGTCTTAGTCCTAAGGTTTTGTGTGATCACAATAGAATGGACAAATATTTAGATTGTCGGTGTGCAATTTAGATGTATCTACAATTTCAACAATTCTACTAGTTAATACAATTTTTTCAAATCATTTAAAACTATTAAAATAACTGTAATTTAATGGATTTTATGAACCTTTCTTATTCCTAAAGCAAATAAAAGTAAACCCTATTAAATTTTTTGAAGTCAATTGCACTTCTCTATAAACGATTCGCTAGAAGCTGTAATTAAAAAGGTACATAAATATATGTAAAACAAAAAAATAAGCACTGATTTCATAACATGATATTATGACGTTATTAATAGAATATTTGTCAAGTATATAGGTAGATAGATTTAATTTACATTACAGTAAACTTTGTATAGGTATTACATGAAATGAGTACTTTCTATTCACTCTTTTTATTGGCACGATTTATATTTTACAGTGTATACAAAACAATCGAAAACATACGATGAATGAAGATAATTTTATTAACGATGCTTCTTCTGATAAAAAGTGTACTTCGCATTATGATGCCGCTTCTATCCTAGATTACGAAAGGACAGAAACAAAATTGTTTCAACAACGAGGAAAATAACTTTGTTAGCCATGGTTCTTATAGTAATGTCACTTAACAACAAAAATAAAATATATAGATAAAATGTAGAATATAAGTACGTAATTTAAATTTTGTATGAACTATGGAAATTTTACTGCAGTTTCGCATAGTACTAACAGGAGAGTTCTCAAAAAATTGCAAACATGTGATATAGTTAATACATTTTTATATATAAATACATAAAAACGCTATTCTAAAAATAAACGAATAAATATTTTGATGGTTCCGTATAAAAGATAATATAGGAAGAAATACAATAATCTCCACAAGAAAGCTACTTTTTGTGTGTACAAGTAGAATTGTGTAGGTCAATATGAGGGAAAATAAAGGAACAAAATTCTTTAAGTTAAAAACATAGCAAGTCACAGTTGTTATGCAGTCTATCTTGTGCAGGTTATGTATAATACTTTTTGGATCTTTGTCACAATTACCATATATTTGCTTGATATAAAAAAATATAATTACAATGTAACAAGTCAAACTTGTAATGTATAAAAGTTCAGTTGTTGTAATTTCAATCTTCTTTCCTATTGCTAATTACGTTTCCAAATGTTTTATTTAACTGAGTACTAAGTGCAACAAAACTAAAAGTTTATATAAATGTGGTTTTACCCGAAATACCAAATTCATTCAGGACAGTTGAATTTTTAATCAAATATGCTAGTTTTGAAGCAACTGTATCACCCAATACATCAACTAAAAATCCAGTTTTTCCAGAAATCATGAATTCTATTGGACCATCTGAGTTATGGGCAATCACTGGTTTACTTGTATACATTGCTTCAAAGGGAACAATACCAAAATGTTCATGGTGTGGTGTGTGTTATCAGAATTTTATAATAATGTAGATAGATATTTTGTTAATATCTGAAGGTGAACGAAGGAATATCACTTTATCTGTAACATGTAATTCATCAGTATTCCCCATTATTTGCAAATAATATTTTATGTTTTGAATATATTTATGAATAATAACAAACATAATAAATATATTAAATTCCTAATAACCTGTTTACAATCTTTTGCGAAGTGTCCAACACCGTTACAACGGTAGCAAACATCCTGAACCTCTTTGCAGTCACGTGCATAGTGTCCAAATTGGTTGCACTTGTAGCATTTGTCACGATCGCGTCCATAACCGCCTCCATGGTCATATCCACGGTCACTTCTACCACCACCGCCGCCTCCACCACCACCGCCTTGTGGACACTCTCGTGCAAAGTGCCCTATCTGGTTACACTTGTAACAAGTGCTTGAACTCATGTTTCAAACTCCTGTAAAATTAATTAGCCAAACTATTATGTACAGTTTGAGCAGATATTTCTGCTGAAAAATTCTAGTGTTTTATCAGAAACAAATTTTATTTGTACTATTTTAATCCAAGATAATAAATTACAACAAAATTCCATCAGTAACTAGAATACAATATAATAAACATATTATTACAGTCGTATAAATCAAGCATCATACAGTTAGAATTAATAATGCAAAAGTCTGTAATTGTTGAACAAAATAGAATATTATTACGAATATGTGACTCATAGACAACATAAAAATATAACCAAATTTTTGTAACTACAAATTATGGACAAATTGTTTTTAAAAATTTTATGTTAAGAGAAGCCGAACAGAGAAATGTGAAAAATAAGAGACACGTGGAAACAATAAGAATTATTCTCTTTCTTTCGATCTTTACAAAAATACAGAAATATATACGTATTATAACACGGGAAGGAGGTTCGTGAAATACGTAAAAGCTACTTTCAATAACGGAATAAAATTGCATTATGCACACGTGTTCTTTGTGATGCGTTGTGTATAACGAACATTGTTTCCGATGGGAGTATAAATATTTTGTGGCTGAATGGATAATCGCTGTTCGACCATTTCTCTATAAAATTCTCAAAAAATGATCATCCATCCTACAAACGTGGCTTGATCGTCCTCACTTTATACTGGTGTTACAGAAGTACGCCACGTTGAAAAATAGTATCCAAGAATTCAGTGATAGCTCCGCAGACTATTCAAATATATTTGGCCTTTCAACGAATAGTTTGGACGGCCTGAACAGAGTTTGGTTGCCTCGCCACGACCAAAAGATTTCAAACAATTGTAGTCTGCCAAATGACTCAAGTAGTGGGGTATCGGGGCTTTACGATCGGTTATCGATATTCTCCTTGCCCCGAAGTCTGATTGGTCACCGGTGATCGACCCGCGACCCGTAATATAAACATGCAGAATTAATCACGCATAAATAAAAATTTTAGTTTTTATTGCTTTTAATATACTTTCACCGTAATTTTATAATTAAATTGAAAGATTCTTCTGATAAAAATGAGTCCAAACTCGAATAATTTTTTCTGACACGTAATATCGCGATTCAAGTTGTGTATTATTGAAAATAGTCTGACGTCGAGTTTAGACTTATCATAAGGAAAATCTCGTCAATTTGTTTGTAACACTTTTATGAAAGTACATTTAAAACAGCAAATGTTTAGATTTTTTTAGCATAATTCATTCTGTGTGTTTACATTATAGGCCGGTGGCTAGTCAATGGCGGCCTTATGGACTGCGAAGAAAGGAAGCCATCGATAGCCGATCTCGAGCGGCTTGAAAAGTCAGAACTGTTCTTACTTTTTCAGGAGTTCGAACATTTTGCCAGGTTCGAACTCTGTTTGGACTGCTCATACTTTTTGTCAGGAGTCCGAATATGTTCGAATAGTTTGGTGATCCATCATTAAGTATATGCGCACGACAAAACGGGACGTATGTAGCGAGCCGAACATCAAAGGCAAAATGTTCTCCATAATACTGAAGAATCGAAATAAAAGTTCATTTACTGGATAACGAGAAAGTGAGTCGAAGAAGTTGAGGACCACGTGCAAAATTGCATAGAAAGAACTGCGGAGCCCGGCTTATCACGGCGTACAGTATTGTTCTTTACTATCAATGAAATGACTTACCTCAGGTACTCGATGAACACGAACAATGAATTCTCCTTCGATTGGATTTTACCGACGCGTTGGTGACAATGGGTTCGGGAGAAGTAACGTTTTCCTGGGAAAGCTCGAACCGATATTCAGCCGAGTGATTGTGAAGACCATCGATTAGAAGAGGGAAGATGGAATAACTGTTGTTACTTTGCCTGCTAAACTCCCGTTGCAACTATGACGGCAGCGTCTAACAAACTTGTTACCAGAGGGCTAACACACAACACTAATTCGTGCAAATTGTCCAATAATGTCGAATTGGTTGAATGAAAAGGTCATTTATGATTCAAATTATTTTGGGTTTAAGTCCAAGTTCATGGAATAAACTTTATAACCGAATTTATATGTGTGGTAAAGTTCAAGCAAAATAAAAAGGTTCCTTTCCTTTCTTCTCAAATAAATACAAATACGAACTACCATCGCTATCCAATACGAACGCCCCCTTTCGCACCACATATATTCGTAACCAACATAAGTTTAGAAACATATTTACTTTTTCTAGAGCTAATGCTTTCACAGCTGCCAATGTAATAATCATCAGACTTGGATAGGGAGAGATGCCAAGAAAAAGAACGCAGCAATCTAACACCGTTAAAAAATATTTTTAATCGTCATGCCTGGATGTATTTCTATATTTTACTAAATCCCTTACCACCACTAAATGCTGTAGCATCAAAAAGGGTTCTCATTTCAATTGGTGACCTTTGGTCTACAAGTTCGGTGTGATCACAGTAGAATGAACAAATATTTCAATCGATGGTGTGCAGTGTAGATGCATCTGGATGCATCTACAGTCTGAACAATTCTACTAGCTTATACAATTTTCTTGTCGTATCATTGAAAACATTTAAAGTAAATGAAATCTTATGAATTTAGTATATCTTTCTTATTCCTAAAATAACTACAAGTCAACCTTATTAAATCTTTTGAAGTCAGTTGTACTTCTCTGTAAGCGATTCTATTTCTTATGCATAAACAGTTGCATTCACATAGGGGCCGTAAGTAGGCACAAGTAGGCATTAGTGTTTAATACAAGTGTAGTATTTTTTAGTAAGAGAACGTAAAAAAATAAGGATTCGTTTCGTGACATTGACAGAAATCAAGATTAAGACATTATTATTATAATATTTATGAACTGTCGATTTGATAAAGTTTTATAACTGGATCATTCCACCAAATATAATGTTTTAATACAAACGTGACGTATAAAATACAGACATGTCACTATATGATGATTTTGATAAACATAGAACCTCCGAAAAGGTGGCTGGATGGTCATCAAGTATCAAATTGTTACAATCCCAGTTACAATTAAAAAAAGCTGCTACTACGCAGGTAAATTTCTTACATTGTAACATTTGAATTATGATAACAGTTAAGATTTTTAATGTTTTGTGTGACTAGCCCAAACGTGAACAATATAGAAAAGCCACAGCAGTATTAGCACCTGTGATTGATTTGAAATCAAAATCAAATAGAAATGTGGATAGAGAAGATGAGGGGCCACATAGTAATCCTCTTTCTTCCAGTAGTGTTGGTAGTATTGGAATAGGTGGCGAATTCGATTGGAATGTAATAAATGAATATGATCCTATGTGGCCTAATGAATATGATAAAGTTGTTAAGGAATTAAGAGACTTGCGAGATAGAGAACATGATCAAGAAACTGAAATGCGTAAGAGAAGACGTGATAGCTCACGTTTCGAAGATACACAGGTAATATATGATACTATGTTCAAAGAAAAAGAATAGGAGAACATCTTTCTGTATGAGAAGTAACATAAGCATTTGTCTAGACTTCCTCTGGGAATAACACAATGATTGCTCCTGAGAGAGATGAAGAAAGGACTCCAACATCTAGAAGTGTGGCAGGTGGAGCAGCTATTGCACCACCACCCTCTTTGCAAGAACCTACTGACCTTCCACCTCCAGCACCAAGGCAATCAACTAACATGGGATATGCAACATCATCCGTGGCAGCAAAAATAATGGCCAAATATGGATTTAAAGAAGGTCAAGGGCTTGGGAAAAAAGAACAAGGAATGTCTGTTGCTTTGCAAGTAGAGAAGACTAGTAAAAGAGGTGGAAGAATTGTTGGAGAAAGGGAACAACTTATGCCTCCACCACCACCTGTTGCAGTTTCTCCACCTCCATCACAACAAGCTCCTCTACAGCAGCCTTCCGAAGAGCCTAGTATTACAGAAATAATGAAATGTCCGAGCAAGGTTAATTTAAAAAAGCTTGTGGATACCATAAATTACTTAAGACTTAATGTAATTAATTACAAATATATCACTTTTATTTAGGTCGTTCTGTTGCGCAATATGGTTGGTCCTGGAGAGGTGGACGAGGATCTTGAACCTGAAGTAAAAGATGAATGTAACACAAAATATGGTGATGTTGCACGTGTTATTATTCATGAAGTAGCAGAGGTTGTTCCAGAAGAAGCTGTTAGGATCTTTGTAGAATTCAAAAGGATAGAAAGTGCTATTAAAGCTGTTGTTGATTTGAATGGACGGTTTTTTGGTGGAAGACAAGTTAAAGCAGGTTTTTATTCCAGTGAGAAACTCGACAATTTACAATTAATGGACTAACTTCTTATTTAATAAATGCAACAACAAAATTATTCGAAATAAATGTATTGATTATATTGTGTATCAGTTAGTACAGTATATCATGATTTTACTATCACGCTCGTGTCATAATTGATTCCCATGAAAAGAATTGTCGATAAATTAATGTCACGAAAAAATGACGAAGTTTACATAAAAGTCAACATATTAAGAAACATTTGAAATTATATTTAACTTCAAATTGAATAAGATGTAATATAGCTGAAACATTTTTATATGTATCATACAATTAATGATCTGAATGTAACATAAACGTCATGTGCACAGTAAGTATAAAAGATAAATATACATAAAAATTCATTTCTATCCTAAAAATAAATAAACGAATAAATATTTCGATGTTTTTAGTACAGTTGACAATATAGGAAATATAGGTCAATATAAAGGAAAATGAAGGAACATCATTTTTCTAGAATTGAAAATAGCAAGTAATAGTTGCAATACAGTCTATCTTCTGCAGGTTTATGTATGATACTTTCTAGATCCTAGAACCTTGTCACAATCACCATATATTTGCTTGATATAAAAAATATAATTAACATGTAATAAGGCAAAAATTCACTTGTAGTATATAAAACTTTAGCTGTTATAATATTATTCTTCTTTCTTACTGCTAATTAAGTCTTCAATAGCTTCATTTAACTGAGCAGTAAATGCAGCAAAACTAAAAATTTTCATAAATCTGTCTTTACCCGAAATACCAAATTCGTGCATGAGAGTTGGATTCTTAATCAAATATGCTAGTTTTGAAGCAAATGAATAGCCTGATAAATCGACTAAAAATCCAGTTATTCCAGAAATCACAGATTCTTTTGGACCCCCGGAATTATGGGCAATCACTGGTTTACTCGCATACATTGCTTCAAGGGGTACAATACCAAAATGTTCATTTGGTGGTGTGTATATTAAAATTTTACAATGATGTAGAATAGATATTTTGTCAATATCTGAAGGTGAACGAAGAAATATCACTTTATCTGTAACATGTAATTCATCAGCAAGCCCTATTAATTCTAGATAATGTTCTACATTTTCTTCAACTCTTTTATCGTATCCTCCTGCCATAATTAAATGCACTGTTTTATATTCATCATCTGTTAAGTACTTTTTAAGTTCTGCCAATGCTTCTATTGCCAATCCCAAATTCTTTTTTCGTTCGTATCTGTTAATTGATAGTAATATAATACTATCTGGTGGTAATTTTTTATCAAGTACCCTTTCCAAAGACATGATTCTAGTTTTGTCAAAAAAATCTGTGTTAATAGAAGGATATAATACTTCAGGTTCAACTTGTAATCTTTTGAAAGTATCCTTAAATACACCACGTGTGTATAAGCTATTTACAAATATTTTTTGCGCCATTCCAGTTGTGATTTCTTCCAAATAATTTAATGGTACACGATATAATTGTTTAGCAATGCCTCCTGGTTGAGACAACAGCTGATCTGGATGATGGCAATAATATATTACATATGGAATTCTCAGACGAAGAATAGGAATGCATACAGAAACTAAGTCACAGAATACAATTTCTGGTCGATGTTCGCAAAAAATGATGTAACTAGCTGCATATATCTGAAAAAAAAAATAGAGCATTGAAATGAATTTATAAGAGGTATATAGTCTCTTGCAGATCACAAAATCACAAATAAATAGTCCTCTTGGAGCCATCTTTTAGAGCTCGCTATATCTTGTACACCAACTATACAACTAAACAATTGTTTTCCCACCTGTACCAACAATCACATATTAAAGCAAGTGAAATTAGCTCACCATTCGAATGTAAGCAAAAAGTGCGAAGAATCTACCCAAAATATGCGTGGGTAGCCAGTCTCCAACAACTGTGACGGGAATTGTTCCATCTTTAGTTTCGGAAAAACAGTGATCTGGATCATGATGAGTTGTCACGAAATTAACATCGTGACCTTTTTTCTTTAAAGCTAACGCTGCATCGACTACTAATCGTTCGGCACCTCCAATTCCAAGGTCCGGGTGTAAAAATGTAATTCGCGTCATTTCTATTAATTATTTAATAACAGTAAATATAATATTTAAAACGGAAAATAGAAGGTGTCAGTCAGTGTCAGTGGTACTACCGGTCTGATCTAACCAGATCTAACACCTGTTAGTCTTTTAAGGCTACTTTTAACACGACGATCAACATAGATAACATCCCGCTTGTCAAATCATAAGAATAGCCAAACGAATCAACGGATGTTTATTCAATGTAAGAATAGTTTAAATCTGCTAGAATTTGTTCGTGTTGTTACAATCAGTGAAAAATGTAATTGAATGTAACCATAATTAAGGAATGGCAGATTTTATGCATTTGTATAGTATATGTATATGTAAATATGTAGAATACATAAATTCTCATCGAGTAAAAGCTTTTCAATCTAGGTAAACTATTATAGATACAGATTTTTGAGATTTTAACTTATATCGCATACAGAACTAAATACATATTGTTCGTTGTTGCTTGTTTTTAGTAATATCTTTACTGAACCAAAACTAATTCCGAAACATCATTTTTAAGGACACAAACAATATTAAATAGTTCTTTTGAAATATATTTCAAAAATATATATATAGAAACATTCCCCCTCGCCGCCGCAAGTCTCTCTAGGGTTAATGAAGCTTTGACAACGTATTTATTTGATATCTAATCTCTAGAAGTCTTTAATAAGAGGAGTTACTTTTTCTTCAATTTTTGTTTGATGATTTTAGAAAATTTGAATTTACATAAAAATTCACTGGTTAGTAACCATAAATGTATGTAAGTGCAGGGAAGAAATTGGAATCAATTGGAATCAAGCGAGCGTTGCTAACCACGATTGCTGCACTACAAACAACGAATGACAGTACAATATAGAAGTTGATAAATCTTATCATCCTTTACGACTTAACAAAAAGGTAAACTTATTTAAATAATTGTCATCAATTATGTCGAGCATTAGAAAAAGTGTGATTACGGAAAATGATAAGAAACGTCTGAAAGAATCATTTTACTTGATGGATAGCAATGCTGATGGTTATTTAGATTATCATGAAACGAAAGCTGCACTAAGGGCTTTAGGTTTTACAGTTAAAAAATCGTATGTTCTGGCAATTATACGTATGTACGATAAGCACGGTCGTAATAAAATTTGTTTGGATGATTTTAATTATGTTGGTATGTTGAACATAGTAGTAATAGTTAAAATATTTTTACAGTGTATCCCATTTTAATATTTCCATATGATTATCTCCCAAATTGTTGTGCGAAAAAATCATTCAGAACATCTTATAATGAATATATTTTTTTTTCTAGATTGAAGTACTTTTTAATTGTTTAAGGTGATTTTTCTTTTTTTTTAATGGTACAATGCTTTTTTTTAGTTGGACATGTAGTCTACATCCAGTCATTTAGAATCTAGTGTCATTAAGTAGCCTGTTATTTAAAATGAAACACTTTATAAATTAATTACATATGTATTGATTTATATAATTTTCATGTCTGTGCAGTATTAGAAAAATTGAGTAAACGAAGCTTTTTAGATGAAATAAAGATTGCATTTAAGTTGTTAACAAATAATTCTACATGTGATAAAATAACATTAGAAGATTTACAAATATTTAACGAAAAACTTGAGTGCAACTTAACACTTGAAGAAATGGAACTCATGATTAAAGAGTTTGATTTGGACCAAGATGGTTCTAGTAAAGACGATTTTAGTCCATTAATAAAGCTTGACATTATATTCTTTGTGTTTTGAAAGTATAAATAATAATTAATAATACTTATGGTTTTAGTTAATGAAAATGAATTCATAGAAATTATGATGGATCTTGGGATTTAAAAGAGTTCTAGTTTCTGTCATAATTTCACATCACTATCACAATGAATGTTGGAATCAATTGGGAAGAGGAGCACCGGCGTACATTACAAGATAGCTTTGCCGCATTGGACCGCTCTGCACAATCAATTGCACGGTCACAAACTGTTGCTGCTCAGAGTGAACAAATAGGGACAGAAGTATTATCTGAATTAGGTGACCAAAGAGATCGATTGTTGCGAGCGAAAAGACGATTATCAGAAACAGATGAAGAATTGGATAAAACAAGGAGAATACTGAATATTATGAAAAGGAGAGTGTTAATGAACAAATTTGTATTAGTTCTAATAATATTGTTGGAAATAGCTATACTTGGTATTATTGTGTATCTAAAGTTTTTCCATTGATAATACAGTGTATTATTTAATTTCTATTTATATGTGTACATTGTACATACATGTATTTTTATTTCATTAATGTATCATATGTACTGTATATATAAATTACTTAAGATTGCATTATGAATAAAATGTTATAACTAATATACTCAGAAGTGCTACAATAAAATTATGTAACTTTAGAGTTACTGATCAAGTATTAAATCAGATCTACCAATTATACAAAAGGGACTTGTAACAATATTTGTAACTGATAGAAGAGAATCTGCAATAACAGTCACTTCAATGATTTTTGTATGTAGTATAGCTGAATGTAGCTAATAGTCGTAATTTAGATTTTAGATATTACAATATCAAAAGATATAATATAGATTTTACAATATATGTTATTCCTGAATTTACTGTTCTCATGACGTAGAAGTTGTTAAAATCACAGGCTTATATGTAAAAATATACCAATTGCCAAAAGGTAATTGTGCGTATTAAGATTCTTATATCACGTTATTAGATAAAAAAGATATAAAAACAAATAAAAAAGGAACGTGTAAAAAGTCACATTACTAAAATGTTCATTCACGGTTTATATAGAACAATATAGAATAAGTTATCGTATAGATAAGTCAAAAAATATATACTTCTGTGCGTCTGTGCGTCCTGTTTCATGAATGCCTTTACTGAAGCGTCGCATATTTTTGTTCCCGCCAAATCATATTAAATTGCGTAATATGAACGAGGTATACGGGTGTAACAAAAGCGTTGTGAGTCCCTGAAATGGGTCAATCGTTCGCGAGGTGATTAGAAACAAAGTTTTCCTCAGTTTTCCTTAGCAAAAATGTTATCCAAGCAGGCTTTGTTAATAAGATGTTAACAAAAAACCCCGACCAATCGCAACGCGTAGCCAACACTACGCGCTCGGCCGATAGACTCGGATTCTGATTGGTCGGAGTTTTTTTATTAATACTTCATTAGCATAGCCTGCTCGAATAACATTTTTGCTAAGAAAAAACTTGTTCTAAATCACCTCGCGAGTGACCCATTTCAGGGATCTATAACACTTTTGTTACACCCTGTATAATAATCCATTTATGCTAATAAAAATAACACTCAGAATTCATGCTTTATCGGTAACGTTGGAGATTGACACTATTTGACACTAAAGTCATAACGGGGTTCCTAGGACCCCACAAAATCTGGCCCATCTGGCCACGAAAAAGCATTGGATAACAGGTCTATTGATACATCTCATCTGTGGCTGTATCAAGTGTTTAATAGTTATCGACAGGGCGAACTGGAAATTAGAACGATTGAGGACGAGCAAGAATCTTTAGTATTTTGTGATTCAATACATGGTCGGGTCATGGCGTATGTTAATGTCGCTGAATGGAAAACTGATCAAGTGTGCGAATGGTTAAAAGGTGTGAAAAAACGTGTTTTTTTTTTATAAATTTACTAAATCGTTTATTATATTTCCAGAAATGAGTGATTTTTCTTAATCGTCTGTCGTTGAAATTTGCGTGTGAAAATACACTCTTGGCATGTATACGCCCGCATTTCTCTCTTCTCTCCTCTCTTCGTTTGATCACTCATTTTATTATATGTGTAAAACAGTGCTGATTCATTTAATCGCTCGTCTCAAATAGATACTTGCCTTACGGATAGTGTATTACTTCAAAAACAAATGAATTCTAATTGTAAAAAATGACTTGTGAGCATAAGCAAAGGCTTCATTCGTCTCTGCAGTATGTATTTAAGTTCATTGTTTACATACACTTCAATGAATGATCTTCACTAATCTGGAGTAATACATATTCAAAGTATGAAACACTATTCAGGTTTAATATATCATCTTCTAATGAAAATAATTTTCTTTTAAAGTGATTCTTTTAAGTTTTTATTTTATAAACTAGTTTACAAAAACTGGAATCTAATTTGTTTATTATGGGTCTTTTTAAACTCACAATAATATATAAATTAAATTAAGTTCTATTCAGCTTCTTATTATATTGAGATATGGACATTTACTTATAGTTTAGTTATCATATCTGTTTTTCATTGAGATTAATGAGACTTTCATAAAGTGTAAATTATTTTTGTTATAGGCTTAGATAATTCTGTACTCCCTTATGTGCACAGTTTTACAAATCACAGCGTTAGTGGGCAACAGTTACTGAGTTTAAGACCTGAAGATTTAGAACACCTTGGAGTATTAAAACTTGGCCATCAGGAAATTATTCTAGAAGCTGTAGAGTATTTAAGGAATTTTCATTATGAGCTCGATCGTGAAAACCTGCAATTATTGGCATTACGACTATCCTGCCAAGCACATAGTCTGCAGAATGAGCTATCCCGTGAAACAGATTCTAAGCCTGTCACCACTCAAACTTTATCTGATGTAGCATCTGTTATAACAGCTGTAAAGCCTTTAGTGAGATGGCTTGATCGTCCTCCGTTTTCTGGACAGTTGGAATATAATGATAAAAAAACTGAACTAATGAAACTAGCTTTGGAAATGGCTACATGTGCACAAAGAGATAGATTCGCAGAGAAGCCAATAGAAGAGATCAGAACAATTTGCGGGCAACTGGCTAAATTAGCAGATTATATAATACAAGATATAACTGATCCTATGATATTACAGCCGGCTAGTTTAGATTTGGCTACATTAAAAAAGAAGCCAGGAGATGACTTAGTAAGTCTTAAAATAAACAGAATTATTATAGTTGAAAGAAAGTGATATTTTCCATGATGCTTTCTCTTCCTTAAAATAAATCTATAATGCATGCAGTATACACAGTGTAATGACATAAATTGTAGAACATTGTGGTTTGTAATCATTGTGGAAGAAATTATCTGCTGCATCCTTTATAGATAAGCCTGCAACCACTGAACCAACACAACTCTAACTTCCTGTACAGATACTTGTTTCATAGTATATAATTAAATTACTATCAGAGAACATATTGTTTATAATCATATATTACGAAAGATCGACATTTTCAAATATTATCCTGTTTTTCAGGGATTTTATATTTTACCATCGTTTCACGGAGCTCATCAAATTGCTGAAATTAAATTTGGATCAGCTGCTCATCAATGTGGTAAAATGGAAGAAGGAGATGAAATAGTTCAGGTATTCTCGCAATCTTGCTTGTCAGTTGAGTGTCGATAAGTGATAACATTGAATATTAATCACGAAATAAATATTTTAGGTAAATTATCAGACTGTAGTCGGTTGGGAACGAAAGAACCTTTTAGAATTATTTCGCGAACATCATATACAACAAGATGGCAACATAATCTTCCATCACCAAGACCAGAATTATTGACCATACCAGATTTTACAATGCCATTACCAAGGTACATACGTATACATATTGTTTTTACATTTATATTATATCGCATGATATTAATTTAAAAATTTGTTTAGGCACATGCCAAAGAATCCGAGTCCAGAACCTGCAAGTATTTTAGATACAGTCAATATATTAGACACAATGATCATAGATAGTAGTGACTCTGATAGTGAAACAGAACCGCCTCTATCAATTCGATTATATTCTACAAAACCAAGAAATTCAGTTCAAAGACGAGCTACTATAACTGGTGCTAGTCCCACTACTAAACATGGAATTGATATTGAACAATTCTGGAAAGAATTGAAGCAGGAGCATAGTACGAGTTCTCAGTTACGGGACAAAGCAGCATCTTGCGCTCACGGTTTAGATAATGTCCCTTCGAATTTACGACCACAATCGTGTTTGACTATAGAACACAGTAAACGAAAGAAGAGGTCTGATATGCAAACTGACGATAAAAAGTTGCAGTTTCAAGAAAAATCTGTTAAATCTGATGTTCCTCAGATAGATAATACAGTTAATGTTATACACGAAGCGAAGGATGAATGTAAAACTGTTCGAAATTATGAGGAAATTTTAACTACTAATAATACTACAATTTCCAGCAAAACATCTCCAACATCTGCTAATGTTACCAATAACAATAATTTCGGTGATACAAGTGTGCCTTTAGACGAGTGCAACAATTTTATTAGAGATAGACATAGTAATAATAAGAATATACTAGGCGGTAAAGAATCTAGTTCGTGTGCTGTTAAAGAGCGAGGTAAATTGGATAAGAGTTATAGCACACCTGCATATGATTTAATGGACACTGACGATGTTGAAGACAGAAAGCAAAAATTATTTTATACGTTCCAGTCGTCTACAAATAATGTAAGCAATGTATCCACGAGTAAGACTGATATTGAATTGAATTCTACGAGTTTAGATAATCAACAAAAGTTAAAAGATATTGGTGATCAGCAACAATGTACTCACGTGGTCATTGATAATAATATTAAGAGTGAAGAGCAAAATAGTAAAGAACAATTTGTTGAAACGTTTCAACACTCCGATTTACCGAAAATATTTGTACATAAGATAATCGATGCGAGTCACGGAAACAGTATAGAAAATAACCAAAGCAATAACGAATGTATTATTTCCGATGTAAATAAATACGACAAAAGAAATATAACGAATAATTCAAATGCTGAAATGGGAAATACGTCACAGGCGTCTAACACTCAAATTTTGGCAAGTAATTCAAGTTCGAAATATGAAGTAAACGAAGATAAGTCACAGTCGTCGTATAATTACGTACAAAATAATATCGAGAACAATACAAATTTGAGTAGTTTTGGTAAAATTCTGCAAACGTTCAATTCCGTTCCAGTAGAACATTCGAAGTTAGGAGAAAAAAAGTCTTCTAATGTATCGACGAAAGAAAGAACACCAGTCCAAGAACAAGTACGGACAAATTGTGATTTGGATTCTGCTGAAGATGACATACAGAAAATTACTCAAAACATTCCTCAAATACAGATCAGTCAAAAAATTCAGAATGATAACACAAAAATTAAAGATGCGGTTAATCAAGCAAAGACGGTACTACCAGGCAAATACGCAGAGCTAACTAAGACCGACTCTACTAAGAAGCTAGAACCTAAATCTCATTTAATACCTCCAGACCCCCCTCCACGTAAATATTATACAAAGTTGACGACATCACATTTTGATAATGCTTCAAAGGCTTTCGAAGATCAAGAAAAACTTTATGCATCTCAAAGACCTAATGTTAGAAGAGATTTAAAAAAGCCAGAGTATTATGCGGAAAATCATATTAAAAGCAACATGGATCTTCAAGAAAAGCAAGATTATTTAGACGCTTGTAATAATTTTACAGAAAGATCAATCGAATACATTGATGAAGTAAACAATTTAGGTAACGAACGTAGACCTAGCTCAAACCTGGATTCTTTATTTGTAGAATACAATGATAAGCAGGTAAAAGAAGACAAGTCTATCTGTGATAAGTATGAACCTTTCGGTGAAAAATATGGTTACGCGAGTTCGACAATGGACGGCCATAATCCTGAATTATATTCGCAAACTATGGATTCTCTAGATGGTTCATGCTCTTCAAAGCAATTACAATCCCTAGAACATAAACTTAAAAATTCGGAAAAAGAGAAACATTTAGAAAAAGGTGTGGTTAACAAAGCTATGATGGTAGCCAGAAGTATTGGACTACATGGAAGTTTAAGTAAATCTTCTAGCAGTAGTCCCAGAAGTAGTAGGAAACGGAGCATATTGTTTGCAAGTAAGCATCGGATGTATAAAAATCGTTTATTTGCAAGTGTGCATATATCCATTAATATTATAACCTTTGTATTACATTTTCGTCAGGAAGGAGAAATATTTCCGTTAAAGATATAGGTGCTGGTGATTTAGAAGGGTGGTTAACTTATCGTACAAGAGGTGCTGGTGGTGCTTGGGCTAAAGCTTGGTTCGTCTTAAAATGTTCTTCCTTATACAGGTTTGTCGAATGAATTCTAATATTCTTGTATGTGTATATCGTACAATATTTAATTCGTTGTATTTATAGATTTAAAACTCAAACCAGTATGAAAGCAGATTGCCTCATAGCTTTGACTGGATTCACCGTGTCGCGAGCGTTCGAAGTAAAGTCTAGAAAATTTGCGTTCAAAGTTTACCATACAGGAACGGTATTTTATTTCGCTGCAGACACGGAAGACTCGCTTACTTTGTGGTTAGAGGCAATTAACAAAGCAACTTTGGGCACCGATAGTCATAGTAGAAATAGCGCGCTTTTCAGTGAAACGGACGAGAGCGACGGCGAACAAAAACCGAAAGTTAAAAACGCTCAAACACTAGAATATAAACCAAATTTGGAAAAATCGTTCGGGTCGTTGAACAAAGTTGTTCGCAAGGATTCTTCTGGATACAAGGATCATGAAATGAGCGGTTCCAGCTTGGACAGGAAATATTTAAAATTTCTCGGTACAAGAAATCATAATGTACCAGTACCAACGGCACAATTTCGAAGTTACAGAAGAGTACTTCCCACATCTACCCCCAACAAGTAAATTGATATAGTAAGAAATGCTTCGTGTAAGATGAGAATGCAATATTAACAACTTTTTTTTTAGGAAACAAGATTCTGTCCTGAACTCGTCAGACTTACAAATGACAATTGCAGGAAGCACGTTTTATGGATTGTGCGCATCTCAAAGTGCTACGGATATGTCGAGTAGTACTCAAGATATGGGGGATTATAGGCGCACAACGGACAGGTAAATACATAAATCTAATACTGTAGAGATAACAGTTTTATTGCTTATTCAAATGTGCGTACTGTACTAAATCAAAGTTACTAACCATACTACTCTTTTTAAATGTAGAAATAGATTCTAAGTCATAAAACGATAAGATTGTCACGCTGCACAATTTATAATAAAACAATAGACAGAAATTATTGATTAACTTTATTTTACACACTAATAGTTTGTGCACGTCTTTCCATGGTTTATTACGTTCCTCCACTCCATCCTTAATTGTGCGAACTTTTCAAATTTTTTTGTCCGTTGTACATCTATATTTAGAGCAACTAGTAAAAGGATGTTTAATATACAGGTGTGTTACTAGCAGAAACAGAAGACCGGACGAATTACAAGGTTTTATCACGTTAGAGGAATTTATGTTGTCGCAACAAGACGATCGGGGACAAGTAACAAGAAATAGATCGGTATCACCGCATATAACACCATTGACCAGCGATCATGTTCATGTTCAGCACAGAAATTTTCATGACAGCGGAACAGTTAATGAACAATCTAAAACTACCACCGAGGCAGTGATCAGTAATAATGTTGTACATGCCCGAAGTAAAAATAATGGTGAAGTAGTAAATGCTACTACGTCATACGGATATGCGAGAAATACGGATAGTTTACACGCACGGCAGTTAAGCGGCGATTTCGATTCGGAGAGAAGCGAAAATAGGGGAGAATCGTCAAAATATTCAACCCAGAAGAAATCAAGTGAGCCCAGTTACATGCACAAAAGAAACGCAGCGGAAGGCTCAAGTTCTCAACAAGTGAAACCTTGCGATTCGACTCATTTGAGAAATGTTACAAGCGATTCGAAGCAATCAACTTCTTTCTACCATAGTAAATCAGAGATGGGTGAACAGTTGGATAGACAAGCAAGTACGGTTTGCGACTATAGTTCGAATGCTTGCGCGTATCCTCAACCTTTAAATCATCATGAAACCTCTAGATCGTATGATTATTATTCAGTAAAAAATGTTAGTAATTTCGCGGAGGATATGAAATCAGTGCCTAAACGACTTGTTCGAAATGACGGTAAGAGTTTCGTACGGAAATACTAATCTTGTAGTGTACGAAAATAATAAGTTCACTTTTCAGGTTGTTCTGGATCTAGTACCGATCTCACATATCACGCCTCGTACGAAACATTACAACGTGCGAAGAAAGAGGCAACCGTGAGTCGCAAGGGAAGCTTCAACTTAACGAGTCGCCGTGATCATTCGTTCTCGGATAAGCATTGGTTGGATTCTTTGCGACGAAGCGATAAGAAGGATACCGATTCTGATAAGACGCGTTTGAAAAATGTAGCGCAGTATCAACCGCCGCCAATTCCGACATCCCCGTTTGAACAAGAAGGAATGACAGCTGCGTTCGAAATGCATTTGGATAAACGTGAACAGGTCCAAAAGCCAAGTCGTTTGAGAAATTTATTTGGCAATAAATGTCAGCAGAAACCTTGTACGCTTGATCTACCCAAAGAAACGCAGAAAACTTTGCTAGGTAAATTAATACATTGCGGTTTGACAATGGAAAACTATAATTTAACAAAAAAAAAAAAGAAATGAATAATTTTAATGTTTTCGTAGGTTCTCCAAGATTACATAGAGCACTCTTCCGTGAGAAATGTTACAATCAAACACGATTACCTAGCCGTTCCAATAGCCAAAGTCCTGGTGATAGTGGGATCAGTCAGTCTGTTAGTTCATTCAGCGGAAATAGTCCACAAACACTCAGTCAAAGCTTCACTTCAGTTAGTTCTGTTAGTGATTGGAGTCCAGATACGCCATCACCATGCACTGCAAACGTAACATCAAGTGTAAGTATTTCAATAGTGTAGTTCGCATCTTTGTTACAAAAAGTATTAACCATTATTAAATTATTTATTAAAGTTTATGTACAGTTTTTTATTTTATTGATGATTGCAAATGTTTTAATGAGGTTTTATTATAAACGCAGAGACTGTGCTACTTTACTACAAATTATTTATTTAATCGATTAGATAGTCATCATTGCATTCTGTAATGTTCTATTCATAATGTTTCGATAAAACAATGGCTATCACGCCATCCACTGAAAATCTAACTAAACTTTTGCACTCGTTCGGTATTATATTTTGCACATTGATGCATGGTATAAATGATGAAAATTCACGAGTTAGTTACATCAAACGTTTATCCTGATATGACAAATTTGTTTTCAGAGTGGTGCAAGTTATCCTGCATGTCAAAAAGGATTCACTGGCACGGGTAGACATTCGTTAAATCCGCCGACATTACCTTACATACCACCACCCACATCACCACCGCCTGATTATCCTGGTTTAGAATATCCACCAGTGTTCGAACCTGGTACTTATTCTCTCTTGGATGCTTCGTTACTGCGTAATCGGAGTAAAAGAAATCGAGACACTCATTAACCGATGATATCATACTTAGTTCATTGATCTACACGATAATAGCCAAAGATAATTTTTTTTCTCGCTATTCATTAATATAATCAGGTGTTTTGAATGAGGAATTTAAGAATTTACTAGTATTTTTCTATAAAGTATTCAAATTTAACCGTCCATTTTATAACCATTTGAATGTTATCGAAATCATTTTGTATAAATTGAAATTGTAAACTGTCCACTCTCAATGATACGGATGAATTGTAATATATATTATCTGAGTGGATGACTGAAATTAATATCATGTACCATTGTCTTCATAGATATACTGGAAATACTGTGTGTATGTAATTCAAACAAATTCCATTTTGTTATTTTATCATTTTTTGTAGTTACTGTTATTATAAAGGAGTAAATCAAGACATTTCATTGTATTCTCTAAAATATTTCAAAGGAGTATTATTTAAACATTTATTGTACATGAATTGTATAATCCTATGTTAACTAATGAGAACATGCATATATTTACGCATAGAACATTATAAGGCCAGTCTGTTTTTATGTAAAGAGCTATTATAAAACCATAATAATGTATTATTTGCCGAATAATTATACAGAACAAATTAATTTTTGATACACAATAGTACCATTCAATGTATTTCTATTTTGATTTTGATGTGGAATGGCCTATGTTTATCATACATGTACACACATAGAAAGTTTTACTACAAATAGTCTTAAATGCTGATGCTGGAAGTGCTCTTAAATATTAATAATATATAAAAATAATAGAAATTACTTTTCAAACAAATATTTGGAAAATGTTATTGCATAACACAGTTTTAAAAGTTATTTATGAATTATTTTAAATACATTAATATATCATACGTGTACACATACATTTATATGTAATGTAATGATATGTAAAGTGCCTACATATCTTCTTTATATAATTTTTGTATATAATTAAATTTATGTTTTAGCTCTTAATGTAATTCAAGGTGCATGACTTTTATTATAATTTATGCTCAAAATATTTTTAAAAAGTATTATAAAACTAAATATCATTGAAATTATTTACTACGTATTTTCTGTACTTTTGTAGTAGTTTGTAATTATTATATATATTTTTAAATATACTAAAAAACATTTTATTATGTTTCACGAAGTCTAGAATGCTATAAAATGACTAATTTATTGAAATGAACATATACAGAAAGATCAAATGAACTTAAACAAAGTTCAATATTGCAATTCCCTATTGTACTACACTATGTTCTGAAATCCACAATCAAATTAAATTTATCTCATCAATTGAAAGATTTATTAAGTTAAAAATACAACAAAAATTTTGTTAATCTCTGTTAAACATTTCGATTTACCGTGTGTTATGCATTTGCGTATACAAATATTAATGTAACTAAAATACATATTTTAATCTTAATTATCTTGAAATTAATAAAATCAAATTCTATCGTTTGAATCGAGTCCTATTTAAATATGTTTATTGTATTCCCCCTCCCCCCCCCTCTCTCTCTCTCTCTAATATATGTTGACACCGCTGACCGCACGTTCAACCACGTTCAACTATATACGTTCAACCACTGATATCCCTACTAATCACTACAGTTGATGATTCAAACACGTTGGTTCGTAAAAGAAGTGAAGCAACAAAAAGTTTTTCAAATTTGTCTGTGCTGATTAATAAATTGCTGCAATTTAATTTTTACACTATTTAATATATTTTGTTCTGTAATTAATAAAAGAAACGATCTCTGTTACGGAAAAACGGTTAAAATAACACGGTTAGTATAAGATAAATCTTACTCGACATTCGTAATTTCAGTTACTGAATTTATATATTAACAACGTGTACTATTAGACTGCAAATGTTTATGGATTTATCTAACTGAATACACCATTGTGAAATAAAAACTTTAGTAAAAGCATACTAAAAACAAGAAATAAATTTCCATCTAATTCCTGTTCTTATAAATTAATCTGTAAATCTAATAAACATCCGCAGGCTAGTAATAATAAAGAAAAAATAATAAATTAATAATAATCCGATCAAAAATAAAAGTTTGTTGAAATTTGTCTAACCTTTACTGGTAATTTAGTAAACATGTATTTGAAACAGGATTTTTGTAGGAAATATGACAGACCCTATAGATATTATTGATTTAACAGTAGACTCACCAGTAGTGCCTAAAACATTAAGATTGCGAAGTATCAATATTGACACAGTGTCTAATAACAGTACAACATCACAGCTTCAGGATTCTATCATGTATGTAAAGTTTTAATATCACCAGAAAATTATTTCATTAATTTGAAAAAAATACGTGTGGTAATGAAATTACTGTTTCAGAGAAATAGTGGATGAGAACATATGCAATAAGGCACAATCAACAGAAATTATAGACTTAGATAATGTTAATTTACCTAAAAATATTAACATTTATAGAGAGAACAACTATGAGCCAAGAAGTGAAGCTACATTAATTTGTGCAATCTGTTTAGAACAATTATATTCTGATATGAAACCTATGTGTACTCGTTGTGGACATATATTCTGTGAACATTGTTTACAATTAGCTTTGCGTGTATCAAAAAAGTGTCCAACATGCAAAAGGGTTGTTAAAATTCAAACCTGTACACGTTTACATTTTTAGTTTACTAGAACCTTATTTAACATATTTGTTTAAGTATTATTTTGGATGACTATATGCATCATTAAATTATGTTTTATTTTAAATGTATACAAATGATTCACCTAAAAGTGAAGTAAACCTGCTCAGGAAATAAAAAAAAATATTTTAATAGTTACTAATATATAGATATATATGACTGTAGTTACATAAACTTTGATACCTTACAAGAAAACAGTTTTTTATTTAGGCATAATGTATGTTGCAATTTTTTTTAATATAAATATTAGTAATTTATTAATGTCTGAAGACATATTGCAGATTTTAACTACTGAAATTTTTCTTCCAAATGATGCATGTATGCACGACAAGTTCAACACATCTTGGCAAAAAGTAGTTCAATGTTTACATTCTGTTACCACCTTGAAGTGTCTTTCTTGAAGCATTTAATACAACACTCATCAGAATGTGGTGATCTGTCTGTGCTTCAACCTGTGTACTATAATATAACTGTGTATGATATTATTTAAAGCAATTAATATTAAAAAATGTCCTCAAACAAAGAGAGTAAGACTGCATATCTTCTGGCAGGCACTGCAGTCGCAGGAGTGGCTGGTAAATATTACTTAAATCTTTAATATTTTCTGTTCAATGATTTATAAAATTTGAAAGATAAAAATTCATTGTTACACTTTTTTCATACTGCTTTGTACATTTATATATATTGTAAATGAATAAAATCTGTATCTGATCATATTTAGCTGCTATACTTTAATAAACCTTATTCTTTATATTTGTAGCTGGTTTTCTATTTAGAAAATTATTCGCTAACACATCAACTGTACAAGTTCAAACTTTTGGTAAGTTTCTTTCAATATATCACAATGAATAAGAAAATACATTTATTACTGCTAATATCTGTTATTTGTTTACAGAGTCCAAAACTTCTAACAATGAGAAAGTAATAAAATATTCCCAGGACGATAACATTTATGACTTACATTTACCCACTAATATAAATTCTGGTCATACACGTTCTAAAAGCACTTCTCAGTATGAAAGTAAGAATTGTAACAAAGGATCACTTTTTGAAACTCCTGTACCAAGATTGCATAATGATTTAAGAAACAATATTAATGACCTTGCTTCGCAAAAGAAATGTGATCGAACGTCACAAAAGATGTTTTTTAACAGTGATACGAAATTTTATAACATAAGCATAGAAGATAACAACGAATGTAATTTGCCTAACAAAGTTTCCTTAAATAAGGAAGAAGAAATGGAATATAATACAGATGATGTTTTTGACTGTGAAAATACAAAGAAGGAATCATTATGTGCTGCTCAGGAAGATAGTATTCCTTTAACAAACATAGAATGTGGGAATTTGTCAAAAGCAATAAATGTAAACATAAATACATCGGGTAACAATAAAAATGAAAGAAATATGTTAAAGGAAGAAAAAGAAATATGATAGATCGTTTGAAAACGTTGTAAAAGCATGGCATTAACAGATATGTTGAACACTTTGTGTAATGACGATCTTTCAAGTTCTATAAACAATCTAATTACATTATGAAGTCATGTGAAGTAATTCAGTCATGTGGAGATGTACATAAACAATATCATACTATCTGATAATAAAAAGAAGAACAAAGCTACATGTCAATCATTTAAAACAAAATAACTCAAACCATATCTACACATTATTTAAGATACTTTATTATTTTCATAAAATTAGGGTTTATAGCGGCAGCTGAAGTTCCACGCGAGTAAATTTATAAGAACGAACATATATATATTTTTTAATGTGCATGTATATTTGTGTAAAATAAATTATAGAGTGCGTAAAATATATTTTTGAAACAACAAGTAGTAATTTACTTAATTTCCAAATCTGATATTTAAATTTAATATTATTTCAATTTTCAATTATTATGTTGCAGATGTTTATTTAAATTCGTATCAAACTATTTTTCGAAATTCAGAATCAAATAAAATTTATTTCATCGATACGGAAGTGACTTGAGTTTATTATGCAATTGTATATACTTATATGTCCTTAAAGCTGGGGCCCAAAAGATAGGTAGTTTACTAATTATATCCGAAATTTCACGTCAATTACATCTTCACTTCAACCTAGGTAGTATTCCATACATTGCTATTTCAAATTTTCCTACCTCTGTATTAAATGTCATTCCTGAGTAGCCGATTGGTCGAATCTGTGCATACGCCACGCCTACACAGTGCGTTCTGGCGGTTATGGCGGCGTATCAGAGAAATGAGATACACAGTCTGTTATGGAGAAAGGACTCTGCATTGCAATGAAGTCGGTGCCTGTAATAATTCTGAATATTAATGCGGTTAGCAGCGAGCGTTTAAGACGTGAATGATGATAAATCGAACCGATTCGCGGGTCGTTCGACTGTCAAATCGCGCCAGTTAATTAATTTACCGCAGTGAATACGAGTTTCCTATATTGTGTCATTGACTCGAGACGAAGTGTCAAAATCGTTCAGGCTCGCCTTGACTTGTGTCTGATAAAACTTTGTCGGGACAGAAACATTAAAAGTCTGTTTAATGAAACTCTATCGAATCGCTCAAAATCGGGCTATTTTAATCGCGTACACCTTGGCTGGTCATCGTTATCCAAGCATAAAATTATTTAATGCATCCACTGCAACTTTAGATGGAAACGAAAAGATGTATGTGACGCCACTGCTTTTGGTTTCTTTTTGTTGAAAAAGCTTCTCTCCCCAAGCGTCGGTTTACATGCAGTGATTTTTGTCAAAATATATAAACTATTCGTTATGCCTATCCATAATTGTTTGTTACTTTTGTACATTATGTTATTTTGATGTTTTCTTGAATTTTATAAATTAGAACGGACAACTTGTTTGTTTATTGTTGACGGAGAAGACGTAGCGAACTCGTAAAGTAAAAGATTGGTACCTAAAAACCTTAGCACACTGATTTTTACAGTAATACAAATAAAAGTATAATCGATGTTGATTATTTTTAAAACACTAGGTGAACACTTAACTTCTACCTATCTCAAATTTTTGTGAAGAGGATTGTCCCAAATTACAAAATACACTTCCGTGGTTGCCTAAAAATATTTTATTAAAACAAGTTTGCTATATCTTTCCCATCGTCTGTAATAGTACTTTTTGTAACTCTCTGCGATTCGTCTTATTTACATTATGTTGGTATGGATCCTTAATTAATATTAACAGAAACTTGTTCAATGTTTCGTATTACGAATTTTATTGTGAACAGGCATGATTTGTCAATAAATATTTATATCGCTTATCTTGGTTTATTTATCATTTCTTATCTGTATTCTGTAATGTTTTTTGGTTATGTGTCGAGATCAGAGGAGCACAGTTTTGTGTATAATATTTTGTAAGTTTTAATGCAATTGCAGGTTATTAGATGCGCACTGAAATATAATATTAAATACTACGGCGTAAGATCTCTGTATGCGATTAATAATCGATATGTCCTTAAACATGATATCAACGAGAAAAAATTACCAAACACTCGTCGGGATGTGTTTCGCTAATGTTTATCATTGATCGCATCTTTGCTGAGGTCAGAGAGTGATGCCGGTTCACCAGATCAATGTTAATCCGCCTGACTGGCAACCACCTTTGTCACTTGGTCCTTCCAATAATAACAGTCCTGCTGCCGGTGAAGGCTTACCAGAATGGACTCCAAGGGTAAATTAGTTTCATACATTTTCTACTTACTACTGTTTCTATTTTTAAACATATTTAATGGAACATTTATTTAACAGGAATCGACGTATGCAACAGTAGTTACAATTATACCAGACCATTGTCACTCATCCGTGAGCACATTGTCCTCCAGCAATCATGATATTTGTAGGTATGTAAGTATTAGTTATGTGTAGTTAATTAAATTTTGAGTATTTATTGGTATATATGACTTCTAAATGTTTTTATTTATATCTGTCTTTAATCTCATATAGATCTGTATACAATCTTTGAATTTATCTTGAATTGTGTTATTAAAACTTATCAAGGAATGATTGATAAAAAGAATATTGATTTTCACAAAAAGGGGACATCGAAATTTTGGGTTGCTGAGTTTAATGAAACTTTTAGGATATGCAATAGGCTTCTTCCTCTATACAAATCGCCCCCCAACTAGGGACAGATATTCAAAAGCTTTTGAGTTATCTGTTGTTGAAGTTTTCCATGTAACTTGAATACAAGTACCCCTCTAACAATTTTTTGACGTATTCGAACTCTAGTTGTCACAGTCAACATTATGTACGTTGCCCCGACACTAAGATGCTTGTATCAAAGTCACTTGTATCAAAGCTTAAGGGTAGCTACTCTTAGATGGGGGTGATTTGTATAGAGGAAGAAGCCTATGACATGTCCTAAATGTTTCATTAAAATCAGTGTCCCGAAGTTAGGGCCCTCTTCTTGCCAAAACTTTGTATACTGAGACACGATTAAACTTTTGTCTGGAACAATATTTTATAAAGTTAAAAAGGGGTCTCATACTTTTATGGTGATATATATATGAAACATCCTATTTGTGTGAAGAATTTTTGATATTACAACGAAACGGATAATTTACGAGAATAAATATATGTATTTTTCTTTCATTGCAGAATATGTCATTGTGAAGGGGAAGAAGGTGCTCCTCTTTTAGCACCTTGTTACTGCAGCGGTAGTTTACGTTACGTGCATCAGACATGTCTTCAAGAATGGATAAAAACTTCAGACACGCGTGCTTGTGAATTATGTAAATTCACATTTATTATGCACGCTAAAACCAAACCATTTTGCGAGGTATCATTCTTTTCCGTTTACAGATGTTCTCTGTATTTTATTTCAAATAAGAAAATAAATAATCACTTTCTACTTCATTACAATACATATAAAAAATACCAATGTTATACATTAACTTTCAGTGGCAGAAGCTCGAAATGTCAGCCCTAGAGGTTCGTAAATTATGGTGCGCAGTTGCTTTTCATGCGGTAGCTACACTTTGTGTGGCTTGGTCTTTATATGTACTTGTTGAACGATCTGTTGAAGAAGCTTTACGTGGATATGTAGACTGGTCATTCTGGACTAAGCTAATAGTTCTTGTAATTGGTTCCACAGGAGTTTTAGTTTTTATGTTCATTCAATGCAAAGCATACATTACGCTATGCAGAAAATGGCGAGCGTTTAACAGGTAAATTGTGTATAAAGAAATCCTTTCATACTGTAATTCCTAATACAAATTATTAGGTCATCTTCATAAATTCGTGAGTTCATGAGAGATGATTTAATATACCTTAACGGTAACATTTATATTCTATGTCTTATACTAATTGATAATATTTTCTAGAGTAATATTCATTCAGAACGCTCCTGAAAAAGTGGTGCTTCCTCCCTCACCTACAGACTCTCTGAGAGAAGTAACATTGCCTCTGAAGGAGTTCAATCATACTTTACTACCCCGTAACATAGATCCTCCATGTGCCTCGCAGATGGTGAAACCAGATTCCGAAGCGCCTCCGCAGAGGCACGAAGCTCAATTGAAACTTTACGTGTTTGATAAATTATCCTCGTCAGAAGACAACTTATAATACGGTCGGGGTAATACGGATAATTGCTAATTGTGTATTAATGAATAGCGAAATTGTAAGGCGAGCATCAGCATGTGTCTAGAATGTGCCCTTATTCTGGACTACAATGCGATTTCGAAGAATCGAAGTTTCTGTTTCGAAACTGTCAAATGTCCGCTCTGATGGAGTATCCTTATCTGAAACTTAGTACTTCAGTGCTTACATTGACAATGGGATAGCTGAAGGTGTTCAGCCATCGAGCTAGCACTTTCTCCAGACATTTGTGTACATAATTATTGTATCTGTGATGTTATTAAATAAACTTTACCATATTTAAACAATACTTCCAACAACGCCAGTGTGATTTATTAAAGGTTTACTTTTTGGTTTCTAAAAATTCCATAAAAGAATTCTATCATTTGAACATTATTAAATTTGTAGTAAATAATTCAAATGCCAAACTACCATTTAATTAACGTCAGTTTGATTCTGATTTTAAAACCAGCACAAATTCTTTAATGTGTACTACTTGATCGTTACTTCCGGGATTACTTGCTACAATTTACAACATGACGAATTCATAATTAGTAAATCACTAAGAAATTAACAAAACTTCTTTCAGTGATAACAATTATAACATAGAACTGCAATGTAATTTTCATAATTAAAATGTTCATGTAGAGTAAATATTTCAGAGTACTTTATTATACATTTACCTAATAATTTTTACAAAATATGTATCAATTTGTAGATGGCGGCACTAGTCTTCCGGAACATAGTTTCAAGATGTTGAAGCGAACGTGCCGCTTGTAGCAATAAGCCAGCGTCAGTTTCAGTCAGTTTGTCGAAGTTGTGTTCAGAGGTAAGTTTGATCGTTTGTTATCCATTTTTAGTTATTTGTTAAAGATCAATCCATTCGAAAAATATACTTAATTGCATGGAGAATATTCTGATGTTTTAATAATAATCAATAGTTTCTCTATTGGATGAGCTATATTGCTAAAATTGAACGACGCGTAAATATTTATTTTGTGGACTAGCATCACACAATACGTAGACACATTTGATTTATAAATTACATGAATTGTGGTTACACGTGTATATAAATACACTTCTTCGAATTCACACTTATAAACTACGTTTATAATAGCAAATAGAATTTCTCAGTATTGTAGGTATTTTATAATATTCACATTTCCTTGCGGGAAACGGCATAGCGTCACTAAAATGGCGGTTACGTTACGTGTACAGTTTCTACAAAAATCGTTATCGCCACGAGCAAGCGCGTTGGTACAAATTCATATTATTTTGTGATTATTTTATTTTTTTTAAATCGTAATTACATGAAAACCAGAAATTTAGTATAATTACATAATTAAAAGCAGTATGAAATTTATTATACAGTAAAAATTATGCGAAAGTGTATATTACTTTTTAGGATTATGAAACGTTTTTTTAAGATCATGTATAATTAGATAAAAGTATAAAACTAGCTCAAACAAAATTTAATCCAATTTTACAATATGACTGAACATATAGTTTTATTGTGTAAATAGTTCTCATAATGTTATCTGTAATATTTTAGGTGTAACCCAATATAAACCCATACACACACATAAAAATGGCGGACAATGATGACCTTTTGGATTATGAAGATGAAGAACAGACTGAACAAGTAGTTGATGGAAGTGGTGATATACCTGCCAAGAAAGAAGTCAAAGGCACATACGTATCTATCCATAGTAGTGGGTTTAGGGATTTTCTTCTCAAACCTGAAATATTACGTGCAATCGTTGATTGTGGTTTTGAACACCCCTCTGAAGGTAACTAAAATATATATTCAATTAAAGATATTGAATAAGAGTAAATAACATATTGAAGTAAAATATTACATTATATCCAAAGAAAATATGAAATAATGTATTATTAATTACGTAACGTAGTCATTGTATTTATATATTTTGGTGCATAGAATGATGATAATAGATAGGGACAACTGATTCTATGTGAATGATTGTATCATATACTGAGGTCTTATTATACAAAATATTTCATGTTCTTGTTAAGCGAGAAATTAATTTTGTATGAAAATTGCTTACAGTGCAACATGAATGTATTCCTCAAGCAGTGCTTGGCATGGACATATTGTGCCAAGCTAAGTCTGGAATGGGAAAGACTGCAGTATTTGTGTTGGCAACGTTGCAACAGTTAGAATTAACCGAAAACCAAGTTTATGTCCTTGTTATGTGCCACACGAGAGAACTTGCTTTCCAAATTAGCAAGGAATATGAAAGATTTAGCAAATACATGCCTCACGTAAAGGTAAGCCCTCTTCGAATATTGCTGAAGTTTTGAAACTTTCTGTAACTTTTGAAACTTATTATGTTCCCTTATTATGGAAATTTTCTCAGAGCATTTTAATTAAATTAGCATCAAAGAATCTTCACATGATGAAATAACTATCTTAACAAATAATGATGACACCTTCATCACCATCACTCACCACTGACGAAGATTCCTATTTACATTTGTTGTCCCGATTTAAATATATCTAACAATTAAATATAAACATAAAAGAAGCCCTTCTGCTATTATAGGTTGGAGTATTTTTTGGAGGCTTGCCAATTCAGAAAGATGAAGAGGTTTTGAAGAACACGTGTCCTCATATTGTCGTGGGTACGCCCGGTCGTATCCTCGCTTTAGTACGAAATAAGAAATTAAATCTGAAGCACCTGAAACACTTTATACTCGATGAGTGTGATAAAATGCTTGAACTCCTAGGTAATTATAAATCCAACTTTTTAAATGTAAAAGGGTGTTTGTGACAGGAAACAGGACACTTTAATATCTATTGATCATTTATGTTTGCAGACATGCGTAGGGATGTACAGGAAATATTTAGGAGCACACCACACGGCAAGCAAGTCATGATGTTCAGCGCTACGTTATCGAAGGAGATACGTCCCGTCTGCAAAAAATTTATGCAAGATGTAATTAACCAATCTTCCTCTTCACTTCGATCTTCGATTGCTCCTACTTCGTTGGCCCTGTATTCATACCCAGGACAAAGCTCAAACCGTATTCTAAATATCGTTGACGGCGCACCCGCGGGTTAGGCTAGTTAGACAACACTTTGAAGAAGTGACACAATTCAGTAACGATAAAAAGCCCCTCGATGTCTTTGGATATTACAAACTCGAGTTCTACAACTTGAATATAACGAGTTACTGCTCCAAAGTTTCCCTCCGTTTACTGGATGAGATCTGATCATAGAAAAGGATACGAAAATCTTCCTTTGATATCGTTTTTCGAGTTAATGAAGACCAGGCATTGGCAGTCCTTTAAAAAAAAAAAAAAAAAAGAAAAACACAGAATTTCATTTAGTTTTGATCTTCAATATTCAAATCTTTTAATTGTCTGCTGCATATTGAAGTTGCCAGTGTTTCGGTATAACGTTAATGCAAAATGTTGGGAAACATAATGTCCGTCAGGATGGGTTGGGTAGGCAAGGGAGGGGTAGATTTTTTAAATGAGAGTTAGAGCGGCATTGAAATGAGCTTTTGAGTTGGGTGGGGGGCTAAGAAGACTTCAAGACAACCTGAAGACAGAAGAGCGCAAGAAAGAAGATGCAAGAGGATTAATGGGAACTTGGGGTTAGCTAGGGTTTCGAGCAATCGTTTCAATTAAGTGGCATCTATGTATAGAGATTAAGTAGCGTTCGTGTTGTAATTGAAAACGGCACATTTTGGTATTTTCACGAATGGGGTAACGGACGTGGGTAATTCGAGTAATAGAAGTGAAAATTGGACAGCAATGGAAGTGTTATAAATATATAGTTTGATCGTGGCCATCTGTACGTGAAATAATGCGAATGCATTGATCAGTTTGAGAATCGCGATGTTAGAGAATCCCAGAGGCCCTAAATGTTTTGTGATAATACCGAGCGTACCAACAATAATCGTGGCAAATTCTGGGCATACATTCTGAATGTGCCAGAATTTTGTGAGAAGAGGTTTGGGCATCGAGTGGCCAGCGGATGTGCAATCATGGGTGCGCCATCTTATTTCTGTTGGGGTGACTGCTGAGTTTTCGTTGTTGGCACTACCCAGAGGTGGAAGTCGCCGGACCGTATGTAACCAGTAATGACTAATCCGATCGACAAAATAAGTGCGAAAAACATGAGAGCTCGAGCGGAAAGTTCTCTAAAACAGTCTAATACTTTTCTTTTATAGTTACTGACATAGAGAATTTGTCATTATCAAGGAAGCGGGAGAAATTGGGACATTTACAAAATTAATTTTACATCTTCGCATTATTTGATTCATTCTTTAATTATTGTTTATATACTTCTTTGTTTCACGTCTCAAAAGTATTTCTTTTTAGTAATTTTTCTTTAATCTAACGATAAATTGCATTCAGTACGTTTTCTTTGAGTATTCTTTTTTTTTTAACTTGAATAGTAACTAACGTTCTGTTTCTGAATGTGTTAAAAGTATATACAAAGGGAAAATATCTTTCATTGAGTCTAAAGCTTATCACGGTGTAACAGTTAGGGTAAAATAGGTAATCTTGTAAAATACATTCTTTGTGTAGCCTATGGAAGTCTATGTGGATGATGAAGCTAAACTCACATTGCACGGTCTGCAACAACATTACGTGAAACTTAAGGAGAACGAAAAGAATAAGAAGCTGTTTGAGTTACTTGATGTTCTTGAATTCAATCAGGTTTGTCTACTCGATCAGATTATCGAAATTAGGTTTACTTATTTAGAATTTCTCTATTTGTTGTACCGATATTGAATCATTCGAACTTAAATTATTCGTTCTGTAGGTTGTTATCTTTGTAAAATCTGTACAAAGGTGTATGGCTTTGGCGCAACTTTTAACCGAACAAAACTTTCCCGCCATTGGAATCCACAGAGGCATGACGCAAGAGGAACGGTTATCCAGATATCAGCAATTCAAAGACTTCCAAAAAGTGAGTATCAAATTAATAAACTTTTTGAGAAGCTTTCACGATCCAGAATCATACACCATTATTACTATTGGAGGTTTCTATTTATATTCTTATCCTTTTCAGCGAATTCTTGTAGCAACAAATTTATTTGGACGTGGCATGGATATTGAACGTGTGAACATAGTTTTCAATTACGATATGCCAGAAGATTCTGATACGTATCTACATAGAGTGGCTAGAGCTGGCCGTTTCGGTACAAAGGTTAATATCCCCAATATTTCTTACAGCTTATATTTTTTAATTTATTTTGGTACTAATGATTTGTTAATCTTTCCAGGGTCTTGCTATTACGTTAGTAAGTGACGAAAGCGACGCTAAAATATTAAATGACGTCCAAGAAAGATTCGATGTTAATATCACGGAATTGCCAGATGAAATAGATTTGGCTTCATACAGTAAGTTTATTTTTGTATACTAATTTAACATTGTATCTGAAATGTTATAGACTATTGGGGCAAGATATCAAAAAATATGCATAAGTGTAAAAGAATTTGATAAAAATTCTATGACTAATGTTTTTTTTTTTTCATTTCAGTCGAAGGACGATAAACGAAATTCCATTTCGAAAGTATAAGCTTTGAAACCCTCACTTAAGGTAGGTAGAATCACGAAGAAATGTTTACAGTAGATTGTATTCTTTCATATTTTAATCTTTCTTTTCTTCATTGCAGATTATGAAAAACACTGCATTCAGTACACTTGTCATTGTGTATTCACGTTGAGCATAAGTCATATTTTGTATCTATATACAATTATCTTTTCATTCATCTGACAAACTTTAAGAACAAGTGACGCAAAAACGAATTATAATAGCTGAATTATTATTCTTTTAAAGCTACAATAAATAATTCATGTTAATCACTGTACAATACTATTTAACTTTAATTCCTAGCGGGTAAGAAATGTGTATAATAGATATACAAGAGGACATGTGTGTCCTCTCGTTCGTGTACATGAAATAACTATTCCTTTTTTTTTACAAAAAATATGTAGTATTTATTGCCCTCTTATTTTATTATTATTAACGATCCCTAGTAGTACTGCTACTGATACTGAAATAATAATCTATTATTAATTTATATACATAATTTATAGTCGCATTTATTAAATATATTTTATCGAAATGTGTATATTACAAATATAACTGACACTTTCTATACATGTATTTATCTTTGAAACAATATTTACTCTTTATCTACCCTTGCATCTTCATAGACGTTATCTATTGTGTACAAGTGATTATTAAATTCCTAAACTAATATTGTGGTTTACAGAGGATTATATTTTTTAGAAACTTAAAAATGAAATACAAAAAGGAGAACCGATAATTAACTAAATTACACTAAAATAATACCATAATTTAGTTTTATTTAGTCCTTGCCTTGTTTTGTAGTTTATTTCCCCCTGGATTACCTCCACCACGACCTAGAGGTGCAGGACCCCTTCCGCCACGGCCAAAAGTTCCTATCAAAAATAAAACAATTTTCATATCACGTATATAAAAAGAATACCTCTTTCCTTCATTCAAAAGTCATACCTCTTCCACTACCGCGTCCTCGTTGATTTTGTCCTCGTCCTTTCATTTCTCCGCGTCCACGCGATTTCATTTGCACATCTTCTTTTACCATATCTATAACTTCATCAGGTATTCGTAGATACTTGATTGTGCTACCCCTGATATAACATTCGGGCATTCTCCAGAATTTGTCACCGTCCTAACCCACATATACAAATGCCTTGTACTTTTTATGTATTTAGTGTGAATCACCAATGAATTAGTGTGGATATGTTTTGTTAGACTAATTTGTGTGGATATGTACAGGATTCTTATAAGTACTTTAAACTGGATAAGTACTAACTCTAGAAGTAAACACTATGGTCTCCATGACCCTGTGAATAGTAAGCTTTGTATAAATAATAATCTGTATGGTTCCAGCATTAAATTTCTTTAAATAGTATTTGATCCACATTGCTAATATTATATACATATATGTATAAAGAATATTTGCCGGAAGGTCTGAATATACTCTATTAAAGTTTGAATATATACACGTAGAAACATTGTTTTTGATATACAGGGTATAAACATATTCAATTAGAAAATTCAAATATATACAGTTAAGACTTGATATTACTTATAATTACAGCATCTATTTTTGTTATTTAATTTTATTTCAATTTTAACTGAAATAAATCTAATTTAGAAAATAGTGATACCATACCCTAGATGTGCATATAACCTCTCTGAGATTTATGTTCATCCAACTATCGCAGCTAACTAAATGTCCGTTATAAGTTTCTCCATTTTTCAGCTCAACAAGCTGTAAAATAATACATTAAATTACTTTAAGGTAGGTATATGGATGACAGAAAACGCATATTTATTTTGAACGTGTTGAAAACATACCATAGGATGATTCTGTGCCGTCCTTAATAACGATAATGGTAACTGAAAAATAATAATATGTGTGTAAGAAACGAAAACGATAATACTTTAATATCATTTCTCATGTAATGATTTGTAAATATACCATTTTTTGTTAGTTTGACGAATATCCAAACTCTAAACTCTAAACCACTCTGAACGATGAACATCAAAACATATTGTCGGTAAAACCTCTGTGAAGTTAGCCTGACAATCTGACAACTTTAACTTTTTAACGTTTCATTATACCCATCGATGGTGGTCGATTGGTAGTCATTTTTCTGAATCCAAGATGGCGAAAAAATCTGCACGTTCTGGAAGATTATTCTTATTATATTGCAGAACTTCTTCCAAAACTTAAAAGTTTTAGAATTAATTATTTTGTTATTATTTATTATGTCTTATTACTTTTTTGGTTAATTGATATTAGGAATAGGAATGGAGATAGTGCCGCTCAGGCTTATAAAATATTGTAACTTATATGCCGCAAATAATTCTCTCCTCTGTAACTTGCAAATCTTCCGTACCGTATTCAAAGTTTCATAAAGGTTTCATAAGTTTGATGCCGATTACAAAAGGACGCTTGACCACCAAATGTTCTAATTAAGCTATCAATGACCACCAAACGACCACCAATTAGAGATGGCGTGCAAAATCACTAACGGTGATTTATCACAGTGATCGTCGACTCACGATCACGATCGTGATTTAACTTCCTTCACGACCGTGATTGCGATTTTTTTATCTTGAGTGAATTTGCTCACTGCAATCGTAAGTCATTAATCTTTAAACAGAAAAACGTATTCAATATGATTTTACGATGAATTACATTACTGTGTTTGTAAAAATCAGTAGAAAAAACAAGAAATTCTAAAAGAATGATTTGCTAGGTAACATGTAGATTATAATTTGTAATCATTAATTTATTCATTATTCTTCATTGTTTCTACTTATTCCTTCACTTTATACGATATAACCCTAATTTTTGTTTTGATGTCGTTAATGTGAAATATACAAATTATGTATCGCGTGTAAAGAACTGTTAGGTTTCTCCACCAATAAGAAACAATCACGGGAAATCACGAATCACTGTGAAAAATCATTGTGATTGGGAACTGTTGGGAACGAATGTGTTCGAATCACGAGTGATTCACAAGTAGCAGTTCACGCCATCTCTATTGGGTATAATGAAACGTTAAAAAGTTAAAGTTGTCCGGCTAACTTCACAGAGGTTTCTATCCTGTACTTATGTATATTTATATAGATAGATATATTGAATAAAATAACGCGAACAAAAATTTAAACTCGTATTGTAAACAAATTTAATTGTATTTAAAAATTCTTTTATTTATAAATGGGTTACAACGTATTCTTTTTGTGATGTAACTTACTTTGTATTAAATCTAACGATCGAATAAATACTGGTAGCTAATACTTTCACAATTAAATACTTGTTATAGTACTCATAAATATTATATATAAGTTTATTCATTCCAGAGAGAATGTTTACCTTGCGACATTGTATTATGTCAAGGAGACAGTTTTTTAAATTATTTTGTATAAATGGTTTATGCAAATGGGAAGTAAGTCTCACTATTTATTAAGACTTTTACTCAGCTTGTTAGGTTCCTAAAATTTGATAAGAATTATTATGAAACTAATGGATATTTATGCAAAATTAAATTTTGATAATTCAGTTTTCGAAATTGAGAAACAAGTAGTAGAAACTTATTTTCTTTATCAATGTTTATTAATTATTTTATTAAACACTTTGTGAAGTCTCTGTTTTCTTCTATTTTGTATATTGAAACATGTTATAAATGCATAATATTTACAGTCTAATTATTAATTGTGAACGAAATGAAAATATAATTTGTTTTAGCTTATGAAGAAATATCGTTATATGTTAGTAGCTTATACACATAATTTGGCTATGGAGAAACAAATCCTGACAAAACAAAATGTACAGCCAGTTAACAAATTTGTTTCAAGGACCCATACATGTGGTGAACTGAATATTCAAAATGTAGGTGATAATGTTCATTTGTATGGCTGGCTGGAATTTCAAAGATTGAACAAATTTATAACACTAAGAGATGCTTATGGTTCTACACAACTTATGGTACCAGATAATGTAAGTCAATGTATTATGTCATTCAAATTGTTTGCAATATTTTAAGCACAATGTCTTAAAAAAGTCATTGAAACATTTTTGTTTCAGAGAAACGATTTGAAGGATATGATTAAAATTCTATCTTTTGAAAGTATACTACATATAATCGGTACAGTATTTGAAAGACCAAAGGAACAGAAAAATAGCAAAATGAAAACTGGGGAAATTGAGGTGCATATAGAATCCTTGAAAATTCTGAATCAAGCGAAACCAAATCTTCCAATATTTATCAGAGAATTTAATAAAGCAACAGAGAGTAACCAAATGAAGTACAGATATCTATCTTTGAGATATCCTGAGTTGCAAAGAAATCTAAGATTACGTTCTGAAGTAATAGCAAAGATGAGAGAATACTTAATTAAAGAATGCAATTTTGTGGACATAGAAACACCAACATTATTTAAAAGTACTCCTGGTGTATGTATGTCAAAATGATGTATAAAATACAGTAAAATAGTAAGTTCTATAATAAGATTTTTTTACATATAGGGAGCTCAAGAATTTGTTGTACCAACACAGCATCCAGGACAGTTTTATTCTCTGGTACAGAGTCCTCAACAATTTAAACAATTACTGATGGTTGGCGGCTTTGATAGATATTTTCAGGTTGCCAGGTGTTATAGGGATGAAACTGCCAGGCATGATAGACAACCTGAATTTACACAGGTGTGTAGTTGCTATTAAATGTGTATGTTACACATTAAAAACTCCATTTTACAAATATATTCTTTTGTAGTTGGATATAGAAATGTCATTTGTTGATTGCGAGGGAATCATGGAATTAATTGAAAATTTATTAGTGTATTCTTGGCCTGAAGAATCAGAACCCATAACGAGTCCTTTTAAACGTCTCAAATTTGACGAAGCAATGGAACTATATGGTTCAGATAAACCAGACTTAAGGATACCATATCAAGTAAGATGTCAATAATGTACTCTAAATTTATTTATTACATGTTGAAAATATTACTACTAATGTTTCAGCTTCACAGACTCACAGATATAGTCGATTTTTCTGCAATAAAAGAATGCTTACAAACGAAGTGTAACGATTTTGAGATTTATGCTTTAGTGTTTCCCAATCAGCATGTATGTTTACAAAAAAATTATGCATCATCTGTAGTATTACTTCAATTAAAAGTGTGCCATAAGTCATCAGCAATAGAATCAAATAAAATTTACTCAATTTTAAAAAGAGATCTAGAACAGAAACTAAATTTAAAGGACGGAGATGTTCTGTTTCTAGCTTGTGGTCAGAAGATTCTCGCAGTAAGCATTGACTTATAAAGTGTATAATATTCTTAAACATGACATGTTTTTAAAATCGTAGCAATCACTCTTGGGAAGGGTGCGTGTTGAATTCACAGATCTATTAGAAAGCAAAGCACAAACTATTCGAACACCCGGTAATGAAATGTTATGGGTCACTGATTTTCCGTTGTTTTCATTTAATTCTAATAACAATGAGTTGGAAACTATGCACCATCCGTTCACACAACCTCATCCGGACGATATTCAATATTTTACTGAAAATCCAAAAAAGGTACTGTTATTATTTAGTAATGTAATTATTACCATGGTGTATTCAAGGTTAATTCAAGTATTCATTTAATTGTAGGTAAGAGGATTACATTATGATTTGGTTATGAACGGCTCTGAAATTGCAGGAGGATCAATACGAATTCATAATTCAAATTTGCAAAAACAAATATTGACGATGTTAAATATAGACGCATCACATTTAGTACATATGCTTGATGCCTTAGAGTCTGGTGCTCCGCCACATGGTGGAATTGCTTTAGGTATTTCAATTTATAATATCCGATAAATGAAATATTAATAATCTAAGTAAATTTTTAAACTTCATCTTATTCAAGGGCTGGATCGTTTGATGTCTTTGCTGTGTAAAACAGAAAGTATAAGGAGCGTAATAGCATTTCCGAAAACTACGGACGGTCGAGATATGATGTCGGGAGCGCCAACAGCACTTTCTGATAAGGAGAAGGCATTATATCGTATACAAACAATAGAAGAATAAGATAATAATTCCAAAACGTTCTATGTACGTTACATTATAATATAAAATTTATTTAAAAAGAATTCGTTCATATTGTACTGAATATATGGTGCATTATGAGAAACAGATTTATTTCTGTTGGATTTTAAAACGTAAAGTGTAAAGGATCACAATTCTTCACAATAAATTAATTTTTTATAAGACCAATTTAACTATGCACTATTATATAATATCAGAATGACCGTAGACTTCAAAATGTAAGGCGGAGGAACTTTGAGAAGTAAACTTATTTCAATTGTTAAATTTCACTTAAACCGAAGAACTCGTTTAACAATGAAATGGAAGTGTTTTTTCAACAATGTTAGAGACTGTAGAAAAATTCTTTCTAATATGTACTTTTTTATAATATATTTTACATATATATGTACATATTTGTACATATCGTATTTTTTGAAGTGACGAAAATGATCACGATCCCCTTTATATTTTAACTTTTAAAAAACTTTTTATGAAATACAAAACACATAATATCATACATATTATTTGAATTTATTTCAAGAACCTGTTTTACGATTTACAATATTCATTTACGTTGAATTTCTGTAACTACAAACATTTATAAATAAAATGTTTTTTTATGACAACAATCATGAGTGCAATTTGTTTCTTTTTTTTTTTAATTTACAAATGTTCCGTTGGTATTGCACTTCTGTAACCATATGAATAGTTACAAATAAATCACGGTAAATGCGGCTGATGCAACCTACAAAAGTATAAAAATAAACTATCAAATACATTACCAGGTTCGAACGAAATTTATGCGGTCTCTATCATATATCACAAGTAGGAAATTCATCGTGTGAGAAAAACGGAAATTTATATCCGAGGAAATCATATATAACATATCATAACTAGATTGCGGATTTTATGCATAGTAACACGCACGTATCTATGAAACATAATAAAGTAAAATGTTAAACAAAAATTTAATAAAACGATTGGATTGCTTCCAAATAAATAGAATGAATTTCCGTTTGACATCAGTCTATACAAATTGCTCTAACAAAATAAATAAATCTGCATAAAGGTCCGCAGTCTAATCGTTACGATTTGCAATATTTGAACAGTGTTGATCACTAGAAACTCCACCGATATATTTCGTAGATATAAGTTATAAACAAAATTTAACACACGTATTACGTAGCTTCGAGCGACCACATCGCTACACAGTGTACATCGTGGTATTTTAAATGATTTCTGAACCAAATATAGAACGTGGACAGTTGTTAAAAGAAAGAATACCCGTAAAAAAAATTTTTTTTCTTAATATTGGGCTGTTCATCGAAGAGGTAACGTGTAAGCATAGTCGGAAACGAATATAGAAACAAAATGATAAGACCAAATTTTGATGTACAAAAAAAGTGTTTTATTAGAATTTTTTCTTCTCTCTTCTTTTAGCAAAATCTCCTACGTTACGTGAAAATGCTTTTAGAAGAATGTAATAATTTATTCTGCGCGCTAAATCGTTATCAGCCAGAAAAATTCAATATATTCTTTCCTCTGTGTTTTTTTATACACTTCAGAAAAAACATTAATTAAAAACCGTCTAATAAACACGTTGATATGTTGGTATGTTTATTTATCAGTGGAAGAGAATTTTATCTGTGCCGCGTATTCTCTCGGCTTAGCGAACTGGAACGTAGATAAATGCGGTCACGAAAAATGTTCACTCTTCTTTACATTTTAAACGGAATCTTGCGACATATAGTTTTACAAAACAGTACGGGAATTTTTTTTATGTATATAATACAATCGTTCTGATTCATAAATCTTTTACACTATCTATTTGTACACGTGAAAGAAAAACTTAGTTCGTGAAGGAAAAGCACCCTGAGTACACATATTAAAGAATCTGTGAATTTAAGTAATATTTAATTATCCGAATATTTTGATTGGTTGATTAGAATAGACTATTTTAAATACAACCTAAAAAAACATGAAATGGAAGTTCCAAAACTCGTCTCTACTCCTTTCACAGTGAAAACCAATAGAATGGCAAGCCACAATCTATAACACGTTGTTTAATTTAACCCTCTATAAGCGGATTTTTCGGATTATAAATGATTGTAATTAAAAAGTTTTTTTTTAATTCCACGTTCAGCAGCATCATAATCTCAAAACTCTTTCTTATATATATATATCGAAACATTTGCTCCCAGTTTGGTAGAATAAACAATTTCATCTAGGATTATACTTCGTCCAAATGGGAGATCTCGTTGCTACTCGTAATTTGATTACATTGTGAAAGGATTAAAAAGAATGCAACGGTAAAAATCTGTGTACTCTCGAGTCAGTACCGGAAGATGCTCGTATGTCATTGTTCATTCTGTCGAACTGAATGCTGTGTAAAAGACACTGACACGTTTCATTTCTTATGTTCCTAGTCCTCTAAGAAGACATTCTACCGTGTAATTGCGCCCTAATATTCGACTGATTCTAATCACGCGAGAAATGCGAATGTTCAATGTTAAGAATTAGTACCACATACTTCTAAAGACTTAACGTAGGAACTTAGACACGTATGCATACACTATACGTGGTATCAACATAAGCGTTGAAACAGAAATATTTTCACAGGCAGACCACATTGGCGAATCACGACACATTTGGCATCTTCTTTTTTTGCCCAATGAACACATTAACAAAACACACGGTCTAAAAAACTTATTAAATAATCCTCGGTAGATAAAATGTGAAATTCAATTCTAAATTCCTACGTTAAGTAGCCGCATAAATCGTAGATTACAATAGGAGCGTAAACGGAATGTCGCGTATACGAGGCACAACATTCTTTTTCCACCCAATTTGGCCTTTTTCATTTAATGGTCGTGAATGAATGACAAAGTAGACGTATCGACAATAAAATAACATTGATGCTTTTCTTTTGTGCTGGATTGTCTCTAGTGCCCAGCTCGCACGCGACAGAATGAAAAATGTACGATCGAAACATCGAAAAATTCAAATTTGTAAAAAAAGAACGTCTTGTATTTTTTGTGTTTTCCTTTTCTCAATAGATATATATAGATATATATATATATATATGTACAAAGTGATCAGGGGACGTCAAATAATCTCGATAAAAGAGGGATCGCTAGCGTTTTTTACGTCCTAGACTTTGGAATACGTAAAAAGACTCGATCGATCGATCCGACTTCCGTTTCCGTTAACGAGTCGTACGATCCCCGATCGGTCGATATTTCGCCGGAACTTATCAGAGCGTATGTACAAATTCAGTTTTCTCCGTTTTTTTCTTCTTCTGGGAACACATAGTGTTTCGAATATGCTTGCACGAGTTACAGAAAAATCCGCTGTTATTAGTAGACTGCAAATTTTATGCATTCATTGCAAATTCGGAATATCCAGAATGTGCTTAAGTAAAATATTTCGCCAAGGATCGATATTGTTTTTGCTTTTAGTATTAATTTCATACGTATGTTAATTAACAAAACGAATTATTCTTTGGATTCCAGCTTTTTGTAGAACTTGTAAAATCGTATTCGTAGAACCGTTATGACACAAATGTTTCGCAGAACCGGTCAAGATAGGAATTTGCATATAAAATCCACAGTCTATTCTATTAGGATACCTTCGGTGTTTTGGGACATTCGTTCCAATTTAGAAGTTGGCAGTATGACGTAAGAGTGTTTAATCTATATACGTGGATCGATCGTGTGTACTTTTGCCTCGAATAGCAAGACGCATTTGTTGGTTGTTTTTTTTTCTCTCTTTAAATAACATCGGTATTCCTCATTCGTTCGACACAGATTAGAATCGGGATGTAATTGCGCGCACGCTGTTCCACCATTTAGAAAAATACTATTTTACAAGACGAGGCGAGAACTTTCGCGCGTTCGACGCACAATGTGATGCACTCGACACCGCGGAAAACTCGGAAAGATACACAAGCAGACACACGTTTACGTACAAAGAGGAGGACATTCTCGTACATACACACTCACGCACACACATACACGCATGTCGTCGGTAGAATCAATAAACAATACGCAAATCACAATCGTGCGTACACGCATACACGCGCGCTTTTTCGTATAGTATATTATAATTATTAGACCGAAGATTTTATGCATTTATAGCACGTATATTTAATGGGGAAAACTACGATCGGCAGTAGCATTTTTGTATTATTTTTTTAACATCTCAGGTATTGCTACACCTTGTCATAAATAATCACATTAAATATTCTGCATTTCATATATTCGTCTGCCCCACCGAATGGAGCACGAAATTGTTCTATTGTGTTTTACACATTTGAATGTACCCGTAGATGCATAAAATCCACGGTCTAATAATCATCTACTCTTGAATAAAGTATGTTAAGGAAAACGTCTAGGAATTCTATCTGACATTATGAATATAATGGTATATACACGTATGATGAAGACAAGACTGTAGAATCGAACAGACAGAATGTACACGAATAAACTGTAAACACGTATAAAAGTTACACAAAATTGCGTAATACTTTGTCAATGGAATTCGCGGAACTCCTGGAAGAATGACAAAAATATTGGATAGTTCATTCTAATGAACACGTGTACAGTGAAACGAGAATCTTATTAGTCTAATTCAGTTGTATTGTATAAAACGATGGATTGTCAATCGTCTAATTTTTTCATTTTATTTAAAATATTATTCGTGTTTACCTGTCTATTCGAACACGCCTGTTTCCTTATTAAAAATGAGATGCCATATCGCGATGACATAAACGTTAGAAGGCGATGGTAGAAAATGAACAATTTTGGATTTCGTCATAAATCTAAAATGTTTTTACACATCACATATTCATAAGGTTTAAGAAATCTGAATATGCACAGTTATATGTCCATCATTCGGTGAGAAAGTTATAAACAAACTATGGAATTTATGTAATGTTCACGTGTTTTTTTTAATTATGTAGGTTGTTCGTGTTATTACTAACAGGCGAGGTATTTAATGGAAGAGGAACAATTTCACTACTTTTTGTAAAGAACACAATATCAGTTTTTTTAGATACACAATAATTTTCGAATGACAAAGATTGCTTTGAACTTTTTTTATGAAAATGGACGGTGAAAATCAATTTAAGGTCACACGAAGTTAAAATTGAATTCATCTTCCGTCTTGAGAGTTACTGTTATATGATATAAAAAGAAAAAAGAAACAGAATTTCCTATTTGAAAAACGGAATATCAACTTCGTTATTCAAAAATCGTTGCTAAACTTGTGTAATTATGCATTCTGGGTTCTTAGAACTTATAAATAAATGATATGTAATAATTTTACGTTTCCAGCGAGGTCCTAGATTTTCCATTTTCTACCATTCTCCTTTACTGAACTACCGTGAGACATAACAGCACTTCCTACTGTCATCGAATGTTTCTCACCCGGCCCGCCGGTTCCACGCATGTAGATTAAAAACGATACCATATCTAGAATAATACATACATAATAACGTAAGTGCCATCGATGGCAGTATACTTTCTGTATTACTATACCTTTATCGCATGGAAGTCGTAGAAATACGTGATACCTTACTGCCGTCGTCAATAGTGTCTATTTTAAACGTCCGCGTATTTACTGAGCACAATAAATAAGCTCGACAGCCTATCGTTTTTATACGCTTAGCAACACGTCGTTGCACGCCGTTTGAATTTTCGAGCAGACACTGTTATCGATGAAGTTTCGAAAGAAATATCCCTGATTTCGGACGGTCACTGGGAAGAAATATAAACAACCGTAACCAACCGCATGATTTTCAATCGACGCAACACGATCATAACAATTTCTCCATGCGGAGTATCAGCGTGGCTGCAGTTCATTATTTCCAAATACCAATATTGTAGAATTGGACGCGCGCGTATTTTGCGTGTGTCGCGGAACTTCGTGTATACGTTAGCATACAATAAAACATTTCTTCTCGAGTATCAGTACAAATTCACCAACCTTTTTTTCATGTTCTTCCTTTGTGCATCAAACTCGTTTCAAATAAGCTGATTTCCGTTGAACACTTGCTTCGTCGTAAAATTGTATACTACATAAGTGTATAACATTGTTGGAATATTGTATTGCATGCCAATTCCTTTTTTTTTCGTGAACCAAAATGTATCTTGTTTGATATGACTTAGTTGGAAGTACAACCAGAGACGAAGTATAATAAGTAGCATGTGTAAAATCATTGATTGCTTAGAAGTCAATTCAAATGTACAATTCAAAGAGTTTTTTGCAGCATACAGTAGACAAATCTGTATCATTATACTACACACAGGTACACAAGAAGGAATTATGTACATAAGATGACACATTCAAATACTACCAATATTTGTAGTATGCTTTTGAGAAAGAAGAGAAGCAATGGTATATCACGGTTTTTAAATATTGACAAGGTATTATGATGGTCACGTTCATCGCACCATACAGTACATGACGATGAAGATGGCAGAAATACGTAAATGGTACACGACGTACTCGAAGCGAGTCAATGAGCCAAGCGGGCCGATCCTGGATATTACCGCAACTTTTCTGCTCCTTCGGTTTATTCCGATACCGGCGTCTCATACGTCGGCTACTGTATTTTGTACATAACCTAAATGCAATTTCTGCTTGTTTTATATACTCAAGAACTATTCACTGTCGTTTCTTCCTTGAACATATGAGGCTTACAGTTTCTTGTTGCACAAAATTAGGTTAATTCTTGCGAGCTGTTGCCCAGCATTTGATGCATTAATTTTATGCACTTTCGTCGACTGTTGGTAACCAAAATGCCATGTTGGTGCAGGCCGATGCGAGCATCATGTACTTAGGATTAAATTGAATACATTGAACAGGTGCAGGATGATCACCGTTTAACACGCAAACCTTGTATCCAGTCTCAGCATTCCATACATGTACTCTACCATCTGTTGATCCACTGAATACAAACTGTGAATCGGGACTGAAACTGGCCTCAATTGCAATTCCCTTATTGTTCAGATAACCAGCAAACGTCTGTAAGGGAGTACCATGAAATGCATCAATCAAACGAATCGTGCTGCCATTTGTGGAAATCAAGATAGTTTTGCCATCTCTGCTGAACTTCAATCCTGTCCAGTCACATTCCTTTTCTTGTGACAACTTAAACGTGGCAAATGGCCCCTTATCGAAACTGCGTAAATCATACAATTTTATGGACTCTGAATTGACGCCTGCAGCAAATATCAGACCCTCGGGATCGTAGGCAGCGACCGGGCGTCCGGAAACGTTCATTACACCGTGGCAATTCGGCGAACGTAGATCCCATAGTCTTAATGATTTATCTAGAGAACCAGAAAGAAACGTATCTTCTATAGGACTGATACACAGCGACACAACTTTCTTGCTATGACCCGGGAAATATCGTATGTACTTGTTGTCGTGCAGACTGAGATAACGAATTGTATCGTCGATCTTGGTACTGCTGTGTATCGCTGTATTCTTCGCATGTGTGAAGTGAATTAAGTCAACACCGTACTTCTTCGAGTTGACTGTACGCACCTGAGTGCCTTTCTCGCAATCATATATCACAATCTGATCATCCTCTGAACAAGAGATCAAAGTGTCCCCGTTCGGTGAGAAGTCGATGCTGTTTATGCGGTCGGAATTTTCACGAAAAACCTTGGCCACCTTGAAACTTCTCACCACGTGGTCAACGAGCTTCATGGTGATGGACGGCGCGATATCCCTTTCGTGCCGTCCCCTTAACCTTCCCGCTTCCGCAATTTCTTTCTCTTTCCTTTGGTACGGGCTTAGGCGCCGAGGCGCGAACCTCCCGAGAAGGGGTCAGGGGTTCGACTATGTGCCACTATTATTCACCTCGCGAGAAAGAAAAAACTCGCGGGGAGTTCAAGGGGTCAGAGAATCCGAAACGGATCTGAAACTACTGATCAGTTGCCCTTCGGTTACTGAATTCCCTCTTTTTCTCAGTATCAGATTTCTTTTTCAACAAATTCGCTTTACTTTAATTTGACAAAGGGATACTTCAATGCTTCCCTACGAACGGACGCCGACAGCAAACTATCGTCACACCGAACGTTCAAGTTCTGCCAACTGTTTAGAGAAATGGATGACCAATTACCATGAACATTCTCAGAATACTGAAGATCGTACCGTGAGTAGAGCTATCGATCTGCGTTGACGTCTCTGCAACGCCTCTTAACAGAAACTGCCTTATCAGCGGAGCCGAGGAAAATTTAAAATTGAAAATTTACTAGTGATATTTAATACAATAAATCTTGAAGTTAAAGTATTATTTGCTGTAATTGATAAGATGGAAAATTTTTATTTCGTAAATTTATTGTGCGGTTTTCATTTTAAATGCAGTTAAATATTATATTGTGTTTATGTGATCGATACATTTACACTCGTATGAACTGTAACAAATTGAAAAACAAATTAGAGAATAATGTGTTAACCATTGCAATATACAGTGAATAAAAAAAGTATTTGAGCGCATATACTTTCTAAAAGTAATTTCATAGATTTCTATATAGATTATGTTATAAAAATTTCCATTGTCTTATTCTATTCTCTCATTTCTCTCGCTATCTAGACAAAACAAAAAGCTTGTTATGAACTTGCTGTTAATGCCGCCGAATCGTACACTCGTAGCGAGGAAGTATTATGGCATACGTAGCAAATACTAAGCATATTCGTATCTTTGCACTCTGACTCTATTATAACAACCGGTTAGAATAAGCTTGGTTTATAAATGAAACAGAATATCTTTGCTAAAACACAGATGTGCGTTGCTAAAATAAAACGTAGAAAAGCGATGGTACAAGAGGTATGTATAATATAAATGAATACTTCACGATTTTATTAAGGAACTATTCGATCCTCTTCTTTTGCGGCATAAAGTTCGTACAATATCAGTACTTAAAAGGTAATTCGACATTAACGAATATTAAATTTTCGTGTGCAACTTCACTATATAAATTATAAACATGTAAAATTTGCGATATCACAAAATAATGTCTTTGTCCCCTTTATGCCTTATCAATTGCATAAAGAAGAAAAGTACTAACATTGCGAAATCATAATTAGACAGCACAAATATTTCTATATTAGTATAAAATACAAGTTTTTAAGTTTCTATTTGACTAGCACTTTGACACTGTCAAAGGCATTGTTGTGGATTATTAGTGGAACAACATTAACTAGTTTTAAATACATAAGGCTTATTGTTTCTTCAAGGTTCATTATAAACTTATTATATTACTTATATACATACATATTTATTATCTTATCAAGATAATAAATTTTGATTATATCAAACACATGCACAATGGCAAATGCAATTTTTTTTGTCAGTCAAGTTTTTCTTGATACTTATGATTAATTATGAATACAATAAATTTTTTTCAGTAAGAAGAGATGTATTTCATTAAAACAAAGAAATAAAAGCATTTTGTCATCAGTCTCTTTAACATTCCTGAGACTAATACATGCATCTAACAATTTATTGTACTATAGCTTACATATGTTACTAATATCAGACATTAAAATTAATATTTCCGTTTTCTTTTATATTCATGTTTTTATCGATTGCATAATAAATGAAGTAACTGTATTTTTTATGTAATGTATCTTTTAATGTGTGAACCTTAAATGCACTTTATGCTACACCAAATTAAACAAAACAGCGTATCATTTTTATTAAATCTGTTACAAATTTCATTGACTTATCACACAGTTTATTTGCCAGAAATTTTCATGAAACTGAATGCAAAATTTTGCTTAATATTGCCATAATGAGATTACATTAAAAGTGTTTGATTATAATCATATGAAAATAGGTATGTATCTTTTGCAATTAGAATTACATTCTTAATGTATGAAATTCAATGTATTTACAGCCATTATATTTTTTCTTTTATTTGAACTATGAGGTTTATACTTTTCATTTATAAATTTAAGCTTAAAAACATATATTTACATCAAAATATTTTGCTGAAAATCCAAAATGATTAATGCCACCATTTAAAATTGTATTTGAAGTAATCACTATATATTTTCTAAAATCGAGACTAACTTTCGAAGTAAATATAGCCTCAAAATATTAAAGCTTAATATTATTTTTTAATAAACATTTCCTTCGTTTTCATTTCATAAGGCTGATGTTAATATTGACTGCCATTAAATTTACGTGTATATATATATACAGAAATCATTTAAATAAAATAATTTATAAATTAACAATGATCTTCGTGCGTTATTACATATATAAATATTATATGTAAATAAGTATCTATTTATTTAGACATTTAATTTGTAAAATATTAGTGCAATAAATATTTTTATATACTTAGGCTTCTGGAATGTAAATAAGACATTTTATTTTAGTTGGATATTTCGTGTTGTGATATTAATTAAATTGATGAAATAATTATGTAATTAGCATATGTCTATGCTTCCTTTACATATAATTTTCTATGTTTCAATAGTCTTTTTCTTCGTTGTTATGAATATTGTAAGCATCTGCTTCAAACATTCAGTGAAATATGTGACTAAATAGTTAGCAACATTTTGAATACCTATAAGTAGTTTTCGATTTTTCGGTTTTTCTTGATTAATGACACCTTGTACAGTTCTATTATCATGTCATTAATTTAAAGATTTTTTTTAAAAAACTACATTTGCAAAAAGGAATTAGAGTTTGCAATAATGTCGTTAATATATTGCATAGAAAATTAAATTAGCAAAAAATATAGTTCTGTGTTTCATTTTGCTTTGTGTAATTGTTAGTTAACTATTAAATAGACCTATGTAAAGAGAAAGCTTCAGTTCTGGCACGCATTACTATATGACATTTCTTTAAAGTTTATACTCCTTTTCTTTATAACAGTAACAACAACAATAACAATTACAGTACTTATAATAATTGCAATGTCTTATAATTATTATTTTGTTCAAAAGACATCACTAATGATTCGCTTGCAAGGAACATATATTATGGTAAAGCTCTGCATAAAGTATACTGAAAGTCATATAAGGCATTCAAAGTGGTAGCCAATAAAAAATATAATAGGTATAAAAATTAAAGTCACCAGCATATAGTTTAATATTATTATATGTAAGTAATCAGCTAAATTCTTATGATTATTTGTATATCAGTATACTTTATCCAAATCAAACCAATTACTTTAGAAGACTGCTGCATAGAGCAATAGGCCCTTGTTTGGTCCCTGAACCTAAAACTTGTACTTATATTTAGCACCTTATAATGTTTATGTGTGTTAGATCATATGTCATGAGCTAAGAAATGTAATTAGCGAAAAAGAACGTATTGAATAAAGTTACAATAAGATGTATAGGTGATGTAAAGTTTATACTTGTATACGTAATACGAAATTCTTGTTTTTACTGTTGTCAACTGATGGTGATCATTAGCCAGGAGCCTATAGCTTAAGGCAAATTTGGAACTATTGAATTAAATTTGTATTATACATCTTACAAATTCTACATTGCATACTGTTATACACATCTTAGCTCAAATTGTGACAATACAATCCAACTGTCTAGGCAAAATCAGAATCGAAGCCCCCATTGCCAATTTGAAAGATTGTAAGTATTTTTGAAAAGGTGTGAAAATAAATATAGAATATACATTTATTAGTAAATATTAAGCTAAGTCTTTTGATTTAGAAAAGAGAAGAAAAAGTATCTGATTTTACAGTGTGAGTGTATAAACAGGTAATAACTAAATTGACAATATTTACTTCAGATAAGATATCGCTATTACAAATCAATACTTTTTATTCTCGATTTCAGTGGCTCAACATTTTTTCAGAGGTTCAGGGAAATTGGTGACTGTACTCAAGCAGTTACAGCAGACTAGGCTAGTGTATAAATTTTCTTTAGAAATTACACTCTTTAAATTTGTATGCAAATAAATGTAAACAACGAATTTTAAATTAATTTATAAATACTTATGTATAAATATATATAAACGTGCATACACATACACATATAATAATATACATGTATGTATTAATGCTTATGATTAACATTTAATTTAATTTCATAGCCACTGGACAATGCATTCTATAAATCATAGAAAGTCTGTGATATTATTTTCTAAAATGTGTGCAGTATTTTAATTTCAACTTCATAACTTTTTAAAATTATTATGTAAACAGACAAATCAAGACTTTTTTGCTTGAGTTTGTGCTACTTATGTAATGATTGTGCAGTGCGAACGTATAATTGCTTAATCTGTCAGGCCAATTGTTAATTCATAGTTACACAAACATGATTTCGTACTCACATATTTCGTCTATAATATATATATGTGTATATACACAACATATATACCATATATACATATCTCTATGTTATTGCATATACGCATTATAAATGTGTAAACTTCAAAAGCATTTTCAAGTATATAATACTAAATGTCTTTAATCATGCTATCTATTTTGTAGGAAAGGCCTCGTAGTGCTAAGTGTAAGAAAAAAAAATTACATTCACGGGTTTAACCTTCCTCTCGGTGTTTGTAATTTCTTACTATATCTTTTCACGAAGTCATAAATCCATAGAAATCTTCACTTTTTGCTAAATTTGTTGTTTGTCCATAAAAATGCATAAAACAATAAAACACAGTAATCAAGATCGTTTCTGTGCCCACTTCAGATCGTCTGCTCTTGGTCTACAGCCGGTAGTTATTTCAATTATGGCTTCTAAAATGTACCAAAAACGAAGCTTTTCTAACGGCCAATTCAACCATCCAGTAGTAATGCAGAAGTAAGTTTCATGCGGTGCAACATGGTGCACACGATGATGCTTTCTGGGTAATATAATTCTGTGTTCTTGTAACCAGACAACCCAGCTAGGTAGTCCAAAATATGTGTGAGACCATTTATGTATCTAAAAAAAAAATATTTTTTCCGAATTATCAAGTTCATGAATGATTATATAAAATAAAACTACATCTTTTTATATCTTGCATGTCGTGAGAAATATACATGCACTAGAAATATCCAATTGTTTTATGTTTCATTTTCACAAAATTTATATTTATTTACCTGATTAGTCATTGCTACAAAAATTGCAAGTAGAAACCAATAACAAGTCCATACAAATTTTTGCTGAATTTCTGTCTCTGGGAGTGTTAAAAAATCCCATGTTAATTTACAAAGGAATGGTATTGTGACCATAAAATTATCACCATTAGTTTCTATGAAGTCATGCCTTGTTATACTTGTGGGATCAATATGATGTTCTCGAAAAGGTCTCAAAAAATTCTGAAAATAATATTTCAATAATTAACAACACAAGAAAAAAATGTGTAAATTTTTGTATCCAAGAAAAGCTTTCCCTGCAAAAAAACTTCCAGCGGAAATTACTTATGATTTCATGTAATAGTTTCTTGTGCATTATGTTTTACCTTTCCTAAAATAGGAAGTTCCACAGAGCCCCATGTATCGGCGGCCCAATGGACTAATCCAGATCCAAAATCCGCAGTTACGATGCCGCAAAACGCTGCCATCGCTATAGGACTTAAGTTTCCGAATCGTAACCTGACAAGGATAAATATTGAATTGACCACCATGAGCGTAATGCAGATACCGACGCAAATACACTCTTGCGTTCTCTTTCCTGAAACCAAAAAAAAATATTCAGTACTTAAATATAGTCGTTCTCCCTTATAATTGCATATCGAAATAAAATGATAATAATGTCTTTATAAGTATTGTGCAGTATAGATACAAAGATACATATTGTTATACCGCTCTTTATTTTTGCACGCAAGCGAGAATTCCAAGGTGCGACTGACGTATAGCCAATGCTTTGGCAAGTATCAAAATCAGAAAATATACATACAATCTGTCCTACGTATCGTGTGTATGCTTCTTAAACATTTTAAATAGACTGTAATCATAACTGTTAATTGTTCGAAAATTTGACAGACAACAAATATATGTCGCGAGAAATTTTAACGCAATGGACAGTAAGGGCCGAAAGTATTCGTATATTCGTTATTTAATTCCGCATACTTCCTATACGAATACTTTTGACCCTACCTGTGTACTTAAAAAGACACGTTTGTTAAAAAACAAAAAAAATAGAATATGACTAGTACTATATAAGTACCAGTGCTGTATAGATTCGCTAGTTCTTGGGCGCCTTTGTGATTAGGACCCCATCTCGGTACGGTTCTGTCCTCTTGCGAAGTCGGTACCACCGAGTTGGCATTGGGATCGTCCTCGAGCATCGAATTCTCGTAGATCTGCCGTTCGGTTTTCACTGGCGCCAAGAAATTCGTTGCCATCGAGCACGCGGCTGAAGCCGCTTGGCCTAAGTTCGCCACTTTTATTTCATCCATAATTATCACTGTTATTAATTCGGAGTAAACGATAAAAACACATGCATTCCTCTGTTTTCTTTTTTTACTAGGCGATGTTGTTCTGTTGTCCGTTCAACAACATCGTGAAATTCTTCCTTCTCTATACGTGTCTGTAGAAACATATCATGCTCTTTATCGAATGATTTGTTTACAAAGTGTCAACGATCTTTTAAATTTTGCATGTAGACACGGCCATAACGTGTTACACATTATTCGATGAATTTTAGCATCATCTGTCGTTGAATCCATCTGTCTTTTGTGCGATTTCACCCTCCCCGATTATCACATAATTATTGGCTGGAATCGATGATTTTGTTCGTCGTTGTTTCGTTTTTTCTCCTGAATCTTTAGTAACCGATCCCTCATGCGACGGAATTTGTGCTGGAAACAATAAATAAAATATTCATTAATTCAATGCAAAATTAAAAATTATTTTTTGCCCAGGTACCATAGTTTAACACTTTCTATGGAATAGTACTTGCACGTAATAATTCGTCCCAAATTGCACGCAACGAAATAGTAGTGTTTGAACTGACATTTCAAAATGTCAAATTTTATTCGTCCGATAATATGTTTTTCAATTTTTGCATATGTTTTGTCGATACACCGTATAATAATCGAGATATTCAAGACAGTGTTAGTAACGCTGATAACCAACTGCCAACATGTTTACAATAAATTATAAAACTCAGTTTCACTTACAAATCAACGATTTGATATTTATCGCTTAACTGCTTCAGTTACTTTAATATTTTTTAATTTGTTGACGTTACTGCATTATCCCGATAAGTAATAGTAATAAAAGTGTTTCCTATAGTGATCACAATACGGGATGTTTTTAATGGCATCTCCTCGTCATACGCGGAAAACTGCTTATCTATCTCTATCGTTCATGACGTTCAATCGTTTCACAGTCATTTATTTGATTAATTAAAAACTTTTACTCGTAAAATTGATAATTGCTCCATTAGACGCATAATACGACTACTTAAGATGAGAAATTATTTCGCGATAACGGTCTGAAGCGTACTAATTAGAAAAAAAAAAATTATCTCGAACTGATATTATCAAAGCGGAATAAAGATAACAATTCATAAATATCTAGACCGTTGAAGAATAACAGTAGTACGATTCAAGCTTATGTATAGGCACCGGTAAAGTAGGTTAATTTCGTTTTTACACGAGCCTAAAAAACAATTTTGATAATACACCTACAGTAGTGGATACAAAATGTGTTTGCGTGCATAGTTCTTGTATAATGATTATTTTAAAAAAAGTAAAAAGGAAAATGTAAAATTGACACGTTAAAAATAGCACGACGCCATGAAAAATTATAATGCAATCTAACGATAGATAAAGTTGTTTAAATAAAAAAAGTAAGTACATGCAAATACTTTTTGTACCCATTCTGTAGTTTACCCTTGCTCCTATTTTGACCGTGCGTGTACATACTAATCGAAATAATTCAAGGGCTCTTTCATATCGCGTACTGTTCATCGTTTGTTAACACATTCAACTCGAGTCTGAAAAATTAAACGCACACCCAAAACTTTGGTATTTGTGGTAAATCAAATTGTATCAGTACTTTGGCATGTAATCCCCATATGGGTGGAAAATCTTTTCGTATTCAGATTTATAGCAGAATGTTAATTGAAATAAATCTGATTAAGATTCACGAAGTTCGAGAAGATTTAGATAAAGGAGGATGATGATAAACGAATTAGTTTAAACATTTCTCAAAAGGTCCTATAGAGGTGGGTCTGACAATCAAAATGATAATACGAGAATTATTCTTCTGAGTTCATGGATTACAAAATGAAATTGAAAATTAGGTGATGTTAAAAATGATTAGTTCTAAATTATTATACTGCATATATATGTTATATGTATCTATTATCGTCGCTGCTCAAATATGCATGCTCTGCACTATCTACTTTAAAACCGGCGTGCATGGTTACGTACACATATAGATTTGAACTCTATACAGTGAGTAGCAAAAGTATTCAACCAGAGGATACCACATCTACATTGCGATAATGAATGTTTTATACCGAGCGAAAATGTTTCGTTTTTCCTCAAATTCGGATACATTCAATGCACATCTGAGAATAAATGTATAAGCTTCATCAGTCTAACATTAACATTTGTACCATTTTCGTACACTCAGTGATCCTTTAATTATTCTATCGTACGAATACTTTCGTTTCTCACTGTAGCACACGCGCACAGCACGTGCACATTTTTATTCGAATGGGCGTAAGAGAAAGAAACACGAGTTACATTGAAACAGAGAGAACAAGGGTGTTGCTGGTTTAAAATTCGAGCATTCGGACGTTTTTAAGCAACTGAATTTCACTGAGTGAAACTTCGAAGGCATACCCATGTGACGGATGAAAGGAGCAAGTTCGACGATAGACAATCCGCGAAGAACTCAGACGATTTTTCGCAGTCTCCTGCCTCCGTCGTTATCCTGGTCGACGCATTGTTCGGCCATAAAGTTGCTGAATGTGCACGCTCAATTAGTCACTGGTAGGATCGAATGAGACCTACGACGAAACACTATCGTACCTCGTACCGATGTAACACATACACACGTAAGGATAGCACGCATGATGTTCACACGCATTCGTGTCGTTTCCACGCACAAGTCTATTTCTCTTCTTCTTTTTCTTCGTTTAGCTCTCGGTACACTGTGAATTCACCAGAAGAAGTTAGTAGTAACAGGAGTGTCTATTGTTTCGTTGAATAACTAAAGAGAGAACAGTGTCAAAAGGACACATGGGATTGGAAAGGGCAGAAAGACCCGAATACGTATAGAAAGAACGAAAGGTGGGAGTAAATTGACGAAAGGACCGAGGAGATACGTTGTCACGGTTTGGCATTTAACTCCCGGGACCTGTTTGCTCGCCTTGCAAACCGATAGATACGAAAGTAACGAAGGAGACAGTGTAAAAACCCGGGGCGTTAGTCTCGCCGTATGCTCGTATACGCGGATTCCGTTCGTTTGAGATTCTCCTCGGTTCTTTCTCTTTTCCTCAAGTTCACGTTGCGTGAATTCGCTAACTCTTTCCACCTGCAACCCCGCCTCGTTTCGTGACGAACGACCGGCGCCGCCTGACGACCATACCTCGCGTCGCGTCGAGTTGCGTCGCGACGCTCCCGTGGCGCCGTCACGCGGCTACCCTTTCCGTTGTGACCATTTTTACTTGTATGTATGTACAAAGACCCTATCTCGTTCAATCGAGCTGTAGGATAATCTGTTTTGACTGTACCCTTTCAATCGTTCAATTCAATTCTACCCACGGAGCACACAGCCTTTTAACGCCATTTGGCCCACTCTAAAGACACCATTCTGAGCATGTACGGATGTCGTGTATTAACACTAGAACTACCGACGATAAACGCATATTTGCTTCGATCGGTGGATAAACGTGAAAAACTTGAAAATTTAGAAATCAACTTATTTCTTCACTTTCATATCGTAATAATAGGTGCAAAAGATCTGAGAAAATGTATTGTCATAACATTTTAATCGTCGTTGTAAGAGTGTATTGACAAGTCATTTTGACTTGCTTGGTAGTTCTGGTGTTAATGTTACAATACAACAAAACGAGGTGTTGATTCCTCCGAGCAGTTTCATATGGGACTGATCCAAACTGAACCAGATTTAATGGACTGAGTTAAGGCATTTCTGTCCATAATTGGAATAACCTACTAAATGGTTGCTGGGCCTATATTAGGCCCACACATAAACGACACCGATGTTAAATAGCGTCGCGTAACCATGGCGAAGGAGACACAGTAGGGGACAAGTGCTTTGCTTCTAGGAATAACTTTAGACTCAATTCGAAGCCGTGTGTCGTTCGATACTTCGTTCCTACAGTCAATTTGATTTTCTCATTTATGGTAACGGAAAATCGCAAGAACAGGAAATTTCTTGAAACAAAATATACAGATAACTATTTCCGAATGGTGACAAGTTAATACCTGACTGATGCATTATTTAAAAGGCTCCACTATCTGGATCATGAATTTTCTTTATCAGAAAGGTAAAAAATGATTAATCGCATTTTTCCTATCTTTATAAAGAATCTACTGTTTATCTGTTTGAACTTTGTAACCGCTCGTGATATGATTCGTATACGTCAAAAATACGCGTGAGCGTAAAGCCGCGGAAGTGCACGTCACCGATAAAACATGCAGCACGACATGGCCATTCTTGTGTACAGTACGGGAGCTTACGTTCTTTCAATGCACGTAAATTTATCGCACGTGACTCAAATCTACGATGAAATTATCACGTGTGCAATCATCGATAAGTATAACTGAACGTTTCATAAAATATTGTTTTTCCCACTACAGTTTACGTACTTGTAATATGTCGGCTGGAATTATTGTTCGATATCCTTACATACTGAAGCTCAGTTACGTATGTAACGTCGACTGGTACGAACAATAGAACTCACTGATAATGTTTTATCAGATTTCAGTAAGATCACGTAACCATGCACCTACGCGGTATGGTTATAAATTACGGAGGTGAAGAACCCTACGGACTTATCCTTCAATAACAGCGTCGTGTAAAGTCTGATATGACCAGAGAGTCCTTTGGACTGGGGCACGTACCGCCCGGCAGAACGTTCATACTTTATTCAAAGGTGGATCGACCGAATGGCTTGGCCCTAAGTTTTTCATAAGTTATATCACGAAGATACGTCGAGCCGCGATCACGTAATATATAATAGCTGTACACGATAACACACTGTCACGTATAAAAGCACACGTATATCCATAATAGGAATTTTTTATGCCAGATTTTTTAAATGGTCTTTCATTTAGCTTAATGGAGAATTATTGATTTATTATCGATCGCCTGTGTTAACACATTTACCAATATCACGGTCACCAATAACTGACGTTTACGACTGATCGGTCACCGAGTCACCGGTGACCGTGACTCTAATGTATTATAATTTAATCGATGTAAACGGAAAACCAGCTGACTTTTCACTGTTGAAACATGTTTATTGAAATGTAGAGGGAAATTCGGAACACGGACCTCCCCTCCACTCCCTCATGTAAAATGGCTCGATTTCGCGAAATAATTAATTTATATGAAAACGTTACGACCGTATATGTACTTACCCACGAGTACTTTAAAATTGGTCACTAAGGTGAAACGTTAAACGTGAACGGGTTTTTCGGTAATTTTCAAATCGACATTATTTTCTGCGATTCCGTGGAATCCTCTTCGTAATTTATCTGTTTCAGGCTATCCGGTCTTTTAGCCTTGTACGACCAGTTCAGTTGCCAAGTTACAATAATGCCAAAATAAACTGAGAAGTGCGAAACTTCGGTTGACATAAATTCTTAAACCGTGATAAGCGCGTCAGGTATGCACGAGTGGCGGGCGTTGATCACGAAAACAAGTTTACCTTTCGATGAAATACCATTACGCTGGCAAAGAATCGACAATGTATTTCCGCGGTACATTATCATCGTGCGATTCAACGGTAATCGCTGAAAAATCGGACGTTCGCCATTACGAACGTGTCCGATAAGATACGTGTTTTTACAGTTCTATACACGTGGAAAACACGTTGGCGAGAAGCTAGGCTGCAAGTCGAGTGCAGTCGGACCGACAAGCTGACCCGAAAGACAAAACGAAGATATGGCATCATCCGACCGCTCACGCAGAAGCTAGCACACTTTTATTTTCGTCAACGAATGTAGCGGCTATATCGTCATGAAAACGACAATTGCTATTTTATACTTTCCGCCTTATATAATTCTTGCTTATTAATAAAGTTTCACGCAACTGAATAACCGGATGCAATACCAATTAGTGCAATTAATATATAACTATAGTTGGTATAACCAACATCGAACGATATGACATTATTATATAAGTTAATCTAATTTAGTCATGCGACCTTCAGGAACGAAGTTTCTGATTTTTTGTAATTGTACAAATGCACTATCAGAGATATCTGTTCTTTTTTATGTATTATTATTAATTGAAATATGAATATAATTTTCTATTGTCGCGAAATAATTATCGTGACGTGGTAATTTAAACAGAAATTTTTAACATCGTTTGTATATTCTGTTGTATTTGAATATTATTCGTCTGACGAATATGTGCAATAATATTACGTGGCCCTCTCTGTAATTGCGATCTGTGATTACCTCCAAAACCGATATAATAACTATGTTTATTCATAAGGTCGTCCTACGAACAGTGTGACTCTGATAATGGCTTTGAAAGTTACTATTGGAAATTTAGTCTTACCATGGACAGGCTAGATTTCCTTTATCGTCAAAAAATCACTGGATCCAACTATATGTATGCATCAGTATAACCGTGTCGATGTGATGCACAGGTATCCCAAAGTATAACGCAACAGCGTGCATACCACGCGTGATACAACAATAAACGACAAGTTCATGTTTTTCGTCGTGGTAATCCAGCATATGTCGGTCATTCGTGGACTTGTGTGCTGCGATATATCCAAGGTACTTATACGAAGACTAAGTACGGTATTATAAAGTATAGGCGAGTACACGAACACCTGACGTTTCAATTGTCTCGAACATATGTTGAAACGTGCATGAGGGTGATTATGGCAGGGGTCGTTCGGGTTGTTCGGTAGAATAATAAATTTTCTTTTGCATATAATTTCGAACTAACAGATTGTAGTGTCTTCTATGACCGACATTCACTGTATGGGAATTATAGCAAATTTTTATACCTCGAAAGAAGGAATTTCAGTAGTTAATGTTTTTCAATAAGTATGGATAAAGATAGCAACAAAGTTAAAATTATACTTCTTGGTAAACCACCGGAAGTAATTACAAAATTGTCGGTAAAAATACAGTACATGAACATACATAACTGTTCAGTCACTTGGAGGCATGTTGAATTGTGCATCTTATTTAAATCTTTATAGAATGGTAAATGAGAATAACAAATCGATTATTATAAATGCATAGTTCGTTTCGATGCGGTTAATCGTGCCTGAGTATCCACCGATTCGCAAATATTTTAACGAACGTAAAAACAGAATCATAGAGTGAATTCACGATTCTAAATTCGTAACACACTCATCGAATTATCGTGTAAAAATAGTTTCATTCATTCGTCGTACTATTATATCACGAACTTTTGCATGTTGGCCAAAGATGATATTTGCAAATGTTTGTAAGGCGCGTGTTACCGTATGGATATAGATTATTGTTGTATGTATGTTTTATCAAATGAATGCATTAGGTAATGTTTAATATCTATTTTCTATATAGGTCTGTGGGTTACATACCTCTCTTAACATTTTAGTGTCAATATCCGACGATACCGATAAGGCATGAATTCTGAAAAATATGCAATGCTTCGGTTTAAAGGCACTCATGAAACATGACGCGCGAAAGTATATATTTCTTTACTTATCTATAAGATAACTTATTCTAAATACATCGTAATGGATGTTTTAGTAATGTTATATACTTTTTACACGTTCCTTTTCTATAATGTAATTGGTAAATTTTTACATATAAGTCTTATTTACGCATCACTTCTTTACAATAATTTTATTTATTGCCAGTAATTAAACAATGAACTTCGACCCAACTAGAGATCAGCTAGCCGAACTTCTACAGTATTGCCAAATCTATGTTTTCTTCATTTTCTCCATGAAGAAAAGCTTTGATCTATTATGTAATTAGTAATATTTATCAGATTGTATTTCATAAACTTTGGCGCCATCGTCAAATTGACGGAATGTATTTATGATAGATGGCGTTCAGGAAAACATTGCAGTTTCAAAACTTCGAGAAAAGAACAGCAAAGGCATCATTATACATTAATAACGCTGTCCATCTAAAACGAATTGAAATAACAAATTTTCGAGAATAGATTGCGCGATGTGTTTACATAGCGCAGTTTAATTCTTTCATTAATCAATAGAATAAATTAGAACACGAATTTTAAAAAATTGGGCAACCTGATGCACAAAACATAATGGTTCTAACATTGTTATTTACAACCAATTAAATGAAAACATTTCTTCACGTCGAAAACTTATTACAAATCTAAAAAAGATGCGTAGATACATTTGATGAAACCGGTTTCCTACGCCTTAAATGCATGATATGTAGTGAGGTTGAAAAAGCTAGTTTGAAAATGCACTTACATGCGCATTTTACGTTGATTTAACAGTTATGAGAATACAAATATAAATTGCTATCGAATAGAAAGTTAAAAACTCGTCAGGTTTTATATGTTAAGCTTAATTGTTATGTAGTTTATTAGGTGTTCCTGAATTCCATTAATTCCATAGAATAAACACTATTTATTCGAATTTAAAATTTGTAAATCGCCTGTGTATGGAGAAATAAAATATTTTGCTTAAATTTACATAATAATACATATACGCGTTCATAATAGCAATATTAAGCGTGACTACTTTTTTATACGCGAAAAACAATAATAGATCCTACGGGATTTGAACGTATGACCTCTTATATTTTTATATACTTAACAGCGAACGGGCAGAAGGGAATCTTCTGTAAGGTATTTAATCTATACCAATTGATACTTATTTTTCGACAGTGTACATACTACTCTATTATAGAGTGTATGTAGAATTATTTATTCATCTCTTAATATTGGTTGTTACTTCATTGTAACAAATAATGATACGCAAGTAGATTTCCTGAAAATTAGTGATACGAATTAAGAACATATTCTACATATTTACGATTCACATTAAGGTTAGTTAGTTATTCCGATGCATTGTATACAAGTCAATTCACACAAATAAGAAATTTGTAGTGTAACCAAATCTTAATTTTTTAACATAACAGCAAAAGGGCAGCTATTTGTTAATACAATGAAACTTGCTCTGTTCAGTGAGAATGATTCTGTACTTTTATTAGGAGAGGGTAATTTTTCATTTTCTGTTACACTTTTCCAATTAAATTTAAATATTAATATTACTGCTACATGCTATGAAACCAGTGTTAGTCAAGATTTTGGAAAGAAAAACATAGAATACTTAACAAATAATGGTTAGTACTTAAATAACGAACTAAAAATGTGTATTTGTACAATCACCTTGTGTAATTATCTAAAGAATTCTATGCTTTTCTTTGCAGATGTTCGTGTACTGTTAGGTGTTGATGCAACAAACTTAAAAGAGCATCCAATATTAAAAGCTGAATTATTTGACAAAATTGTATTCAATTTTCCCCATGTTGGTGGTAAAATGCGATTAGAAAAAAATAGAGAGTTATTAAAACAATTCTTTATAAATGCAACAACAATATTGAAAAGTAATGGTCAAATATTAGTCACTTTGTGTAATGGTCAGGGTGGCACACCTATTGATAATCCACAAAGACATTGGAATGATTCATGGAAAATTACAGAAATGGCGGCACATGGAAATTTTGTATTAAGTCTAATTGAACCTTTCATATGGTCGTCTTTTCAAAATTACATAGTAACTGGCTATCGTGGTTTGGATAAGCAGTTTCATTCTGAAACTGCTTTAACTCATGTATTTGTTAAGTCTGAGCCTCCAAATGCACAGAACATTGTTCCTAACAACAAAATAAATATTTCCCACCATGGTAATGATAACTTTTCATGGAAAAATATATATCAAATGATAAATATTCCAAATAGAAATACTTCGTATGCACATACGTATGAATTTGATATAACTTTCAGTGTTAATGACAAATGTGATTCCTCTGAATTTTATACAGTACTGTACAATCATTGTGGATGCATTATTAGTGATATTAACTTTGTGCGATTGTATGAGTCTCCTATGGACAAAGTACAGAAAAGAACTTATAGAATAACTTATAAATCTGACTATTTACCTTTGTATAGAAAAAGAATTATTGATATCCATCAAAATTTAATTGCAAATATCTTGGAAGATAATTTAAATGTTTCAGTTTCAAGATAGCATTATTGTAATGTATATATTTAAAATATAAGTCAATGTAATTACACTTTAATAAAATTTGATTTGTTTTACACCACAAAAATATTATATTAGCACAACATCGTATAATTTAGTTGCTTAAAAATTAAATTATTTACAGATGCATTGTTTTCGTCAAACAAGAACATTATTTTTACATAATGCTAATTGGAAACAAGATGTTACGAATATTATTCCTATAATTGTACAAAGATGTAGGAATATAAACAAAAATGTATTTAAACCATTCTACACTTCTAACTCGTTTCACCACCAAGAAGATATTTCCAAACCATTACGCAGTTTAAAGCCAAAAGCACCAACTGATGCACAAAACACATTCGTCGATATTAAGCAAGTATGAAACTAATAACTTAACTTCTATATAATACTTACAAATTTTAATCCATATACATATTTAGGTAAGAGCTACTGGAGGAACAGGTGGGGATGGAGAAATATCATTTTTGCAATTGTGGGTCAATGATATGGCTGGACCTGATGGTGGAGATGGTGGACACGGTGGTCATGTAGTTTTTGAGGTATGTGACTGACACTTTAATATTAAACTTAAGTGTAACTAGAAACAAAATTTTACAGGCAACAGCAAATGTTAAAGACTTTTCACATATGAGTGGTGTTTTAAGAGCTGAAAATGGAGAGAGGGGACGTAATAAAGATTGTTTTGGCAAAACTGCTAAGCATACCATAGTAAATGTTCCTCTAGGCACTATTGTACGAAATATAAAAGGAGAAATAGTAGGTGATTTGATTAAAGAAGGATCAATGTTTATTGCCGCAAGAGGTGGTGCTGGTGGTCATGGAAACACATTTTTTAAATCGAATTTGCAACAGTCACCATGTATATGTGAATATGGTGCACATGGAGAAGATTTACAATATGTGTTAGAAGTAAGAAGTATGGCACATATTGGATTGGTATGTGTGAATTGTGATTCTTAATATTCATACCTTATTAGTACAGTCCGTTACACACTAATTGAAAATATTGAATGAAAAGAAAAAATATTTTATAAAATATTTCACAAATATATTTTAGATTGGCCTTCCAAATGCTGGCAAAAGTACTTTGTTAAGAGCCATAACTAGGGCCAGGCCAAAAGTAGCTGCGTACCCGTTTACTACGTTGAAACCTCATTTAGGGATGGTATTATATGATGACTACGAACAAATTGCAGGTTGATAATTTAATTATTTATCAATATTTCGTTTCAATTGTATTGTCACTGTTTTTAATATATTTTTTAGTGGCTGATCTACCAGGACTTATAGCCGATTCTCATAAAAATAAAGGTCTTGGTATACAATTCCTTAAACACATTGAACGTTGTAAAACATTACTATTTATCCTGGATACTACCTCTGATGAACCTTGGGTAGATTTTGAAACCCTAAAGAATGAAATTACACAATTCAATATAAAGTTAAATGAACGATCGGTTCTTATTGCCGCGAATAAGATTGATTTGCCGGAAGCAAAAGTAAGTCATCGTATTTTTTATATCTGTCTTATAAGTTAAAATCCTCAGAAAAGATATAGTAATGCAATTAATTTATAATTGTAGGAAAAATTGGAAATACTTAAGCAAAAAGTTCGTATACCAATCATACCAATTTCTGCTAAAATAGGTACAAACATATCCACTTTATTGAAAGAGGTAAGGATTTTATACGATAAGCAGAGAAAAAAAAGTGAACAGGAGAATATATTGGAAAACAATGAAAATTCTACTTAATTTTACTATATATTTATAATAAAAATTTCTTAATAAAAACGGTTATAAAAATCATTGTTTTGAGATTATCATCTCTTAGCATTTTACAGCTCTCTCGCATAACTTAAAGTTCTTTAATACACAAGTAATTTCTTGTTGATTTAATATGGTATGGAACCATCTGTTCAAGTTTGTATACTGTTTCCTACACTCTGGATCAAAAACATACTGATATAAAGGTATTAAGGTAGTGAACACAGCAATGTCTGCAAGACTAATTCTTTCACCGACTAAATAAGTTTTTGCAAGCAGTATGTTGTTTAATTTTTTCAAAGAAGAAAGAACATCTTCTTTCGACGTTTTTATAATCGTTTTCATATTACTGGATACATTCTCTGAAATACAAGGAAAAACCCATCCAGCCATTGCTGGCAGAATATGATTGTCAGTATAACTTATCCATTGTAAAACTTGACTAAATGCATAAGAATCGCTCGAACATCTCAGCTGATCATTTGCTAAATAGAAAGTAATGGCACTGCTATCAAATAATTCAAAACCATTTCCTTCAAGTCTTATGTCTCTGGAAATTCCACCATTAGTCTTGTACTGCACTAAAATTATTTCCCTACCACTATACTTTGCTGCTATTTGAGCGCGGTAACATTTGACACTTCCAACATTACCAAAAAGTGTTAATTTGTTTTCGGAAATTTTAGAGCATACCAAATGCTCAACAACTTCCGGTTGATTATTTAAAATATCATTTCTGACAGAATCTGTAAATGAGAAACCGTTTTTTTAAATCTCAGACATTTTTTTATGTTACTCTTATATTTATATATCTTGAAGAAGGGTTTTCACCTGTAATTCCAAGCTTTAAATTAGCAAAGTTTTTAGCTGTATGTATTAACTTATTTAAACAGGAAACATTGGTACCCGAAGCTTGAGCGGACTCGGGTTTTCCACCCCCTTTTCCTCCCATAAGAGGAGCAATTTCTTGGATCCATTCATTCGCTTTTAATCCTTTGTTTACGCCGGACTATTACGTTTCATAATATCAGTTAATAATTATTTTATATATCTTTTTTAAATGATTAATTATTTATGTTTAATTTTACCTTAGACGTTGCACTAAGTGCAAATATTTTCTTAGCGTCAGGATCCACGCTGACAAGTAATGCACTTGTTTCTGGCGACACAGCTTTTATCTTTTTAAGAGCAGAATCCAAAGCTTTCGTATTACTGTATGCTTGACAAACCTCTACCAATACTGGGCATCCAATGTTTTGTTGAATTATTTGTTGAATAGTTTCTACCACCGTATTAGCGATCGCCGCTTTTGCTACGCGTTCTTTGTCGTCGAGTGTCTTTTTCAGATCTTTCAACATCTTACGCATCTTGTCCTGTTGGCAGAAGTAATATATGTATACAATACATTCGTATCTCTTACAAAATGTTATAACAGTATATTGTAAAAAAAAACTTTTAACTCAATATACTTTTCTCCAGCTTGGAATTGTAACACGTGAGATGTCGTCCGTTAATTCGACTATTCTTTTTACGTGCTCTTTTGAATTAACGCAGTTCTTGTCGATTGCTACAGTCATTTGAAGCTGATCCAATTGAGTCTGTAGCACTTTTGCTTTTTTCAGAGCTTTTGTTGCTTCAGGACCAGTGAGAGCTACAATACGCCTAATACCTTTAGCAATTGCTTCTTCGCTGGCTATAACAAAGTCTCCAATGTGATCTGTGCAATGCAAATGCCTAAAAAAAATTTCAATTAGTATATATTTATAATGCGAACCATTTTATATTGTATAATTTCAATTTACTTACGTTCCCCCACAAAATTCTACACTGGTTTGCACCGCATAAGGACCCAAAGGATCATTTTCTAAATCTTCAACTGGGACACCTATGCTAACTACTCTTACAGGATCCGGATATGTTTCCTCAAACATAGCCCGTAAACCTTGAATAGTTTTAGCTAATGCTAAACTACTTTCCTTGGCAAAAACTTTTTTCTTCTCTTTTACTATAGTATTTGTAATTTCTTCCACTTGTTTCACTTGTTCTGAAGTCATAGCTCCTGGAAAAAATTATTTAAAATCATATTTTGTATTATTTCTTATGATTAAAAGCATGTTGCTTTCACGAACCTTTATTCGTAAAATCGAAACGAAGGCGGTCCGGTGCTACCAGAGAACCTTTCTGATCCACTTCCGTGCCCAATACTTTTCGAAGCGCGTAATTAAGAGCATGCGTTGCGGTATGATTGCTCATTACAAGCCTCCTACGTGTAGTGTCTATATTCAAGTAAACTTTATCGTCCTTCTTCAGAATTCCCTGACCTACAGTACCAATGTGCAAAACGTAGCCGCCTCTGACTTGAACATTTTTTATCCGAACTTCTGTCTCCTTGAATAATAAATATTGTTAGTTATGCATAAATACGTATGAGTAAGGTATATATTGATTATTTACTTCATCGTCAGTTTTCACTAAGAATCCTTCATCGTATATTTGTCCACCTTGCTCAGCATAAAAGTTAGTTTGATCTAATAAAATTCCGACTTCTTCTCCTGATAATACTTCGTCGACAAAAGTTTTGGCATGCCTAAGGGCAATTACAGTGCCAATACAAGGAGCAAATTCATATTCTTCACACATTTTATCACCGGTAACCGTGTAATTGTACTTCGGCAAGTCTATAGTGGGCTTGACTCCTTTATTTTGTAATTCAGTAATTGCATGAACATCCAAGTTAATTTGATCATCCACACCGCCACTTTTGCTTTGAGAAATAAGCTAGTGTAAATGAAAGAATTCTAATTACAATATAAATAATGAGTCAATATTGCAAAGTACTTTATATGCTACCTGAGCTTGCTTTTTCGCTTCTTCATAGCCTATCATGTCCACTTTTAAACCCTTTTCTTCTGTCATGAGCTGCGTTAAATCAACAGGAAATCCGTATGTATCATACAAACGCCAAGCAACATCTCCAGGGACAATAGTAGACGATTCCAATTTCGCTACAGTACGATTTAATAAATTTCGACCACGTGACAAAGTTTTAAGAAACTGAGCTTCTTCTTCATTAATAATATCGATTATATATTGTGGATCTTTAGTTACTTCTGGGAAAATGTCACCAAGTATCTGTACAACGACGTTCACCAATGTTCCAAAGAAACCAGGCTTTGCATTCAATTTTTCCGTTGCATAACGCACGGCGCGTCTCAAAATTCGTCTCAGTACATACCTAAATAATAAATTACTATATTAATACATATACAAATAAATTGAAACTGATATAACTCATAAGGCATAACTCACCCTCTACCAGTGTTATCAGGTACACCTCCATCAGCAAGAGAAATTGTAAGAGTTCTAGCATGATCAGCCAAAACTCTGTATGCCATATCTATGCCATCTTTATCATCTGTGCCAACTTTGCCTTGATAAGGTGGTGCTCCTGTGCCCTTCTGAATAGCTTCAAAAAGTGGCATGAACAAATCTGTATCGTAATTAGCACGTTTATTCTGAATAACTGACACTAATCTTTCCAAGCCTAAGCCACAATCAATGTGTTTCTTTGGTAATGATTTCAAACTTCCATCAGACTCTCTATAACGAACATACAACATGAAATAAGGAAAATTCTTTCAAATCTTGTATCTTATAAATGACTTGCCTATTAAATTGTATAAACACAAGATTCCAAATTTCTAGAACATCTGGATCATCCTGATTGACTAAATGAGCTACCTCTCTATTGCCAATACGATCATAGTGTAATTCACTGCACGGCCCACAAGGCCCTGTTTCTCCCATTTCCCAAAAATTATCTTTCATACTTCCTGGCAACACATGCGTAGGAGGTACTCTAAGAAAATAAAGAAGAATGAAAGATATTCTCTAAAAAGTAGCACGGGGACTAAGTAAAGCATTCAATATGAAATTACCCTAAAGATAGCCAGATTTCTTTGCACTCTTCATCTGGTTTCAAATTATTCTTCTCATCTCCACCAAAATAAGTTACATATAATCGGTCAGATGGTAGTTTTAATTTGACCGTTAAAAATTCCCAGGCCCATGTGCAGATTTCTTTCTGAAAATAGAAATAATACTAAGAAGTATAACATTTCTGTAATTAACTATAAACATTATAATTACTTTGAAATAATCGCCAAAAGACCAATTGCCCATCATTTCAAAAAATGTATGGTGATAAACATCTTTGCCAACATCATCCAAATCATTGTGCTTCCCTCCAGCTCTGATGCATTTCTGACTGTTAACAACTCTTACATACTTTGCCATATCACTGTTAGGATCTACTGTGCCCAGAAATATTGGTTTGAACTAAAATAAACCATCAATAAGTTCAATGGTGCAATTTAATACACACAACAGATAATATATTCTTTGACATACCTGGTTCATTCCAGCATTTGTAAAAAGCAATGTTGGGTCATCGTGAGGTATTGTAGAACTAGAGTGAACATACTCGTGACCTTTGCTTTTAAAAAAATCAATATATGCTTGTCGAACATTCTTGGCATTTTTATATGAATCCATATTAATGTCCCTCTTCTTTTTTTCTAAATAAAATAATATGTAATTCAAGATATATTAAACATCTAATCAAGAAATGATCTGAGCATATGGAGATAGGTGACACTGAATTCACAGGCAAAATTAAATAAGTAATGTTAACTCAAAAACTGTGCATATGAGTTTTATAAATACTGATAATATTGTGAAATTATAATATTCTCTGAAATAGTCACGTATCGTCATATTAAAACTCACCCCGAAATAAATTTGGAAGTTTATATGTAAACAGCTGGTCGCACAACGAATACTGATAACGTCTTTGAAAAGAGAAAGGAAAAAAGAATTCAGAGCATGTATCGGTAATCGAACCGGTATTCCGAAAAAAAGATCACTCCGTAACTGTAGCAAACTGACTACCCGAACGGTGAAGTGGTCATGCAATAAAATGATAGAATTCTTCAAAATAAAAATCGATGCCTATAGCGAGATGTTTTACACAAATTCAATTGATGATGTGTATCATTTAATATGTACGATTGGAGAGGATTTAATTTCTCGGTACATATACCTTCCTATTTAGATATAAGTCTGCTGATTTTCCGTGACAAATTTATCATTATACCTACGGTAAATCAACATGAAAATTTAATATAAATAAAACATATACATATGATGAAATAACTTAATACTAAATACATCATTTTATGCTTTGAACTTTCTAGTTTATTCTGTAAATGAATTGATATGAAAGAAACTTACGAAAATACAGGTCTTTCATATTTCAACTCGTCAAGAATGATGTGTTCAATTTGAGACGATCGGGAAAGAGGTAGAGGTAATTTTCACCGGTGGATAGTTTTATTTAAAAAACAGGCAATATGCCGTTTATGATTGGTGCGGCGCCTATACGAAGAACGTGGAGATATTTAAACGCTGGTAAATTAGTCTTAAAAAATGAGATACAAATATTTTCCATTAATTATAACGTACACGGACATAATCATAAAGGAGCTAGGTAGGTATTAGGTTATGTTTGTAGAAAATATATTTTTGTTTCAATTTAAAATGCTATTTATAAATTTATAAGCTCTAATAAGAAAGAATATACTAATGTATTTCTTATAATGTTTTATATGAAACAGTTTATGTTAGAAATCAATAAAGTTTTACATGTTTTCCATGTACTTCCTCCAAGTTGTAATTTTAATATTGTTTATTATATTTATAGAGAATTCATATTCTGGAATCTATCGCAAATTCAGTATAAAAACCCAAACGTGCAAGTGGTTACATTTAAAAATTTGACACCAACTCCTTTTGTAAAATGTTACTATGGTATGTACTATAGCTAAAGATTTAATTTTACTTTTAAATAATAAATACATTCACAGAAAAAACTACTAAAAGAAAAATATTTTTATTTTACCTCAATTTTATACAGACGATGGAAAAACTATGTTAATTGACATAGACAATAAATCTAAAGAAGACATACTAGGACATCTTATGAAAGTTGTTGGTAAATCCGAAGATGTTTTGAGAGAAGAGAACATAACACAAGAAAAGAAAGATAATCCTGCAAATTTTGGTGTTGACTGTTCAAGAAGTTGTATGTGTGTAGTTCCTGGTCAATTGCCATGTCCTTCTGTAGTACCTTTACCATTTCATATGCGTGGTAAATATATACATGCCAAAAAGGATGATTAACTCTAAGATTATTTTCAATGTTACATATAAATATATTAAAAGTAACTACTGTAATTATTTTTTATGTTTTATTGAGTTGTTTACTATTTACACATATCTTGAGTATTTTTAAATTGTTCAATGTGTTTTGTGCTCAATGTGCCATTATTGGTCCACAACAAACTTTCCCTTCTGGCCACTGATAATTTTGCACTATCAGTATAATAAATTAGAATATCAATTAATCCTACTTGTTTAATAAAATCTGTTATGTACCACCTTTTGTATATTCTTTAAACGTTTATAGTACATTTTAATATAGAACATGAATGACTTATGTGGCGTGAATCGGAAGTCACGTAAAGAGGGTCTGAATATGAAACATGTTACCTTTGAATAAAAGGATGCATATTTAAAGTATGTATTCGTTTATTATAAAAAGATATCATAGATTATGAAAATACATGTACATTAGTGTACATATTAAACATCGCATTATCAATGAATTAAGATACGCGTGTATCGGATGCGCGGTCGCATCACTGTAGGAATCATGTTTGATTAGTAGAAAAAGATGTACAAAATATCAACTAAAATGTATAAGGCTTTATAGTACAAAAAACCAAATACACAGAAATTATTTAAATAGAAAATATAAATAATATATGAACTATGGTCATGGAACGAATGTTGGTCAAAAAGAATAAATCGATTATTCTTAATCATAACGTTATGAAATAAAAAATGGGATTCGAATTATCTTCTGGGTTTATAACGATTATATGGCTTATTGTTATGATGGTGATTTCGATTGTGATAACGAGTTGATGTGGACGGTTTTGGATTTTCTGGTTTCTGATATAACTGTATTATGGGTGATCCATTTAAAGGTTTGTTTAATTCAAATTCTTCTTCCGACTCTTTCATTAATTTTAGTTTCGCTTCTATAGCTTGAATTGCTGTTTCACGACTGTGGAAAAGGAATTACATTCGTGTGACAAATATTTATTAACAATTTGAATTGTAATATAATAATCTCTTTTGATTTTATAGAAATATTTCAAAACTACCAAACTTACCTTATTCTTTTGTCTTCCTTCTTAGCACCAGCTAAAGCAGGTATATCTATTTTTGGCTTTGGTTTATCTATGTCAGGCTTGAATGAAAAAGAATATTGTTAATACCTATTATTAAGAAAAGATTAACACTTATAACATTTCATTAATTACCTCTGATACACTATGAGCCCATCTGACGATAATATTCTTTGCTCCTACTTTTAAGTTGTGTAAAGCATCTTTGGCTGCCTCTGCATCCTGAACTGTTTTGTACGTAACAAATGCATATCCTCTTGGTTGACCAGCTTGTGGGCCAGACCGGTGGAATAGGAGGTCGAACTTTTCAATAGTTCCATGGTTTTGGACGAGTTTTAGGAGTTGGTACCGGTTGACAGATAAAGAGTTAGTTTTTTCAGTTCTTTTGCCATTGTACAAAGATATTATACAATATGAACATACAAGAAGAACCCAGGTATGACACCGAGCAATAGAAAAATATGTTGTTTAAAGAAGTATAGAACTTATATGTGGATTTATAAAAACAATACATAACCCAAGGGATAAACGGACACTTGTCCCAAAAATCATCAATCATAGCTTTCATATTATGAACTCCATCATTTTGCAAAAACTTATTTAAAAATGAGCATAATACCAGGAAATTCTCGTTGAATATGTAGTCACAATCAGGACAAGTACTTTTTATATTATTTCATAATTTGTTTATACAGAATGTTCCACGATATGAGCCAGTTAACATAACACTAGTTACTGAGTTTATGAAAAAACATTGAAGATAAAATTTATATTATATGACTCATAAAATCTGTTGGAATAGAAGACATATTTTTATTGTTATTTCCAAAGTCATTTAGAAGTTGAACATTATTTTCTTATAAAGTCAATAATTTAGGTGTAACTTCAATTGGCACTTATCTTTGGACATCCTATATTTATCGATTTCTATAATTTCAGTCAATTTTTCTTTGAAAAGCTCTTCTCGTAATAATGACCTACTCTTGTGAGAAAGAATCCAAATAAATACTTACTCATTAATTCTTAAATCTAAATTGCCCACCCACAATCTTCTGTCCTCCACTTGATTTGATTTTATTGGTTCTAATGGCAAAGGAACTTTATTAATTGGCTGTAAATAAAAAAACAAGAATGTTAACAAATTTAAAATACATCATACAAATACGAATCGCGTAACCTTGGTGTAATCGAAACGTGAAGAAATTCTTACCTCCATACCGATAGTCTATAAATGATATCAAATTAATACAAAGAAGCCTTAGCTGTTGATATTGATCTTAAAATGCATTTCTGTACGAAATTAGGCATTAGTATCCGAGTATTCATAGAAAATTTTATAAATACAGCAAAACCACTGTACAATCACCACTACAGCAGTCTAGCAAATTATTCATCCGTACGGGCAATAGTTATAAACGGTACAAGAACTATTTCTAAAATAATTTCAATACATTAGACAAACATTTTTTCGCATCTCCATTGAAAACTATAAATAACATCAAATTCATGAATACTTTACTATATACGACGATGTTATTTATTATTGTCAAAGATTTGAATTCAAAAGATACAATTACAATTACAATAAACAATTACAAATAAGGTATACAAACATACTTGACGACATTTATAATTATGTTTCTCTGACACACAAATCGAAAGCCATAATATTTTCTTCACGATTGTCTCGAAAAGAGCAGTCAGTAAACAGTTTTGTACCAATTTTAAACATGGCGTCGTTTTTATCGGATTAGGAATGATGACAGCATGAAGTAACCGTAATATTGAATCACGGTGCGACGGTTGTATGTAGTTTCGCAGTACTATCGTGAACGGAGTAGATTCCAAATGGAAAGATCAATGATGTCCGAGCAATCGGCCAGCCAAACACAGACGGAAACTGTTTTGGAGACGGATGTCACGGATTCTGTATCTCAGGTATGGTTACGACACGTCATTATTCTGATCAGATAATAAATATTTATTGTCTGTACACGTTTTTCGCAATTTTATATTTTTAACGATAATACAGAAGTATTGGATACTTTTCGCGTGATCTTTCTTTGAGACTTTTACTGTCATTAAATCGTTGTCGTCAATCCGATTATCAATATTCTGCCATTGAAAATCTGTGATTTTGTGACGGTAACAAGAGTTATAAAAGCAGTTACTACTTATCCAAGTTATAGAAATTATTGAAAGCATGCTTGCTTTCTTATTGAAAAGTGCTACGAAAATGTGTAATATATTGAGTGCATGTAACATTAAGAGTCTAAGAACATTATGCACAACTATTGAAGATTATACATCACCCCTTGCTGGAATTAGAGTTTTGGATTTAACGCGTATTGTGGCTGGCCCCTATTGCACTATGATTCTTGGTGATCTTGGAGCTGAAGTTTTGAAGATAGAGAAACCTGGTACTGGCGATGAAGCAAGGAAGTGGGGTCCTCCTTTTGTTACAGGAACAAAAGAATCTGTTTATTTTCTTAGCGTGAACAGGAACAAAAAGAGCATATGTATTGATTTGAAGGAAGGTAAAGAGATTGTCTATGAATTGGCAAAAAAGTCTGACATTTTGGTAGAGAATTATGTTCCTGGTAAATTGGGAAGGCTGGGCCTGGGATACAAAGATATTTGTAAAGTAGCACCACATCTTATATATTGCTCTTTGACTGGTTATGGGTATAAGGGTCCTTATGCAAATAGGCCAGGGTATGATGTGATTGCTGCTTCTGTTGGAGGCTTGTTAGATATAACAGGTCCAAAGGATGGATCGCCGTGTAAAGTTGGGGTAGCTGTAACTGATTTAGCAACAGGTTTATATGCCCATGGTGCAATAATGGCAGCATTGTATCAAAGAATGAAAACCAATAAGGGACAATGGATTCAGTGTAACTTATTGTCAACGCAAGTTGCTAGTTTAATAAACATTGGTTCAAATTATTTGAATGCTAATAAAGAAGCAGTAAGGTGGGGTTCTGAGCATGAAAGTATTGTTCCGTATGAAGCTTTCCCAACAAAAGATGGATATATGACTGTTGGAGCAGGAAGTAACGTTCAGTTTTTAGAGTTGCTCAAAAGAATGCAGCTAGTAGAATTGTTTAATGATGATAGATTTAAAGATAATACTGCTAGAGTGGAAAACAGAGATGGACTATTAGAGATTCTTAGAAGAGAGTTTAAAAGGAGAAGTAACAAAGATTGGGCAGCTATATTTGATGGTGCCTCTTTTCCGTATGGTCCAATAAATACAGTAGCACAGGTACAGAGTAATAAATGTTTGTATTGCAAGTATCCTTGGAAATTGGAGACTTGTGGCTTTCACTGCCCGGCATTGTACGGTTGTTATTGTTGAAGCTTACACCTGAAAGCTTCAACAATAACTCTACAGTAACAACTATCTTGGAAATATCTTACACAAAACAATTTTATAGGTCTTTGAAGATCCACATGTAAAGTACATAAAAATTGTAGAAGAAATGGAACATTCCTCAGGGGAAAAGGTCAAAGTTGTTGGTCCCCCTGTAACATACAGTTATGCTGCAAATAAAGTCAGATTAGCACCTCCTATGTTGGGACAGCATACTGAAGAAATATTGAAAGATATTTTGGACTATTCTGATCATAAGATACAAAGTTTAAAGAAAATTAAAGTTGTGCAATAGAAAAAAAGATTACTCTTTTGAAGTTAAGAAGGTGGTTAGGTCACATGTTTCAAAGATATACATTTTATTTAAACGTGATCTTTACAGAACTGTATCATTATATCTGTTATTGTATAATAAGAACTGTTTGCATCTTTATATACAGTGTAAAAATAAATAAATGTATTATCATAGACATTTGCACGGTTTATTATAAGTGTATCCTTTATTGATTGATAAATATAAAGAACAATAATTTATTTTAATACTTCTATTTTTCAGGATGTGCCGACTGTCCGTCTACGTCTCAGAAAACCAAAATCTAATAAAAAGGTCCAGTGGACTCAGGGTACTGTGGATAACGAACACATGAATAAAAAGAAATCTAAATGTAAGTTTTCATGTGGTATCAATGTATCTTAAAAAAAAACACATGCTTACATTTAAATTGGCTGTTTACTATTTTAATAATATTTCAGGTTGTTGCATCTATGAAAAACCACGAACTTTCGGTGAAAGTAGCTCCGAAGATAGCGATGATGAATGTGAACATTGTCACGGTCATAAAGATGCTCATAAAAAAGTCGCACCACATAATGCAGAGACATCTAAAGAAGGGATTCCTTCTAACCCTGGTAAAGATACTTAATAAAATAAAAATATGTCAAAAGAAACGATATATGTAATATAAATCATGAACTAAAAGATTCTGAATGTTTGTTCATTCTTTTTACAGATACAACGGTAAAAGCATCTACATAAATCTACATCGATGGCTGAAATGATTTTTCCGAATGGAAACAAATCCATTCCCTGTATATTTCTTGTATCAATGTTGTTTAGAAGAAGGAGATGGAGAATAGGTATGTCATTTCTAACTTGCACTGTTTTATATTCAGTGAAATTAATCGTAAGTACGTCAATATACTTCATTTTACAGGAAACTCAAATGAAAATGTTACAATTTTGAATGCAACTGCATTATTTATATTCATACTGCTGGTATTAACATCTTTAAATCAGTGCTACAAGTCATTTTTGCAATATTCATATTCTTAATAAGAAGATATTGGTAGAACATATCATTATTAACCTTTTCGGTACAGTCGGCGTCTATACACGCCGTGCAAAAATCGCGCGCTGACTCTACCGTACCGAAAAGGTTAAAAAGAAAAGAAAGAGGATATAGAAGTTTATTATAAGATTTAACTCCTGTTACATTATCTGATGTTTGTATAGTATGTTAAGTTGGATTGAACTTTATCATAATAGTTAGTAATCTTCAAATTATTATAGCTGTGTATATATGTATTCATACATACATATATATACATATACATGTCCTTTTGGTACGATTAGAAGGGATTCATAGTTCCTATGATATAAAGCATGCATATTATGTCTTAGCTGTTTTGAAAGTAATGAAATTATCTGAAACAAGTTGCATTATTATAAAAATTCAAGAAAGTCATCAACGATTTCAGACATTAAAAAAACCATCATAATTCATGTGCATTCTACAATAAGGATTATTGCAAAAATTTCGTTTATATGTATATTATTTATCTATTGCATATACATACCTTCTAGATATAGTTTGGATGGGTGTACATGTTGAATATTTGTAATAGGAAATTGCTTTTTATTAACTTCTCATCTCAGCAAATAATGTTTGCGTGTATTCCTTTATGAATAAAGTATCTTTATTTTGAATAACTTTATGTTATATACATGGATGTTACAGCACTATTTTAATTTAAATGTACAATACAGTTTCTTCGTTTGAAGACTTATAATTAGACTAGTTATTTGTACAGTTCTGATGATACGCAGTATGAATATATCGATAATGACTTTTCCTTGCACTTTTGTAGAAAGAAATCTTCGAAATTATTGTGCCAAAGCTTGAGATTTCTATTTTGTATTTCGTTTGCGTAAATTACATCATACATACGTGTGTACCATCAAAACTTATTTTAATTAAACTGAAGATATCAGTCAGAAGAGTTATATATATATAAAGAGAAAATATAGTCAATTAAAATATGTCATGAAAATGTTTAAAAAACTCTCACTTTTATGCCTTATAAATGTTTAAAAAATATACATTTTATCTATCCGAGTTATAATTCTTAAGTACACGTGGTTTGCTTGATTTGCGTGTTTCTTTTATGTACAATCACACAGGTATACACAGTGTCACTACCATATTAGGTACTAACACTTATCGTTGAAATCCACGTATATACTTGTGTGATATGTGTGCGTGAAGGCACAAGGTAAACACGAATCAAATAAGCTGTGTGTACACAAGATGAAAAGAGGACGTAATCACGTAAAAAGGATTCAGCCTCACAAAAAAAGATACAGGTTTTTGTATACGCTTACTAAATTATTAAAAAAAATTATAAGTATTTTAATTCTAATAAACAATGACATAACAGAATAAATCTTTTCCTGAATCAATAGAAAACAGATTTCATCGTATGCCCCATAACGCAGCTGAGCGATATTTCCATAAAAGCTAATAGTTAGTAAAATAGTGAACACGTAAACAAACATTTATAGATTTTTAGGTCGATAAATGTGCAACCTCATACATCTTATATTCCAAATTCATTGAAAACAGACTTCACATCGATATAATCTCATGTATAACTCAACAGTCACTATTGTTCAGTCGATCTGTACTATAGGTTCGTCGATGCTTATGTCTACTTTGTACTTCAATGCCCCTCGGATAAGAATTTTCGTTCAAGCTTAACGCACGTACCTTAGCCCGACTACGCCAAATTTTGATGGTATAATCATCGCTTGTTGTAATTAACATTTCGGGATCACATGGATTAAAGGCAACTGAATTGACAACATCCGAATGAGGAAGTTTGGCCAAACACATCCCATAATATCTGTCCCAGAGATAGCCATATTTATCTTCCGCACCACTAATAGCAAATATTAATTTGAATATAATAATTATACAAGACTTTGCACACTAAATTATTCAATTATGATAGAATTTAATACCTCGCTACATATTCATCGCACACATCAAGAAAAATAAAAAAACATTTATTGCTCGATGTATAAGCTCTATGAGCCCTTGACATAAAACCAACTTGTTCTAATGTCACTAAATCAATTACATGTATGTCTATCTCTTTAGCTATGGGAGGAGGTTGCAATGGATTTGTAATAACGTAATCTTTTAGCCACGGCCGTATATTTACGTACAGATACCTGAAGATACGCGAAAGGTGACAATTAATGAGAAAAGTAAAATACGTTTCACATATACAATAGAAAGAACTGACCTATGATCGGGGGAAAGTCCCATTCCTACAATGTGACCGTGTAAATCAATTACATGATCTATCTTGTCAAATTTGTCGGCTATGGATTCAACGTCCAAAAAATTGCCATTGGGATTTTCTCTCTCTCGTTCTCTCTCCCGTTCTCTTTCCAATTTTCTGTCTCGTTTTCTTTCTCTCAGCGAGTATAAACGTCCTGGGTATATGCTAGTAGGAAATTTCAGGTCTTTTATTCTCTTAAAAGCTATTTGGTGTGGTATATAAGTCTCCGATCCGGTCGTGAAAATAAGATACTTGTCGCAGCTGTTTGCTATCTCGTCGACGTTGTCTTCTTTTGTATTTACAGATTCTGTAAATCGAAAGTAAAGATTATAAATATTATAAGCTTTTGACTTAAAAATTTGACTTAAGAGTAAGTTTCCCCCACGTTCGCTCTCTTTATCCTGCTGAGTATTTTCTATGCGAAAGGAGTTTGTAATCTGAGAATTATATTCTTGATTGTACTGTAAGGGACAGATGTGTTGAAAACAGTTGTCGAGCTTCGTCCAATTCATAGATATACCCTCTAAAGTATTGCACCTGTTTGCAGATAGTTTGATTAATGCGAAGGATATTTGACATTCAGCGTTACACCCTGTGTAACTTTTACTTACTGTAATCCAGATTTTTTCTCCTCTTTCTGGTGCTGAATAGTCTCGTTAGAACAATCAGAAGATGTAGATGAAATGTCTGTATGGCTTAATGGATTTTCTTTCATATTAGATGATGGTTGACCCCCCTCTTGCTCTTTAGATTCATTCTGATCAGGTGTTAAGCAATTAGCCACCATAACTGCTCGAACGGAGGAACTATTACCGTTGCAAAACCTAAAACACGTAATGTATTTCTGGTTAATAATTATTTATAGACCACACGAAAATGTCTACAGCATACAAAATACCTAAAAAGTTGTGTTATAATCGGTATATTTTCACTGGATAACTCTTGATTCGCCTTATTGAGCCAGAGGATACTAGTGCTAACCGAATGTGCTAACCAGTGCAGGCTTCCACTTAAAAGATAATGTTCACTGTACCATGTACCAAATATGTCATAGGGATTGTTTGCTACTCTACATTGCAAATCAAAGCCACCTGTATCAAACAAAATTAAGTACTTATTCATAACACACCCTTTATGCCATTTAAAACATTAAGACATTCGTTAACATGCTCACAAGTGAGACTAAACACTGCTATTTCGCCTGAAGTGCTGTGAGGAGTTTCAAAACGTGCACCAGAAACAAGTAATAAACTATCAGAGGAATTGAACTGTGAAAATTGTGTGTATTCCCATCTAAATGACTCCATGTTTTGACGATACTTTATTCGAACAGGATATTGGCTTTCCCAAACCTAAAACAAATCTTGTAATGAATCCTGTTTCCAAAGTAATTATTAGATGCCAGATGTTTATGCAAATTCACAATTCTAGACAATAATTTGTAAACATGAAAATGAGATAGAAATTTATTTTCTGTATGAGATGTCTTATTATGTTGATAATAATATATAAATATCGTTAAGTTTTAGTAAAATCTTTATTTTATTGCATTTTGCATGTTAAAATTGCTGTAATTGTATACACAAGTATGGTCTAATAATTATGTAGTATAGAAATATTCATGTTGTAATCATAGATAAAACTGACTCACAAAAATGTATCCATCTTTCGAACAGGTGGCAAACATTTTTCCATTATGTGAAAAGCTAACATGTAGTACTTGATGAGAGTGTTTTGTAAGTACTTCTGTTTCTATCAGTGGTACGTGATATGTTAAACGTTTAAATTCTCCTAGCCAAGAGTTTTTTCCTACAAAAAAAGGAATATTTTTAAATTGTCTGAACTGATAATAACTGATAATTCTAAATTATTAGAATTGATTTCCATTCACTAAAATATGGTTGTCGTGAACATAGTAAATTGGTGCACATAGATATTATTTTTTTTATATTTTCTCTAAGAGATTGATAAAGCTATAAAAGGATACAATGACCGACAGAAATGTAAAATACAACAGAAATGATAAAGGGATTAAATGTTTGGCAGAAAAATGCACTTCATGTACACCAACCAAAACATTATGTTATCTTTGTTGTTATTTTTATGATAAAGTTAACCTGGCATAATGCCGACATTAGGCTCTATTCCGTACGCCCGATGGAATAGATCTTTCCACAAAAATTCGTCGTAGGACACTCTGTGCCAGGATTTGCATACTTCTCCTGCAATCGTTAGTTCCTTCGGTGTCAAATATTGAAAGATATTCAAAAGAATGGAATCCGGCATGTAACGCCACATTTCATTTTCCTCGAAGATTTCTGATAAACAATCGCTTTTATCATCTGACGTGACTGTATCTTCTTCGCTATTTTCTTGATTTTCCGTTTCACTTTCGATGATGTCCATACCTGACCGTTGTTATTTATTTACTGGAACAGCTGATACCTACTCGTATCCGTAATTATCGATCGAGATCGATGACACTCGCGCGGTACAACGTGACACAAGTATTTGCGACTGCCCGCTTTCGTAATGATCTATAACGCAATCGAAAAATGTTGGGATCGTAAATAGAATGAATTCCTTTGAATATATTTGGCGTACTCAAATCTATTGTTACTCGAGTAGGTACCGGATGTTCGTGAGAAGTGTGCGAAACAAGAATTTTCTGGATGTGTTACCCGAGACAGGGTATACATATAGGTAGTTTCGCATTTTTTATTTTTCGAATTATATTCGCAAACAAAACTTTTTCTATTTCAGCATTTTACATCTTTATTGATCATACCTCAAAGGTTAAATTGTAAATTTACGTGACGAATAACGTTGAAAAAGATAAATTTACAGTTACTGAAAATTATATTCCAATACTAGAATATTGAAAATTCAAATTGAGAACAAAAATATTTAATATTAGTAGTTTTTAAATGAAAATAATAACATTCGAACAGTAATCGGAAAATTCCGGGAGCAGTAGACAAAGTGTTGAGTACAAAAACAAACATTTGTATTTTAACAAAAAGTTTTATTGAAAAGGAAAATTATGTAAAAACAATTATAATTTCGATAGAACTAATCCATAAGGAAAGTTTTATTATGAAAGGTATATAAAATACTATTTGGTAATTAATATAAAAAAGAGTTTATCACTTACACTGAACTCACATACATTCTTGCTGTACATCGCGCATAATAATCACATAACGTTATACACAAATCACATCTGTAATCAAATACAGGGAAAGTATGCATGTTATTGCTACTGTGTTAAGAACTACTTGATTGAGGAATCAACTGATTTTCCACTTGCATGTAAAATTGCTCTCCGAACCATTCTCTATGCATCTCGAGGTAACTATCATAATAAAAACATAATAATCAGTTTTATCAAGTAAAAATCGTTTGAGATACATGTCGTGTTAGATTACCTGAGAAACATATCCAAACATTTTAAGAGAATTTTCAATTTTTTATTTGGTATGTCCGCCGACTGGAGTAAGTCTGGTAATTTAACTAGAAGTGCCAACAAAAATTCTTGAGTCAATTACATTAATTGATGTATGTATACACCAAACTTCTCTGAAAAGTAACATTGAATAAAAATACGCACCAAATAATCGAGTTAAATGTATGGCACCATAATAGGTAGAAGGGTTCGGAGGACTTTCAGTTTTTGTCGATTCGGGCAATAATCTCCATTTATTTGCTTGCTGAAGCAAAGCACTGACTTGAGCAGATGTAACAACTGGTACCCTTAGTGTTACACCACGTGGGCTAGAACAACGAGAACTTGTACTTGCAATACTACAAAAAAAAAAGAAATCGATTCTGTATTTACATGGCGATATATAAAAAATTTTAGCGCTTTACTATTATCATTACATTAAACTCTCTATGTACCTTGATACAGTGCCCGTATCCGGCTTAATTTCTTCGTAAGATCTCAGTTGCCTATTTTCATCAATAGAGCTCACTCGGCACGATCTGAGCCTTCTTTTAGAACCTGCCAAGGTCTTTGATGCATTCTCTGTTTCTGGGTCATGTTCTTGAAATGGCGGTAAATGAGCATATTCGGTATCTTCATATTCTTCTTTAACTAATACTTCCAAATTCCTTGAAATTATAATAATTTTTCATTCCTTATCGTTCTAAAAAACCGGGATTTTAAACATATTAAAATGATTAAATGTTCTAATCTTACTCAATTGGTTCCTCTTTTACAAGTGTTGGGTGTTCACTGTACAAGAAAGAAGACTTTAAAGCACAGTACTGTTCTCGTTCTTGCCTATAAAGCAGGAGATCGTGTAATGTGAAGTCAAAATATATACGCAGTCCATCTGCAACTTCTCTACATATATTAATTTCATTGATCGTTTTTTCCACTGTGTTATTGGCTTTATTTCGCTGAGGCTTTTCTGGAATGTTCGTCAGTTGCGTGGTCGTGAAGTGCTGTACCCACGACTCCAAAATATTTACAACAGTAGGCTGTGCTGGTAGAACAGCCAGCTGAAATCCATATATTTCTTGATATTTGAAAACTTTCAAGAATGGTTGCTCGAGTAAAGTTTTACAATAACAAATACCTTATTTTTGTTCATTATTAGGTCATAGTCTTGATCTAGAATTCTTCTTAACATTGTACCTATGTCGAGATCAATTCCTGGCTTCACACTAGCTCCAGATTGACTGCCACCGCCGCTATCTTCATCATCGCTTGTTTCTCCAACATAGTCAGAACTGCTTTCTGTGTCTTCTTCGGTAATAACTTCCTGTATTAGTAAACGTATTTTTCTTTTAATCTTGTATATTGTACAACTCGTCACAGTTACTATTAATTAACCGACTTCTGTATCATAATCCGCATGTTGCCCTGAACTACCATCTTCCGACGATCCTGTTGTTGCAGATGTTGCTCGACTACCACCACTTCTTGCTCTTCGTCGTGGTTCTTGATTTTCAGATTCATTCAATCGTTCGGATAATTTGTGGCTTCTTTTTTTACGCTCTCGTCGATATAAATACGCTCCCCTGTTTTCAATTGCATTGACAGACAGTTAGAGTATGTTCTGCTTTAACATCCGTAATTTTTTAATAAAGAATCACTACAGTGAATATTGTACTCGAATTCATGAGCTTTGGCTGCTCAGGAACATTTCTGCAATAGCAAAAGAGTTACATAGTCTGAATATACTTTTAATGGAAACATACAACTGTAACTGAGCTTTCTGGGCCAAATCTCGTTGGAGTTGACGATTTTCTTCGGTGTCTTTTAATACATATTCTTCCGTTACACAACGATCCCATGAAGAATTCCATCCCTATTATAAACATATTTTATCTTATGTAATTTTAGTGATTTATACATAAAATAAAAAAATAATTATTCTTAATATCCTACCTGAAAATGTATTAAATATTCAACGGCTTTTCTTCCTCTTTGATCCTTATTAACTATAACATCTAGTACCTAGAGGAAAGGTTTAAAGTAAAGAAGTTGTACATAGACTTTATAAATCATATAATATGTTAAAACGATAATTTCAATAAGCTGTACAATGTGATAATTTTGAAATTGTTATTACAACAATGAACCATTGTCAATATAGCAGTAAACAGATATACGAAGAACTGTCATGTAACGCAATATATTTTTTCGTTCCTGTTGCGTACCTTCGAATCGTACAATACTTTTGCTTTAGTAGGATCAGGTTCATAACAAAGAACTTTTTCACCATCACAGAATTTGAATTTTGGGCCTCGAGTGGAAACCATTCCTTCCTCTTCAATGTCTGAACCGAAAGCCAAGCTACTTTCGTAAATAAAAGTGTAGCAATGCGGATAACAGACTAATATTGTTTAGAATGACATTATAACCTAGTGCGTCAATATTTGAATCGAAAATAATCCCACGCCTACATATAAATTTCCAACATTATTCACATAACTGTGTTTGTTGAAACTGTTGGATAATTTGGATCACTGAGAGTATTTAATTCATAAATAATACGTTTTCGAAAATATACAGACGCAAATTTAAGTCTCCCGGTATTAAATTTGCTAACAAGATTTTGTTGTGTTAGTTTGTATACCAACTAACCTAACGTCAGTTTAAATCTAAATGTGGCGCATTATTCGAAGGAAGTGTTGGGTTGACAAAGCCACCAATAACGATTAAGCGGGATTGTGTTGCGTAAAAACTCTAGTATTTGCAACACTTTCTCCGACGTTGCTTATCTAATACATTAATATTATATAACTATATCTAACAATATTAAGAGACCATGCAGTGAAATTCTGTATAAAAACATTTTCATATTACCAAAGATGTCTTGAGAAATGAGCTTAACCATAATGGGGATGAAGAACCTAAATTCTTGCGACCTTATTAATGTACGTTTTTTTAAATATGTATGTTGATTGAGGCTTTTCGAATCGATATTACTCAATGACAATTGTTATCTGTTATGTTTCTTCATTAATATTTAATTTTGTAATATAACGAACACTAAAAAGAAATTAACGTCATCTGACAACAAGAATGTGGTACTAATTGGCTATTAGCTTGGATATTCTGCCGAAGATGGCAGTATTAATTTTTTTTGCCAATCTGTAAATGATCTCTACCGACTAAATATTATTTGAGAACTTATGAACACTTCCACCAGATGGTGTTGTGTGAGAACAACAAGGAGGGGTTCAATCGCGAGGTTCATACCTACCAAGGTTTCATAGATCCATTTGTAACAGCATAGGTAACTGTGTTATAGTTGGTGGTTTGTTTCGAAACAGAATCTGTGTTATTTCTGTTGTTATATATTCATGCGTTCTGTTTCGGCGAAAGTAAGGAGGAAAAGTTTCTTGTTCCCGAGTGTTTCAAGGACGGAAGAGGTCCAGTCTTACTACACGAAGCGGATACAAGAGTCGAAAACAATCGAACGTGTAGATCGGTCTGTCAATACAGGTATATGTATTACGCATCGTATGTAAGAAATAATACTTGCGTATTCCATCGCGTGTGAAAAACTAGAAATCGAAACCAGGAGAACTGATGATTCACGTGGCGATCTTGAAAGCAAAGCAACTAACAGAGTAACAGTATTTTAATTACATGTGAAGAATGTTGACTTTTTCCCGCTATTTCGTGCTAACGTACGGGAACGACAGAAGCTACAGGTCAGGATTATTTTCGTTGTGATTCGTTCAACAGAAACACGTGGAACACGCGACATGCAATGATATAAGTAAATGATAAAAGAAAACCTGAGGGGAAGCTAAAATCCGATCATAAGTGTTTGAAATATACACCACGATGATTGGATATTGATCATTATCTCTGAGAAATAACGTTCTTTCGTAATAACGTATTTGGATGCGTTTACCCGCGTACTATGATATTCCATACCGGTTCTACGCATATACTCTGATACACGCCCTTTTCTCGTGTATCATATTTTACGAGTTCTTTGCGTTTGCGGTCACTGTTGGAGCTTCTACCGCGATAACATGTCACACAATCGAATTCACCGCCCACGGGCGTAAATGCATGTTACGAGTAATACACTCTCACAAGTACAGATTCGTTCTCTCGTGCCATTACTCTTCTGCACGAGATAGAAAGCCTGTCATTCGCTATTTTCAGACGAGGTGATTTCACACCATAACATTAAGTAATTCTCGTGGTATGTCGCTTGGATGACATAATTTCGTCGAGCTGTCACTGTTCAGGAACGAGCACAATAATCCTCCAGTTTTATCCGATCACGAGACTGTACACGCGTGTAGTACTCGCATTTTGCGCGTCCACGGTAGTTCGTAATTGAATTGGCGGGCAATTTTCTCGTTCCTTTTTGATCGTGGTTTTTCATCTGTTCGTCGAAGGTTAGATCGGTTCTACGATTGTTCGACAGTAATACCGACTAAAATCGGCTAATTGAGTTGTTTCGCAGGGATACAAATAGAGGTTGAATAATTATCGGAGCGCAGTGATTTAAACGACGTTCGATTAACGACTGCCGGGGCGTAGAAAATTTAAACGAGAAGAATAGGTACACATTACGAGTTTATCGATCAAGTCCAGTGTGCAACTCACTTTCCTCGACTGTGAGAAGTTTCTACAAATTTAGATTTTTTTGAGACTTTCATTTTTAATTAATGGAGAACGAAATAAAACGTATTTCCTACCCTCAGAATTCAGTCCGGTTAAAATTACGATAAAGAATTGATTAAATTTTCATTGGAGTTTTACTAATTCATATATGCTGTTACATTTTTAGAATAACCAGAAACGATGGATCAGGGATTTCCAGGGCAGCATACCACCACAACAACGGTGACAACGACGACCACCACTACACAACCTACTATTCGATTTGACCCATCTTATACAAGAACGTTGCCCGGCATGCTTAAGGTCGCCCAAGTGGTGAGTTTCCTGCAATCAATACTATTTCGTTTTATCCAAAGAGCATCTCATTAGATTCAAATCATATCACGCGACTAACGTAAATTGTACAGAAAAAAAACACCCCGTATAGAACGCAGTTAGCGATATTAACGAAAGTGAACGTTCGCGTTTATTATCGCTGTTATCGCACTTGATATGCAGAATGGTATACCAGAAACAGAACACCTAATACTTTACCGTTAAATGTACGACGAAAAAATCTGAATTGAAATCGGATCGTTTTTTTTTCTAAAAAAAAAAAATGGAAAAATAAATCGTATATAATTTTTACGTAAGTCGGTGAAGGTCACAATTGGGCTACCCTCCCCTCTATTGCACGCATATTTCTTAACTCACGAAATGTTTCGTAATACAGACAATTATGCGTTCCGTTTCAGATGAGTCACCGTGTATATTTGAACACTTTACAAATTATTCCTAATACTTGGTAATTTTATGACAAATTGATTTTTTTTACGATTTTGAATTTACAATGCCCGTCAATTAAGAGGGGCACATCAGGACCGTGGATTAGAATAATTATAGATGTTTCTTTTTTTTTTTTTTTTAACATTAAAACAATATTCTTGCAGGTCTTGAATCTTTTGGGATTCATATGTATTACCGTATCGAGCCAAAGCAACTCCAGCCGCGGAGGATGGTTTAATACAGTGGCCATGGGTGGATTTTGGTTTACAGGCATATTGCTCGTGTTTTACCTGTTTCACATCATCGAAAAGTTTTCGAAAATTCCCTGGCTGAAAGTTGTGAGTTGAAAAATTCATCTTTTTTTTTTTAAATCTATGTCTAGTCATTATTGCTTCGAGTGCTGTGTGACGTGTACAGACTGATTGGAAGCGTTGAATGAGAAGTTTACTTCTGGTTAAGGGTGAAATATTGATCTCGGGGTAACGGGGACATTCTGTGCTATAACATGCTATGTTAAGATTATTCTATTTCCGATTTATACTAGCTTCCTTGAAGTACACATGTTTCACATAAATAGCAATATTTATACTTTTGTTCGCAGGAATTTATATTTTGCGTGATTTGGACAGTCTTCTATTTGCTGGCTGCTTCCCTCGCAGCGGACTTCGCTAAACACGTAGAAGCTTTCGGAGTCGCAGCGGTGAGTTTCGTGTATTTTCTTTTTCATTTTATGTACTGTATTTTTTAATCGAAATGCGAACCCACCCTTTTTTTTATTCTTCCACTTACTATGTATAATCTTTAGAAAAAATGTTCAGTTGATTGTCCTAAATCTTGACGTCACACAGGTAATTGTTTAACATGTTTAATAAGCATATCCGTTCTAGTTCTTTGGATTCTGTGCGATGGTAGCTTATGGTTATGACGCCTGGTTGAAGTTCCACGCGGCAAGGAGCGGTGCCTTAGCGCAGGGCCAACACACCCCTAAACAGGTCTCCACAGTGACGAGTCCTGCGTATTAAGTTCAGTCTGAACAAATTTATGGACTTTTTTTTGAGACATATCGTTACTTCTGTGCATTGGATTTATCTGGATAGATCCAGCATGGCTCTCGTACGTTCTTGGTTGTACCGCTCGAACGTAACGCACTATACAAGTATTGGGCACAACGGATTTGTGAATCTCATTGATTTCGTTATTTTTCCTTTGTTTTTATTAAGTGTACGTATACAGTTTGCATACGTACACATGTCGTCATTCCCAATGGTAATGTTGCGAAAACATAATTTTTCAGGAGAGAAAGAAGAAAACCTCTTTGTCGATTAATGCAAAATCACTTTGCACTGATTTTATCCACCACTTTCCACTGATTTCAATCACAAACTATTAATATTTACTTTTTGGCTTTTTTAAGCGCACAGTGAGAAACTAAGTTAAATGAATAGTGAGACACAAGATTATGCAAATAGCTCAGATTCCCAAATACTGCAGTTTCACAACTTCGCCATTGGAATGACAATGTACGATGTCATACCAACACGATATTCGATACCTTCGTATCTTTGTAATATAAACTAAGAGGATGCTATACAGATATTCTAATATACACATATTTTTTAATCTATACATATGTTAATTGAATCGTATAATAATTGTATATTATACCATGAGTTTTTAACATCTGTTTATATTGAAATAATATTTTTGGACAAGTAGTATTATATAGATGCACATATGTTTCTATAGATATGTATGGAAATATATGTTTAATTAGGATTGTGTTCATAATAGAAGACCGTCGAATCACGACTTTTGTACTCATTTTGTATTTAATTTTGTACGGTGGTAACTCGATCGCTTTGTTGTGTCGCAATTTCTGATTATAGTGACAACTGGGCGGACAATTATCTGAATTTATTTATGATTATGCATATTGAATAGGGAATAAGAATACTATAATAAAACGGTTCAACGTTTTTGGACGTGTTATCGCTATCCGTTTAAGTTATTCGAACGTCGTTTTACGTGCATTCTGCGTAACATTAAAAGCTAGCAATTAAGGATGATTTGTTATAATTTATCAATTATTATGATATTACGCAGTGTATTACTTAATGTGTTTTGTTATTTTTATTCGATCAACTCCATACAGGTACCTACAATCATATGTACACGATGTAGAAATACATGCTAAATAATCTATTTAGACACAAATTTCGAACAATACAAACACAACGACAATCGTCACAATAAAACTGGTATTACTATATAATACATTACTATATTTAACGAAAGCATTCATTAACTGCTATTAGATACGTCGATGTTCTCTCAAAACTTCATTATAAAACAAGATATTAAGAAACCCGTAAGTTTCTGTCATTACTAATATAAATGCTGATTTAGTGCTATATATTTTTTAATTAACAAAAGTGTTATTTTCCTTTTAATATTATCGGAATGTTAATATATTTGAATATTAAGAAATGAGAATAACATCAGGATTAGATTTTGGTAAAAATTGACCTTGAACATCGTTGTTGTCTCTTTTAATTCATGAAACAAAGGGTTTTAAGTTACGAGTTTTATGAATTTTTGTTACTAAAACGAGGTCTGCGGGCCTGCTTCTTACCCATACTGGAGAGGTCTATTGTTTTACCATCGGGAAGCACTAATTTGTTCTCTTGGTAATCTACGAAGCCGTTCTCTTCTTCGTCCCGTTGCTCTTCGTCGCATCTGATCCCAGTTTCGTAAGTGTACTCCCGACGAATACCGTCCGGATCGATGTACCCGTATTTGCCTCTCGTTATGCAATCAACGCCAATTAATTCTTCTTTATACGATCCATCATCGTTCTCGAATCCCCAGGTGATCGAGCCATCAGAATTGTCATTACGGTACCGCCTGATGATCTGTTACAAAACGATACATTCAACATACTTGTTCGAACGAAGATGATTGATTTGGTTCATTCAAGTGCCCGCTTCACTTTCGTCTCCGTTCAACGTGGTTGTTGATTTACTGGCATTTATATATTACACATCCGTTCAGCTGTCAATCTCCCTCTCTACGTTACGTAATTATTACAGGTACCGTGTTCCACTTTTAGGCAATAACTAACGATATATGTAACATTAGAAATTACATCTTGTTGCGGTATCACGATATAATTAAATATATACAATTGTCACTGAGCTCAGTTTCCAAAATTATCATTTAAGTCGAACAATTCATAGAATTCAGACTTCCTTCAGATAGGTGTATCGATAACTTCACCATTTAAACGATTTATTCTATTATAAACTTAGAAAAAAGGCGAAGAAACTATGAGGTGGGTGATTATAGAGTGCAGTGGGAGACGCCATTTTGAACGGATTACTTTCCACGCGTTGAGATCACATGTTTTTTCGAGGCAAGGAATTGATTAGCTATTTAAATACAAAGTTCTACAACTACACCAAGGAAAATTATTCCTCAATGCGTTGTTTATCTTCCCCCTTACAAAACGACAATTCAAACTGACCTGTGCAACTGGTTTCTTTCCACGTCCGTCGTACACCTGGGACGGTTTCACAGGTTTCGCAGGCGGTTTCGCGGGTTGCTTGAACGGTGGTTCTTCTATGGGCTTTCGTGGCTTGTTTGGTTTCGGTGCCGGACGATATTGTACCGGCGGCGATGGTGTCGTTGGTATCAGGGATCCTCCTCTTGCAGTTGGTATCGGTATCTGTTGAAGCGGACGATACTGCACGGGTATCGGTTGAGGGGCCGGAGATCCAGTATTCGAGCTTCTCGATATCGAGCCTACAGCCCCGAGATTCGCTATGGCCCGCGGAATATTTTCCTCGCTGTCTTCCTGGCTGTCGGATTGTTCCTCGCTCAACTCGACATCATCGTCTTGATCGTGATCACGGTTCGATTCACGGTTTCGTACATCCTCATCCGGTTCCTCGTTCACAGGCTTGATCTGCGTGGGTAACGTTGGCGCTGGTCCCGATGGAAAACTTGGCCTGAACGATTTGGATGGTGTGAAGGATCCTGGTCCAGTTACTGGCCCGTCATCCGCACCTTTTGGTCTAGTATTTTTATAAAAAATTCATGAAAACAAACACTTCAAGGCGTTATACATTATGTTTCTCTGAACCAGAGCTTGAAAACTATTATATGTATATACCCAGATAGCACATGACGCCTCGAAGACACCTATTTTACGGTTATTTTAGGTCTAAGACGTCTTTAAGCTGTCTTCAAGGCGTCATATGCTATCTGGGAAATGACTTATGGCGTGTAAATATACTTTCACTGTTTATTTTATACGTAACCAAGTTTCATATGATATGAACATAAATCAGTTTTTATGTGTTATAAACATTTATTACTTCTTTGCAGTCCAATTTCTAAACAATGATCCCTCAGCTCACTGTGTGACTTACACCGTTTGGCATCTGTACCCTCCATACAACAGTTTGAAACAGTTCTTTTCGGTACCGTTTAATAATATTACCGGTAAACAATACCTGAACGTGATCGGCCGTCGTATTCTTTGGTTGGCAAGCACAGCCTGGGTGGGTACCGCTGGCCTGGCCGACGGAAGCCTCTGAAACCGTGCCGATCTTATTGGAATCGGTAGTCCTTTCGGCGGCGGACCACCGTCCACATCCTGCTGGAACTGTGCCGAAACTAAAGCAGTGATGCTCACCAACAACTGTAACGACACCAATAAAATTCATCCGTTCAATATCGTTCGTGATGCGAATCCCCTTGTCCAAGAGTAAAATAAACGTCATCGAATCAAACGATCGAAAAGAACGCGAGTGTAGTACGACGACTTTCTAAATACTAAGAGAACGTTACCCCGATATACGTGTCGATTAATGGTATGCTAAACTGTGCAACCTGGGCTACTATCTACATTATAAACGGAACTGTGTGTTTTCAATGATAATGGAACTTATGAATTGGCACGTGAACATTCGTCCACACATTTCCCCTTTCTTTCTTTCAGTACACGTGCTCGGTTTACCGCGACGGTTAATCGTTTTCTCTCAGAAATTGTCAATTGTTTCCGAGCTAGTTACGTGGACGGCGAACCAATGCAGCCGGACACGCGTTCACGCAGACGTTGCAACGACGACGAGGGGCTATCGAAATCACTTTCTCTTCTCTCCAGCATTCGACGAATTTTACAAGGTGTATAAATACACACGTAACCGCCGGAGACGTGGCGAGCAGAGGTAATTATGCGTATATATATACGTGCAGAAAACGTGTAAACCAGAATCCACGGACCGGTATATGCTCGACTTTAATACGGCTGGAACCAGTTCGACGGGGAAACCTGTTGCAACGCGATCGAACGAGCTCAAACACGAAATAAGAACAATCGTAATTACCGATCGACGCGCCCGAACGAATGGTCGATATTTGAATTGTGGGGGTGGAGGGGGGACTTGCGTTTTAACCCTTTGCAAACAGAAACGGCTATCGCGTCACTGCAGTTTCCTTGTACAATTTCGCGTTACATAAGAATATGAGATACCGGTCGCGTTTATTGCCATTAACGTAACAACTTGTCGCGCTAGAGCTCTATCGAATTATTCCGGGAGAAAATATATATATATAAACAGAGCGGCAAAGCGTGATCGACACCGTTACGAGGCGAAGGGGTGTGAAATCTCGACTTATTCGCTGCTTCCGGTAATGATGTCAACTGGCTCGATTTCTTTTGGGCAACTCTGTTAGATTTCAGTGTTTCGGAATAGGGGAACCTGTTGTACCTTAGGTACAGGTCTTTTTTTTTTCAAAAATTCCAAATGACGTTGTACCTAAATCAAATTGACATTTTTTTTGCAGTAGAAAATACGAGTAAAACGGTGGTTTGAGAATGAGCTATGAAAAATGGAGGGATTGTAACTTTCCTTAGTATATAAACGAAATATTTTTTCAATTTTATCAATCGTGTGCGTGTGTCCGTAGACCTGGAACACCCTGTATCACAGCAATCTCGGCGAAGTCGAGTCGGTATCGGCGATCGCCATATCCTCTATAGTTCCTGTAGTCCGCAACTTGGGGGGCTTGCACTTCGTTCCAAGTCGAAGCACGCGTAGAGGATATATATTTGCAGAGGGCTACGACAGAAAAATTCTATTCGACTTTCTTGCGGGGGCACTTTCACCTCGGTCTCGGACGGCCTGTCTACGACGGACACTAATTTTCGTCCTTCGTGCCCGAGGATCGTTAAAGAATGCGTTCAAGATCTTGCTACAATTTCTCCCTTCCTCACCCCTTCCCATCTGTTTCTTTTTCATTCTATTTCACCGACTCGTTGGCTCCGTTCATTCACGCCCCCTCCGTGTGCTTTCACTTTCTTGCACGCGGACGACGATTTTCATCTTTGTCAACGAATAGAGAAGGGACTCGTGATCACTGTCACGTCACGGTGACGTGAGACTTTTTTTTTCTTATTTTCGATCGGGACTGCGGTTACTTTTGACCTTCCCTGACGTGCTGACTCGAGTTTCAGCGAAACAATCGAACATGACGGTTTTAACACGTTCGCCGCCATGTTGGTCAATGGTGGCCGGCGTTGAAGTCTCCGTCGACAGATTTTGAACGTTTGTATCTAACAGCAAGATATCGAGTTCTTAACCGTTCTACCACTATTTAAAAAAAAAATTAGTTAATCAATGTACGTGCGTCTCATTGGTTCGAAGAATACAAATTCACCGTAATGTAAAGAAAATTCAACCGAAAAGACAACAAATATTCTTCTAAGTCCTGACTCTGAAAGTTTTTTTCATATTAGTTGTTTCTTCAAATACTAACAACAATTAAAAATTTATTTTCATAATAAGAGTAAGTATTGTAAAAAATAGCTATTCAGTAGATGATATTGTAGCGTGTTTGATTATTACACTACGTTCCTGCTTCTATATTATTAAACTTCGTAAACATTAAACTCAGTTTGCTCAGTTTAGGAACTAGTGGAGATAGAACAATTAAGAACTAAAGCTCTAGGATATGCTTACGTGACAATAATTATTAGTGAAGACAAAACTAAGTGTTGGATACCAAATGTTCTTGTCAGGAATTAACTGCTCTATTATTGACAAGTTGGATGGATTTCTAGGCTGACGTGACCGTGACGAGGGACTTATTAAATAATCCAAAGCACATTAATTATTCATCATCTAAATAGATACTAGGTCATCCAACACGGATTCTATAACTATCTGTCGATCTGGCATTGATTCCCATGGAAGTATAAATATAAAAGTGTTCGGAATAGGTTTTTGAGGGTCGTTGCGCAAAGGCTTGGCTACTGTAACAGTAGAATTGGTTTTGAACATTCATGATTCATTTGGATTCCAAACAATCTGATATTCATAGAGAATGTCAAGATTTTCATTATTGCGGAAGATAGTTATTTAGTGAAAATATTGTACCATTTGTAACGAACTGTTTTAAAAAAAAAAAAAAAATTGACGATGGTAAGAACGGGTTGAGTGGAATACAGTTAAGCTGTACCCGATAGCATTCACTTTCGTTGGATAAAATGTAGCGGTTAAGAAGATCCCGAAGTAGATAAAAGAAGTATGCTGTCTGCCCATTGGCTTTTTGCATAATCCGATTACACAGTAACAGGTTGAGACAGAAGGCCCTCCGGTTCAACGTGTGCGTGTGCAGACATCGGAGAGGGTCTGATCGAAAGGAATGTCAAGTATAAAGGAAACCCTATACGTAAGTCGATACACTTTTTACGTATTGTCTAACAACTCGTCCGTCCGCATGGTCTCTCTTAGTGGATTATTTCCCACCTTCGCCCTTCTAACTACCGACTCGTTCTACCTACCGAGCTTGTAACTATTGCATAATGCGACAACTTTCGGTTATACCACTGTCGTAAGACCCAATAACAATAACTTCGTCCGTCTGCACAAGAATTCAATAATTTTCATAAATTTAAATCCCATTGAAAACCGTTGCCACGGGTCCAAACTACCCTGCAGCTTACACAGAACGTCTTTCCTATCCCAATCCTCTTCCAAAGATATAACCATCGCCAATGTCTGGGTGCATTTTAACAGCTTCCGAACTATCGAAAACAGTAAACTCTAGACTTCGAAAGATTAATTACTCCAAGGATAGGCTAAATTGTATGTGATAGAGCTCGAGAAAACAGGTGCACAAGGGTTTCAACGGACACCCAGTCATGGTCAGCCCTGCGGTCGCCAGAAGCGTCATACGTCCGATGGTTAATGGATTATTCTTTTTCTTTTAACTTGGAATTGTTGACTGTCGATGATGAGAGTTGTGTTAGGGGTTGATGATGAAATTAGGGTACATGTGTCCGTGGATCGATGGCGGGACTGGGGGGTCTTCGAGTGGGGTTTAAAAAATGGGAGAACACTTTTGGGTACTCACGATCACTGCGACTCGCATGGCCGTGTCCCGTGTCCCCTTGTCGCAATGGTGGTCACGCTGGGTGTGGTGCTGGCGCGTTTATGCCTCACACTACCGCGAACGACTCCCCGTCTCCGTGTTCTTATACCTATATCCCCGTTTAAATTCCTATGGTACGAGCAACACGCAGGCCAACTTTCCATCGGCCAGGCCAGGAATTGTGCTCCGCGCGAATACGAGACCGCGAAACGTTTCGGCACGTTGTCGTCGTCGTCGTCGTCGTCGTGTGTACTCTAATTCCTGGATCACGTTGTCTTATCAGCGGCCTGAACACACGGGGATCATCTTTCAACGGGCCCGTACTCGATATTGGCAATTAACACCTTGCCCTATAACATAGAGTCAGACTCGTTTTTTGACAATTTAAACATCGATTCAACAAAGAAGAATATTATTCGGGTTTTTTTTTAGTCGAAGTGACGTACCGCGTTGCTGGTATTGATATTTAAATTTTACAGTAGAAGTATAGTTACGATAAGCACGGAATTCCTTCCGTTTGTGGGAAACTATTGATCACAATGTAATCAGAGAGACTGCAGATATAGTTAAGGTAAAAATTGTACAGTAAGCAGTCATATGCATTAATCCTCGTGCACTGTTGGGGACAATTTGGTCCGAAGCGAATGCTTGGTTCTTAATTATAATTTTTATTAGAGATATTTGTAAATTAGTTTGACACCAACAGCTTACATGTTTGTAAGTAATTTGATTTTAATTGTGGCCCAATTTAATTCAAGGATTAGTAATGTTAATAGTATATTGAACAGTGCACGAAGATTGAACAACAACCGTTGCTGTCACAAGGTTGAAGAAGCGTTTAGAGCAGTTACTTAAAACACGGACACATTATTGGAACTCACTACCCTAGTCTTCCGTAATCTAGTAAACCAACGGGACTAGTCTTAATTGTGCTGTTACACAGCGGTCAGACTTGTAGCAGACGCAGTGGTAAAAGTATCCATCAATATCAGTTATCGAAAGTTACCTAAGTATTACATCTATCTGAATTTCCGCCATCGCAAAAGTAGTTCACATTTCCTCGATCGCTTAAATTTCCTGAAAATAATGAAACAGTATTCTTTTAATATTTCCTATTATAATATTCAGGAGACATTCAACTAATTTATAAAACATACAGTAGATGTAGAAAGTATCCGTGTACATACTTTTCTTACATTGATTCTATTGAATGTAATAATAGGAAGTAATAATTCTTCGAAAAATTACTATATTGAAAATTACTATATATACCATAACATTATGGAAATTTCGATAACCTAATCTAAAGATTTATGATGTTCAAAAATGTTAAGTCTACGCGTGTAGCTTTTGTATCCATTGGTTATTTCTGTCATCTCTACAGAAAACAGTAGGTACGCCAGTAGTGCTTATAGTGGTCAGTGAAATTAAATTTTCACAGTGACTGAGGTGCTCAGCCGCCTTTTCAATTTTATGTATGCCATACTCATAATATTAATGAACACCAGTCTCGGAAAGGAAAGTTTCAAATAGGCTACTTCGGTGTTACATATTCCTTGGTTGAAGAGTTCGACGATTCTGCGCGCGCTTTCTTTCGCTAACGCCGAGAGAATGCTCGTGGATACTTATCGTTAGAGGGACTTCTAGGAGAGGCAGTGTCGGAGGCACGAAACCAAGGTCAGTGTCGGGGCTGAAGCCGACTGCACTGATCCTGGTAGTATAAAGCCGATACATGTACAATACGTGTTCCTGCATCAATCTGTAACGAAATATAATTTATAGCACATTAGATTTAGACATTCAACGATTCAAAATATTGAACGCACCGATAACTAACCCAAAACTTTTTTATTAAACTGGAAATATAATTTGAATTCAGAACATTTTCCTGCCTTTTTCTTGTTGGAAAGCAACGCAGATTGTTAGAGAACGATAATAAATATTATGGAAGTATTATAGACCTTCAAAAATAAACACTAAATCTAACAAAATATAGTGGATTATTTATTGGTATCTTAATTAACAACATGGAGAACGCTGACGAATCCATTTCATTCTCTTGCATAATTTATTATAATTTCGTTTTTTTTATACCGTTCTTTAAACAAAATTTTAAAACGCTACCCAATTAATTTTGATTCTGTCATTCATTCAGGTGAGAAAAAATTAATAGCTCGGGTCGACGGAATCCTGCGGTTGCTTCAAAGGTACGCAGACCGTCAACGCTTCGATCTCATAGACAGAGACCCGATACACAATATCATTTCGGGATTACCACCGCGTGTGTATTCTGGACGTGACGTCTCGTAAAACACTGATGGACTTGTAAATTGTACGGGCACACTAAATGCAAATGTTACCAGAACATTCTCCACCATCCGAAACCAGTTTTCTCTTCGCGTCTCCCTTGTACATCGTAATACGAGGCGTATTTCGTTTTTATGCCTCTTTTCTTTGTAATGTTCAAGGTCACCAGACATGTTTCCTTCCCCTCTCGCGAGAGTGGGTAGGTAGGTACTCATTGAAAACCGCGTTCCACCGATTGTACATCTTTCAAAGCAATTCTTCCTATTTCACCAATAAATAATAAATCCACTACTATTGATCCTTGATCTGAGGAGCCATTTTCTCTTACAATCCCAAGTGCCCAGGGCTCTATTTAGAATTTCAAGGACCTACTCTACTTGAGAGTCTTGTGACCACTAGTACATATAATTCTATGGCAGACATGTGTTATGTGACAGAGGAGAGGATAGAGTCTCTAAGCATCAGTTTACCCCGGGTAGGAGGAATGTTCAGTCGCCTAGGTAGGTAGGTAGGTGGGTAGGTAGGTAGGTTGGTAGGTAGGTGGTGCACCAGAGCAAGCGCTTTCGCGGGAGGTGAACAGTGGAGGCAAGCCGAGTCGATCCGGCAAGCCAGACGGATCATTTCGCGGAGGCTGAAACCCCCGTGAAACCGGTTCCTCCTTGCGCGCGCTTCTCTTCTGTTCGCTTTCGTCTTTTTTCACCCTGAGACCGTAGACGCCGTGTAACCATCGGCTGGTACTACTTCGATTCCATGGCCGTGTGTTACACGGTTGTACGTGTGCAAAACGCACACTGACCTGGAATTGTACGGTATATGCCGAAGGACGCTGCAGCCATTGTTGCAACATTTGCCAATGTTTGTATGCCTCCTTACGCAATTTTCGGGTCATCCATTGTTTCGGATATTAATACCACGGGCCGATCGAGGATCGCCTTTCTGGAGAGTTTTGGCGAACGAGCTGGGTATCAGGGTTGAAAGGAATATTATGTACTGGGTGTTGTAGAATTGTGGAACCAAACGTGGTCCATTGGTACGACTCCTAAAAATGAGTATATTGATCTTAGAAGCTGTACATATATACGGAGACTAGTTTGTTAGATATTCGGTCCTTTATGGTAATTAATCTTAAAGTTAAATTAAAATATCTGATAGTACTCACAGAAATAAGTAAAAATGTCCTAGTAGTCAAGTGTTTAATTGTCTATTTTGTAAAATAGAATGATACTAAGTAACAGATATAAGTCTACCAGTAGCTGATCCCCAGGTAGTCTTAACATTTAAGGGTTCTTTTCTTTTCTCTTTCGTTATTCAGTTTCTTCAATCGTCATTCTATGTCGGAGTATATTTCAACAAACTTAGCATTAATGCGCACAAAGTTCAATTTTATTCAGACGGCGTGTACACGTCCTTTTTTGTAACGTTGAAGCCTAATGAACGTGCACGTAACGAACGTTGCACCTTTTATAATTAATCACCTGTGATTCCTGCGGCAGGCGCACAGATCCGGACGAACTGGATGCGACCAGTAACCATAGATGGCAGTTCGATGGTTTTAGAACAGTCTGGACACAAATGGATCACGGATCGTAACCGATGGCTCGTACGTTTCGAACTTTCGAGTACAGTAACCACAGGCTGTGTTGCACAGCCCTTCGTCCTTCATTCGTAGCGTCGCGACGTCGCCTGGCATTTCGTTCCACCGCATTTTCATTTCGCTCTGCTTCGCTGTCCATTTCATTGCTTGTCATCTCCCTCGAGTGGCATAAATAATGCAGCTGATGCGATGTAGAAACGAGTTCTCCACCTACCTTACTGAATCTGAATTTCCCACATGTATCATAACCGAAGTTTCTATACTATCCTTCATAAATCATCTGACCCGTAATTGATAACTACAAGATAAATTGCCAAGAAAACACTACTCGGTGATTGTATACATAGAGCTCCCATGATTTCTGACATCCGTGCCGTGTGTTGCCTAGGTATGAGGAGCAAGAATCACTAGAGTAGTATGTGCAGACAAGATACAGACGACAGAGTGCAGATGGCACTGATCTAAAATAAAACAGTCGATATTTGGTTAAGTACAATGATCAGTGCAAATATTCAATGTTTATGGTTATATCCTCGGTGTCTAAAGCGATTTAATTTAATAAAATGACTTGTACCATTGATTCGAGTGAGCTTCTGGGAACCTTATGAATGCAGGATTATGAGCTAAAGTTCTAATTTTCAGAGACACACTGTATTTTTTCCAAATAAGTTCATCCCCGGGAGGAAAAAAAGCGTTGTTAGTTTCAAGCCTAGCCAAGCCGATAAAACGCGCGACGATGGCAGCGTCATCAAACGCCTCGACAACCGGCCGATTGAACGCCGGGCCGCGATCGTGCCGATTCCTCTGATTGGCCGAGAGACCCAGCGTTACTCACGGGCGCAAGAAGACTCTTTGTCTGTTTTTCGTCCGGCCGAGCAGCCGGCAACCGGCGGCGGAGCGCAAGTTATACGTGCAGTCGGAGGTCCTTCAGCCGTCGCGCCGGCTGCAATTATATTACGCTCGCTTTCGGGCTCGATCTCGACCAGTTTCGTACACCGTCGCGATCCATCCAACGGGCTTCCTTATCATATCGTAACACGCCACGAGAGAAAACCACGGAAGGTGCGGGCGAATCGAAAACGGTGGTGTGCTTTTCGAAAGTTCTTTTCTCAGCCAAACGTAGGATATTGGACTACTAACGTCAACGGCGATTCGATCAGTGGAAGGTAAGCCCACGATTCAATAACTGTGTAACGTGAAAGTTCTCGAAGAACAGATAAACTTCCCTTTTAAAATGGAAATGTAAGTACTGATCTGGGTTAGATAGGTTGAGGTTGTAGATAGGGCACGGTTTGCATTCTGCAATTTAAGATAATACAGCGCATCGTTGCATAGAAATGTAACTACGGTTAGTGGGCAAGGTTTAGCAAGTGTAGATTACTACTTATCCCGAAATTATCATTTAAATATTGTAGAACGGACGAAGAAAGTACTTGAAAAATCGAGTTTTATTTCTTTTTTAAATATTTTTTACATTGTTTTACTATTTTGCATTTTATATCTTCTTGGAAGAATGGAACGTATAGGATCAGGTTTAGACTGGGCTACCCGGTACGTAGGACGGTTGTATTCTCCCGCGAGTCCCGACTTCCTCCGACGACCTTCACCACGGTATCGTTAAATCGTCGAAGAGCATTGGCCGTAACTGCATCAAGCAAAAGCGAGCAAAATTTTAAACTCGCTGTTTTATTAGATTCCTGAAAAAAAATGTATTTTTGCCAGGTGTTATATGTTTGAAGTGTTGAAATCGAAACTGCGTATTTTTAATTTGCAAAAATGTTGTCAGGAGGTGGGAACCGAGTAAGAACTCGAAAGAACGTGGTTCTCTGAGAAACGCTAGACATACGCACGGACATTTGTGCGTATGTATGTATGTGCTTCAGGCGCGGACACTGCTTCGGTCAAGGTCGTAGTCTGCAAGTTAATGCTCTTTTTACACGTCTCGTTCCCCCGTCTGTACGCGCTGTCCCGAAAAGGAGGCGTTGTCTGCCAAGGAAATGTTATGGAAAAAAAATTAATATTACTATTTAATAATATCAATAATACAGTTAAAGAACAGAAATGTAAGAATACGAAGCTCTGCGTACGATTAATGTGCAATGGGCAAGATTCAGCCGTTATAAATTTACAGTACTAAATGTAAAAGTTAACCTTGAAAGAATTACAATAAATATTATACATCGAGATTTAAATTATTATTGTAAATTATAAACAATTTACATTCAAAATTAGATAACAGTCAGTATTAAGAATGAATAAAATATCATAATGTTTCACAATATCTTGCTCAATGTCGTGAATCTTATACCGAGTTTCGTATTCGTCATCTTTTATTAATGATTTTCGTCACTGAATAAGTGAATCTTCAGGAATAAATTCGAAGAACGACGTACTGTGTCGAGGATTGGTAACTCCACCACCGTTGGCGAAATTTGATGGCCAATGGGGTACGAGTTTCCTTCCCTCGGCGCGAAATGCCGCTGTAAACGCCCTGAACGTGAAACTAACAGAATTTTATATCAGTTTAACGTTCCAACGGAAACGGATTAGCAAATAAGATTTATGTAGACACGTTACTATCGTGTAAGTATTTGAGTAAGTATACAGAACCTTAATGAACTGTTCAATTTGCAGAGAATGTATATATAAAATTTAATACAATATAGAAGTCATATAATATTTAGACATTCAGATAGTTGTTTGAAAATATCAAATGAATTTTTATGGGATAAAAGTGTTGATAAGTATGATTCCTGCGTTTCGTTTCTTAGACTTTAATCTGTGGTGTCATCTACGTGAAAGTACAGGAACTAAAATTTCTGTTTTATCTCTTATGGTAATCGCAACACTGCGTCTTCCACAGAAATTTAAGTTGACATATATTTATGTAAATATTACAGATAAAGACAATTTACCAAGTCAATGAACGTAATTGAATAGAACATAATGTAAAGTATTACACATAAGCGTACGTTTACTTGATTTCTTATGTTGCTCCCAGAGAAACTATGTACATACTCGTTCATCTTGGTTTGTTACGAAATGTAAGAATATGGACACTCATTCTACAGTAAATTGTTATCAAACATCATAAAAGTTGACACAAAAGATTTAGAAAATTGTTAACGTTTGGATTTTGCAAAAATTTGCTGATTGTAGTTCTGCATTAGCGAATTCTTCGTAGGCGTCTCCACAGTCACCATATTGTAGATTTATTGTGAAACGAGACGCGTTTCAGTAGCGGTCGGTAGCGTCGCCAGTTGTGGTGGTGTTCATTGTGATTGTTTGGACTGTTGTTATAAATGTCAAATAGAATGGATAATGTTGTTATATCGTTGTTGTTATTCGTGACAATAGTAAATTTTGGATACTGCACGCAGAGAACTGTAAGTGATACTACGTTATAAGTAGATTTGAACGAAATTTTATTATGTAGTCATTTATTTGGATCAATGTCCTTTTATATCAAAAACAAAGGTCGCGCGTGTATGATTCATCGTTTGATTGTTCTATCTCGTGCCGTGTCTGTTTAGAAGTTATATGCGAGAGATTAGTCGTTGAATAATAATACGATGGTAATTGGGAGCAATCCGTTGCTTAATGAGGAACACGAGATCCCATAACCCATTTATTAATTAACGTGAGAACTAATCGAGGGATAATGACATAATGCACGGGAATTTAAGGACAAATTTAATCAGTCAATGTCAATCGATTATATTGTTTTCAAAAATATAAAGCATAATAACATAATTTATTGTCGACTTATTCATATTGCTTTGTAATGTTGAAAATACAAGTTCAAATAAAATATGCTGTATAGAAAAGAATATTATAAAAAAAAGTTAGTTAATATTTTTGCCATTAATTACTAACACCATAAATTATATAATAATTAATATGTGAAATTAAGATGATGTATTATATATATATATATCGAGTTGTAAACAATATATTTACATTTTTTTATATAAAAGAATTTGCCTGGCACTAGTTACGATCATGGGTGAATCCTGACTGTGGCGAATTATGTAAAGGCACAAATTTAACAACAGTTTATCTAAGGACTGATGGTCCCAATGATACTCTGCATTACCTGTGGGATTTTCGTGGTAATCCATCCATATTGTTAGCCCTCACTACACCATCAACTTCCTTAAATATAAGTTGGGAAGATTTTATCGCAAGGAAAAAAAATTCTATAACATTCACAAATGAACCTATTTATACTTTTGGTCTAGTTATAAATAAGGTCAGTATGTAGATAAGATCATTGTAGATTTTATCTTGCTTTGTCACAGTAAATCATATTTTATAAATTGACAAAGTTTATTGAACTTCTAGATTATAGAGTTCAATGACATAAATGACACAGCATTAATAAATGTTACTAACATTAAACATGTAAATACAAACATTTTGCATCCTATGTTTTTCCAATGGGAGCGTAAGACTTTATTGCAGAATAATGAATTTGTTTCCTTGGACATGGAAGGCAATTACTATAATGATGTTCCTATGAACATTAGTAGACATGGGACATTAAAGCTTTCGGTAAAATGTGTTTATTAAATATCAAATTGCATACGAATACCATGGATTACAATGTTCTAATGTTTATGCATTTTATAGCTGAGAGGATTTTGTTCCCTCGACCATTCACAAATAATGCCTCACATGTTGCATACTGAGAATTCTACTCAGGTGGACATGATTCTTGACCATGTAGAAACCAATAAAACCTTTTCTAGTAGTAGGTTTGCTATTGAATTACTGGTGGTAGGTGGAGGAAATCCTGAGATACCTATGTTTATTAATTCTAAAAAAAATTTGGACGATGAACACACTCCAGGAATATTTGAGGTAATCTTTAGTTACAAATATTTATTATATTATTCACTTATTTGTTTATTATGCAAATAATGTAATGCCATGGAATTATTTTGTTTCAGGTTGTTGAAGTCAGAACTCCACCATATAAAAGTATGGATGATTATCAAACAGAAGGAGCTTATTTGCAATGGAGACCAGTCTCCTATACGAATACATCTCGCGATGTAACAAGTTCCACAGAAACAGTACAATATCCAGCATTGAAAGTTACTGATCACACAAGTGCAATTAAAAATTCTTTGTTGTATTGTTATTATGGAGACAAAGTGAATGATTTGCTTACACAAAGAATTATAGTATCACTAGGAATGCAAGGGGATGGATTTTATAAAAGAACCAATTATTCTACATGGTAATTTCACGTTTAGCTTAATTATATTCTATTGTATCCTGATACAAATCGGATAATGTTAATATTTCTTTCAGGACATTTTTAGTCGGCTATGGCACACCGCCGAATGAAAAGTTCTCTTACTTGGTGATAATGATTATTGCGATCGGTCTTGGCATCCCACTTGTTATTCTAATAGCAATCGGAATATACCTTTGTATTCGTAAAATGCCCAAGCGAAATAGGGGTGTTTATTTAAGTCAATGAAGTAATTCGTAGATTCTGTAAGAAATTTCGGCTACGTCGTGTTCGATAGAAGTGTGAGCACGTTTAGTTGCATTTACGACACCACCGTTAAATTATACAAAGATATTACCTATATTTATACATAGCACATATATTTTTTACACAACTTTTCAAGTTGGTTCGTAAACACCAATTTGAAGTAAATAATTAATGTAACGCAAAAACAAACTATTCTGTACAAATTTATACACGATTCATTAATAAATTAAACGCAAGCGTATTAATTCATGAAATCTTTCCGTTACAATACTATTGCAATACGACCGTACAATTTCACAAACATGAAATTCATTTAGTTTTCTCTATGATCCAGTCAATCGATTCGGTCTAAAACCATTCGATGAAATAAAAACCGTTAAAAGCCTAAAAAGGTAAGAAAACTAAATACAAACTCGTCGAGATTATTCTCATTGAATGGTAGACAATCGCATTCCACTACAATGGCAACGGGTCGGTATAGAATGACTGCAAGATCGCAACACAATCGTCTCGGCGCGGCAGTTCCGCGGAGAAAAAAAAAGCCTCAACGGGTCGGAGAGAGCTTTGCAGAAGCGGTCGGTTGTTCCGTAAAGGTGGACGAATGTTTTCAGGTATACATAGATAGTAAGGGTGGCGCGGTGTGGTACCGTGTTTCTCGCTATCACGGGGAGGGAGGGGGGTGGGGCGGGCGCGGTGAGGTGCTGTCGGTGGAGGAGTACATTTCATTGATCCATTCGCGGGTACGGAAGCGTTCGGGGCGTGCGAATTTACGAATCCTAACCGCGGTATCGACCTCCGCGGCAAATTTATAATTGAACCGTGTATCGCCACACGGGAGACTGGGGGCCTTTTCAGTGGGGGGATACCTGTTCTCGCGGTCACTTCCGAACGGAAAAATCAGTCGTCGGGTCCCGTCGTCGCGAGTATAAACAGGGAAAAATTCGGCAAACAAGCGGTGCTGTCCGAAGCGTCGATCGCCGACGTTAAACGCGGGGGGCAATCGTTTGTTGCCCGCAGCCGTGATTGGTCGGGTACGGATTTGTAGTTGCGACAGTCTCGCGCGCGCAGGCCGGCCGAGAGTCCGGTGGGTGGTCGTGTACAGGGGTGAAGGATGGGGCGGGAGGGGGAACGCGTAGAGGGTTGCGAATGGTGCGGGTGTAGTGGGGCGCCTCGAAACTAGTTCCCGTTTGGTCCGCTGCGCGGAGAGTGGCGCGCGGCGGTGCAATAACGTACGCGTCGGGGTTTTGTCTAATCGCGAACTAGTCCTCGAGGAGAAGCTTTTCTGGGAGGAAAAACACAGTGGCGGCCGACTAGAGGGGAGAGAGGTGGTCTCTGGACTCGGTGACTCGGTTAGACTGTTTGGTGTACGCGGAACGGGTGAATTTCATCGTGGTCTCTCTCTCAAGAGGTTCAGCTAGACGTTTTCTAGGGTACGCGGGGACCAAGAACGAACAGGGAGAGAAACGTCAAACGGACGAGAAGAGAGAAAGAGAGAGAGAGAGAGTGTGTGTGTGCGTGTGTGGCTCAGTGGCGACCCAAGTGAGACGGTTCCGAGATAGAGGGTAGATGACAGAAAACGACTGACAAATCGTGTCAGAGGTGGGGGAGTTTGTGAGAAAAACACAGGTCCAACGGACGCGACAGTTAAAGGGACGAAGGGAGAGATAGAAAAATAGTGAGAGAGAGAGACGGAGTGAGCGAGAAAGAGGTAGGGGGTAAAGACGGTGAGTGGAACGAAGAGAGAGAGAGATATATAGATATAGAGAAAGAAAGAGAACGTGTGTGCGCGCGCGCGCGTGTATGTGCCAGGAGGAACACGGACAGAGACAAAGGAAGTGGAAAGGACCCGGTTGGTCAGGCCAAACGAGTCAAAGGGGTTACGAAGATCGACAGTGAAGACAGGAAAGACGGAAGAGGATACGTAAGGGACCGGAGAAAGCAAGGAATACGGGGGGGTGACAGAGCGGTGCCGCTCGTGGTGGAACCGAGCGTCGTCGCCGTCGTCGTCGTCGTCGGGTCTGTCCCCCAGAAACGGGACCGTCGCGCGCAACGCGATCAATTTTCGTTGCGACGCGGGCGGCGAGAGACTGGCGGAACGGAAGAAATGACGACTGCAGCGAGATACCGATAACCGGCCGGATAATGTTGTCGCAGAGCAAATTTTACGCTCTCTTTATCCACTACACGTTCGTGTAGCGCGACACACGGGGCGGGTCCTTGCCGCTGCGGTAAAGAAGAACAGAGAGAGAGAGAGAGAGAAAGGAGTAGTAAGAATAAGAGCAGGTGGAGAGACGAGCGAGAAGAGCAAACGGATACGAAGAAGAAAGAAGAATAATAATCTTGGAAACTCGAAGATTATTTCTCGATGTCTCGTTTGTCTATATATTACAGAGGAACGTGAAACGAGAAAAAAACAAAAAGAGAAACAGAGAAGGGAAATCAAGAGAGGAATAGAGAGACAAGAGAAAAATAGTTTGTCGTGGTATAACGCGCGGTGTTAAGTTTTTCAAAAGTGTCGAGTTCGCTTTGGTACAGTGTGTGCCTCTATCCTTGACGAAGCCTCGAACACACAAGCAAGGACCGCGGAGGTATCTCAGAACCCGCCCCTCCTCGACGTCGCAGTGCCTCTTCTCCCGTTATCGCTACGTCGTGTGCACTTTTATTTTCTCCCCGTTCGAGCCGCGCGACTATCTCCACGCTACCGGAGAAACACTCCTCGACCGTAAGTGCAACTCACGTTTTTACAATATATATCGTCGGTTATTATCGGTGGAGCATACATGCGAATCGGTGTTGACCAAAAGGGTCGATCCAGCGACATAAGTTTAAAAACCGTGGGGGGTTCGTATCGAGCGTGGAAAGTGAACAAAGATAGAAAAAAAAAGAAAGAAAGAGGGAATCGTAAAGTTCTCTGTAGAGCATAAATATCCATGGTGCGCGCGGTGGGGGCCCAATCATACCCGTTGATTTCACTGCTTTCGACCGCGTGTGCAGCTTGCTCCCCTAGAGGCGCTAATGGCGCTTCTCTATGTGGCGGATCGTCGCGTTTCATAACCGCTTCTCACGACGGGCACGGGACAAGCGACTCTATTGCCCCACGTCCCCGTACAACAGGCTCGAGGATGACGTAAAACAGTGCCCCCACCCACACACACACCCTCATTCGTCGATCAATTATCGTGACGAACCGGTATGCGGTTTCGATTAGCTGGAAAGGATAAGCGCGAATCGAATCCCCCCAGTTTGGTTGACCACATACACACAGGTGTGACGTATATACATATGTGTACACGTATGTATAGGGTTATAGCGTGACGCGTGACTGCTGTGTGTTCCATTCTCGATATATCGATCGATAACCGCCTCGGTCAGGGATCAGTCAGGGGGTTCAGCCGCGCGAATCACGATAAACGCTCGCGACTGTCTTTCGAGATTCGAGAGAAAGTCCATGGCTCGAACACGTGAAATATACGTTTTTATTTTTGTTTTCTGTTTTTTTTCTTTTTTCGATTGAACTTTCTGTCGCGTCGCCTCGAAGGTCGTGGGGCTCTCGCGAGCAGCGCTCGTGACAGCGACACGGTTATATCGTGCCCTTCATCCGTGTACGGTCGTCCTGTGTGTATGCTTGTGTATTCTTGTGTCTCGTGATGACCTTCCTCCGGCGCGAAAATTGCCGGTCAATACGACGTGCACACGATCCGCTTAAGAGAGACCCGTGTGCGATGGTATCGATCACCGGACTCGTGAACGTCACACACGACGGGTGAGTTTTCGTTCGTGAGAGTGCAAGAAACGCGTGCACCGTGTCTGCCCATCGATAAAAGAGATGTATCGGTCATTTCGATATTCCTCCGAGGTGACTCGTTTCGAAACGCCTGTTCCTTGTAACGGTTCTTGGCAGGACTGCCTTCGATTCTTGCCTCGTATGAGAAATGAGGGGCGTTCTCGTGAATTTCCTTTTTAGGAAAACGAACATTCATATGCTTGGAGACACGTCTTTTTCGTAAGCTCTGGGAAGTTTCTTGGGGAAACATTCTCGGTTTGCAAGGGTGTCTGTAGACAGTTTCCTGTAGCGTGTTAGGAGAAACGTGCCTACATTGAGAACTTGAATCGAAATTCATGGAAAAAGCAAAAAATATGGAAATGGGATCGGTTGAAAGATTAAATTTCATGGTTATGTGAAGATTTCGATGTTCCTGATGATTAAAAATGATTTTTCATGGATTTTGTAATTGTTTTTAGGTTTAGGTTTTCAAGTAGGAGTATTGTCTTTAGTAATTTCAAAGGAAAACGTGAATTGGTTGAATCGTTCCTGAAAGAACGCGTTTAAAGCTTTGTGTTAACGTTTTTAGGAGATAACTTGTAGGTAAATATGGCTGATCAGCTGTTCCATGCTTACACCATAAACCCATTGCTCCCTGAAAAATATCTTCTTTTCTTTGCTGTTTCTTCTCGACTGTCGTGATCCGTTTTGTCCCCTGGAAATTTCATTTTTCAACAATCTTGAAACGACAACAATTGAATATAGTCGAATATTTTCAATAATGTTGTTAAAATGGTAATTTCAGCAATTTTTCAAACACAAAATCGTCCTTATATGATGTGCGTATAAGCAGTATTTGAAATGTTGAAAATATAAAAATAATAATACCGTACATAATGATTACATTCCCTTCGAGCTTGCATGTTATTGTTATTTCGATATTTTAAATGGTGAATGATTAATCGTCTGTGAATAAGGAACAGAGGTCGGCCAAGCAGCGTCACAATCTCGCCGTTTAAGATTTGATGAACTATTTTCCTTAATAAATAAAAGATCGATACTATAACCGTGTAATGTCAAAGGTCGTGTCAAAGCTACATTGTCTAAAAGGAAGCGTGTTTTCTCGTCCGTTCGTTGTGAGAAAAGCGTGACGTCAAAGGCGATTCCTTAGTTTAAACGTTCCTGTTGCTGCTACCTCGGGCGTACAATATTTAATTCAGGAAAATCGTTCTTGCAGGACTTGGCGTGTTCAAAATGCAACAGCTCTACCGATTCAGTTCAATTCCTGCAAATCATATTCATACGTAAGGATCGCGATTCTCGAATCGTAGTTCTTCGAACACTTTTTGATCCTCGTTAATTTTATAATCCTCGAGAAACACAATCCTGGACATTCCTACCCTTGACATTCCATGGTCTTCAAGAATTCGACAATTATCTGTGATCGCAATTTTAGGGTCGAAAGTCCTCGAGAATTCCAGGCGTTAGGATTGCAAGTTCAAACATTTTTATACGTAACAATTCCGTTTCTTGGATCGGAATTCTTCGAACACTTTGATCCCCGTTAAGTTTACGATTTTCAAAAAATACGATCGTGGAAATTTCATGGTCTCCAAGAATTACAGTTTTCAAGTCTACAGTTTCCACAAATGTGTCTGTGTTCACGATTTTGGGGTCGAAGGTCCTCGAGAATTCCAGGTTTTAGGTTCTGTAGGATCAAACATTGCGGTCCCAGAATCGCAATACCAGCTTTTGTCCCTGGAAGTCGCAACATCGTAGTAATTCAATTCAGAACTATAAGTTGGGGTATCCTTAACTCAGTCAGGGTAACTTTGTGCCAAGTCAAAAAGTAATCATTATCGACTTACGACTCTGCAAACTGTTACATCAAGTTGATTTTTACGTAGAAATATTTGCAAAATCGAAAATGATCAGTTTCTGACTTTGGGACAAAGTCACCGTTGACAGAGTCCAATTAATCCCAACTTATGGTAATGATTCACGTAATGATTGTTCGTTATCAATGAGGAAGTGGTCGCAGGGGGCAACCTTCCTCGAAGAAGTCTCGATCCTCTCTGATTTCGAATGCGTCATGACGAGGAACGGCGACAGAAAAACGCACGCCCGCGCATCCAGAAATGGTGGAGGGCGCGCTAGAGAAGGAGGGGGCGATTTTGCAGGGCAAACGATGGGCGAGCGAACGCAACAGGTGCGATATGCTTCGCAAGAACGTTCTGTGCAGAACCGCTCCGAAAGCTGTGACCGTCCGCTGAGCTCTCCTGTTCACTTTATTGTTCTGTCGATACTGATACCATTTTTAGGGGATTTTCGTTATTTTCCTGGGGGCTGTGTCCAGCGTTTGCCTGAATGGGAAAGGACGATTGGTTGGATAGATGGATGATCCTGGATTCTCACTTTTATCGAAAAGTAGTTGAAAGGGTAGTTCTTCTTGTATAGAATTTAATTATCGTTCTTTTTTTATTATTTAAACATTTCCAGTTCGTAAAATTTTGTATCGTTTAAAGATTCCTAGTTCGTAAAATGTTGTATTCCTTAAACATTCCTAGTTCGTAAATTTTTTTATTGTTTCAACATTTTTAGTTCGTAAAATCTTGTATTATTTAAATATATCTAATTCGTAAAATATAGGAAATTCCCAGTTTGTAAATTGTACAATTTGATGGAAATTCCCTCCTTGCAATTTGCACCATGATTCCGTGTGTCCAGAATAAAGAAGGAAGTCTTGTTTATTGAAAAGCAGCTTTGTGGTGATAATTACTGGACGTTTATGGGAATATTCATCTTTAAGTATTAACTTACAGGTACTAGAGTCGAGTAATTTGTTTGCTTTATTTTCCATCAGGATCCATATGAAATCAAAATTGCATGAAACTTTATTAGACTGTCTACCATATTGAGTTTTAGACAATCGAATATGCTATAAATGCATAACATCCACGGTCTAGTGATAATAATAATTTTACTAATAATCGTATAAATACAGGGTTCAGAATATATAGGTGCATCAGTACAAAGCGTTTTATTATGATTAAGGTGACTAGGACAAGACTCCACGATTGCGATAGTTCGCGCCGCCATAAAGTCTAACCAACAACCAGTAAAGAGGTTGTCTAGGTACTGTTATAGCGAGGGAATGCTATATTTGTTCTACACTTTCGAGTACTGATTCTGAACGTCACTAAGTGTTTCAGAGAATTCCCTTGAGAAACATTAGAACTTCTTTAAACATAATAATGTCACATACATCGATACTCAACAGTGAGAATAGAAGAGGATCTAGATTATAATTAGACCAAATGAATGAAAAAACAATATATATATATATTCCATGATGAGACTAATGATAGCATTATCAAGAGGGTCTCTAATGTTAGACTTTCGTAGGGATGCAAATAAGGGGGAGAAAGAGGTTCGGCAGGGGGAAAGTACACGGATGAAGGATAGGGAAAATAATAAGAGGGTTCAAGGTTCTATCGATTGATGAAGAACACTTGATCGAGATCACATCTGGTTGGTGTGTGTGTGTGTGTGTGGGGGGGGGGGGCAATTTTCCGAAACGCAACGGTCGACTTAGACCGTAAGAGAAGTCAGGCATTAGGCAGCGAAACGGGCAATCGATCGATTGTCCTCGCAAGAACGCATGGCCCTGTTCTGCACTGTACTTTAGCTTCAGATATACTTCGTCTTTTGTGGGTCGTGTCATTGCAGCTGATGCCGTGAGAGCAATAATCTGTGTTTGTGCACTTAATTCTTTTATTTGCATTGTACTGCACAATGGGTATCGAATATTCTGTTCCGAGCTACGTAATTTACTAAAGGAATGCATCTCAGATAGGGTAAAAATACATTTTTCATATCTTTTTTATCATACTTCCCTTCGATGAGGAGATTTTTATTTTCATTGAATTATTATTTCAAATTTTTTTATATTAAATCAT